TTACTAATTTGGGGAATGACTTCCTCAGGGCTTTTTTGAGAAAAAGGAATATTGAGATTGCCTGATTTTTGATACAGTACGCTAATGCTTTGTGAGCTACTTTTGAGGTCTTGTAAAAAGTAATACAGTACTCTCTCTATATAAGCAACTCACAGAGATTGTATGTTGTCTTTACAGAGTAATTTTTAATACAAATTTACTTGGTGGGGCCAAATTTCTTGTTTACTACATATATAAGAAGATTTGCTTCTACAGACTGTATAGAGAGAAACCACTGTATTTAGACTTAGCGTATGTTTTTGTCTGTAACTCAGTCGGTTTTAAGGAAAGCTTACTGAATTTTTTAAATTTTACAATTTTTTATAATTTATTTTACCAAAATCACTTTTTTTTATAAAATTACGATTTTTCCAAATCCCCTCCGAAATTTGCAAAGTCGCAATTTAATGGGGCAATAAACACCGTTTCGATGGGATGCGTCAAATTCCGGAACCCGTCCAGTGTAATTGTAGCCTAATTTCGCGCGATGAACTTGTTCGCTGGAGTAATTGTGTTACTGCTGTGTTTGCACTACGAAAAACTTTTTTTTTTTCGTTTTTCGATTTTATGCATTCTGTTTTAATGCGCCTTCCACAAGGCAGCCCTTATTTACTCGTTTTCGGTTCGTGAGGGTCAGGCTTTGGTCTTTGGAAACTGAATAACTATAACAATATTTGTTTGCATGATGAGTTAGAATCATGTTTTTATAGTAGGGATGATTATTAATTAAGCTTTTTTAAGTATAAGGTTTGGAAAATTAGTGTTATTATATTTTCCTCTGTAAAGTAGTGAATATCAACATTATCTTTGGCTTTTGTTGGCAGGCCAAGGAAAGACAGGGCAAAAGCAGGGCAAAGGCAAGGCAAAACAAAGGCAGAGCAAAGGCAGGGCAAAGGCAGGGCAAAGGCAGGGCAAAGGCAGGACAAAGGCAGGGCAAAGGCTTTTTTTTGTTTTAAGTCTTATACACCGATAGTACTATATAATAAAGTGAACTTTAAAAACTAACATTTCTACGCTTATTTTTTTAAAATCAAAGATTTCTCTTCAAGTGAAAAGGCGAGTAATGTTGTGATCATCAAAAAAGGAAAATTGTTTGTTTTGAAGCGGCTTTAATAACCTAAATTTTCCAAATTTTTTAGTTTTTTTGATTGAAAATGTAAAATTTTTTTACGTTCTTAAAACGGCTTCTGTTCCTTGATATTTGGTGGGGTAATTTTAAAATGTACACGAAAGCAGAGGTGGGACGAGTAAATTTATATAGTAAAAAAGGATTTACAATTTTGAGTAACTTTTTATTTGACGAGCAGAACAAAGCAGAATTTAGTGCCTTTTAAGCATTTGTCTTGTTTTTTGAAATCTTGTGAAATTTAGACTAAAAAGCTTGCTAGGAATCTAATTTGTAGTATGTGACAAACCTTTCTTTCAAGCTTTTGTGTCGTTTTTTACTTTTTTTATTTTTTAAACAGGGCGAGGACAAAACTTTTAGTGTAACGATAAATATAACGTTTTTGAACGCAAGGGTATTTTTTTTATTGTCTTTAAATTTTTGTCTTTTTTCTCCATCCCTTCCCCAATTTTTTGAGGGCAAATGCTATACAAAGGCAGGGGAAGCAGGGAAAAGGCAGGGCAAGACAGAACATATTGAATTGGCTTTTAAAAAAAATAGCAAATACCCTTTTCATAGTTTTAAAACAAAGTTTAAAATCTTCAAAAACTCCGTAAAAGTCGCAAATTAGGTTTTTCAAATTTTCAGACATTTCGACGGCTTTTTCTTTGCGTTGGTTCCTCAATCTGAAAGCTGATTATCTCTTCAATTAGCATAATGTCTTGTCGCTTCCGCTCAATTTAATGAATTTTAAAAAAACCCAAATTTCATTTATTTAAACAGCGTTTCGGCGTTGTAACTTTAGTTTTTTGATAGAGTTTGATATGGATTTTATAATTTTAATATAGTGCAATTGAAATTTTTAAATATTATATTATAGTAGACACTTGTTAGAGAACAATTTGAGCTGTCTATAGCAAAAGTTTTAGTTGTACTTTACATCAAAGGCTTGTCGCAGTATCTTATGGATAGCTTTGGGCGGGATGATTTGTATTGGACGGAAGGGGTAGGATAGGGCAGGGTAGGGTAGGCAAAAACATTTTTCTTGAGTATATGCTTTAAGGCAAGCTATTTCGATCTAAAGAAAAGTTTTTTTGCCTACAGTAATGTGGATTTTTTAAAAATTTTAAATTTGTATATATAGGAAGAAAAACAACCAAAAAATTTAAAAATTTTTTTTGTTTTTTTTTAATTCTTTTACCTTTCTTATTTTACAATTTCTATCCTTTGATTGCCTTACAAAACTTCAGTCTAACGTGTAAAGTAGCCTTCCAACCTGAAAGCAGTTCCCCGAATTGACTCTCCAAATTTCCGGAACAAAAAACCATGTATATCCGGCGGAATAATTTTTCGTGAATGAAATCGGGGGAGGGGAGAGAAGAAGGAATAGATGGAACACTACTACTTTTTGCATTAAAAAAGACCCTTTTCATCCCACTCATCATCGACAGACAGGTGTGACAACAAATTCTTTTGTTTTCTATGCCAATTTCCACCGATTTTTCTTTTGGTTTTATCTTATCGAAGAGTTGGGGTTGGAAGTTTAAGTTGAAATGTTGTTTTAGGTTAAGGGAGTTTTAGGTGTTGGGGTTTAATAAAGTGTTTTATATTAGTTAGTGTCCGCCCGGTATTAAAAGTTGCTCGTTACACAGATATTTTTTGGATAAGGTTGTTACACAGGAGTTCTATTGTAAATTATAACGTTGTTTTACAATGTTTTTAATATTTTCAATGTTTTGTGACCTATGTTCTTAATATTTATTACTTTTTTGTAAGAATTCTTCATCTCGCCTATTTTCCAACTTTCGACTACATTTTTGGCTTGTACTTATAACACGGACCTAATGTTTTGAGGAAGGGGGCGAGTGTATGATAGAAAAAAGTTTTTCAGTTATTACGATCATCCTTGTAAAAATTTTTCAAAATTAGAAAAAAACCTTAAAAAAATTTTTTCTCTTTTCTCTCTCTCTTTATGTGCCTTTACTCTCTCTGTTTCTGTATGTATGAAAACATTTTTTAACCGGCCTCTGCTTCTGGATGAAATTCCGTTACAAACTACCATAAAATAGCCCTAGCTCTAAATTTTCAAAATGACATTTTAAAACCTATTTTTACTTGTAAACATAATTTATTAGCTACTTTACTGAAGTAACAGATTACTTTACCTAATTAACTGGTAAGATACTTTATCCATTTCAGTTTATGTTAGTCCAATCTTCTATGTCAGCTTATATTTTCTAATCTCTAATCTCATCCTCAATATAATGAGACTTAACCCTTATGTCATTGTGAGAACATTAATGACCAACAACACATTGTATTTAGCTCGTTTTGTGGTTAACGCAACACAATTAATTTCCAATTTTATTGGGCTTTTAATGTACACACGAACACGCAAACCCTGGTTAATTTACGATTATTACCATGTCCAATATGAGTTTGTTTTTAGTTTATAGTACTTTTGGCGATGGCGGGTTTCCTTTATCAATGTATAAGTTTTGAAAAGAGTTGTTTTAGCTTTTAGGTAACAAAAAGTTAGTTTTAGTTTTAGGCTTTGTTCATGTAATTTTACAACAATCAAGGGTAGGGGTGATATTTAAACGTAAAAAATTTTTTAAAATTAAATTGAGCACTTTTTGTTAATTTCTGAAAGAATGTTGTTTGGTTTTGCTCCCCCCCCCCTCTCCCAACCAAAACCAATATGGCTTGCCTGCCACTGAGCATAGTGTAAGTTTCTACCTTCCTATCTTTTACACACTTTAAAACGACACTACTTTTATGTTGCTAAAACAAGATTATAGTCAAGCCTCGTACGAATGATTCAATCTTCGTATTTGTCTATTTTTATGTTTCTTGCGGGACATTTCTTAGTAATAGTCGTATGTTTACAATCGTTTTTTTTCGAGCAGATATTTTTGTTTTTTCAATGTAATTTAAGCTTGTTTTTTCGGAATTTAAAAACACTATGGGTTTTTTAAAAATTGCGGGACGTGGTTAATTTGATATCATGTAGGCGTATAATCAGTAGGTTACGACAAAAATGTAGAAGGGGTGGTGGATTGGGGGTCATTTTTGTGGAGATAGACAAAATTTTGAAGCTGAGGCTCTGGGCTAGGGCTATAGGTTAGGTCTTTTGATTATGGATCTGGATAGAGCTTTCAGCTAGGGCTAGGGCTCTGGGCTAAGGCTCTGGGCTAGGGCTCTGGGCTAGGGCTCTCGGCTAGAACTCTGGGTTAGGGCCTTGGGCTAGGGCTCTGGGGTAGGGCTCTGGTCTAAGGTAAAACAAAAAGTTATAAAAAGTTACGTTTATTTAGCGTTAATATTACTTTTGTAGCAATACCAGACATCAATTGAGGATTAAGTTTTGCCACTATTTATTAATGCCTTAAATTTGCTAATCTTGGCTAATCTTATGAAGCTTTAATCTGTTATTTACTTTCAACTTTTGGGCGCTAAATACCATAATTTAGTCTTGGCAGCTAATGAAAAGCAAATTTGTTTTAGGTTTTTAGTCTTTTTAGTCTAACTTTGATTACTTTTTTTATAAAACATATATTTATTTACATCTGGGAATACAGCTTTTAGAATTTCCAAACTTACCTTAAACGGGGGGGGATAGAAATAGTCATATTTATAATCGTATGTTTAGATCTTTGTATAATTTGTATTCCTCCGTACAAACAATTCCGCGGCGTAACAATTTACATTTTTGACAATACTTTTACACATTTTTACAAAAAAACTTTGTATTTTACATATCTTACAATGTAAAAAATTACTTTTCAGTTCAAAACGACATCTCAATTAATGTGAATTTACATTATCACTCTCTGATGACTATTTCGAACAGTTTGAAATGGTCGTCATCATCGACACCGCTATCAAATTACTCACTGATTCTTTATTAAATTGTTCAACTGTTATCAGAACTCCACCAGCTAAAGAGTTTCTCAGTCGTAAGTTAACGAAATGTCAACAAATTTATTGGGCTTTGATTTTTAGTGCTGTAGACATAAGTTATGGTTAGAAATTAAAATTTTTTTGAAAGTTTTATTGTTTGTCCACTAATGAAGATATGTGACGAAATGTCACAAAATTTATCGACTTATCGTCTCAGCTAAAAATAACGAGAAAATTGAAATTTCAAACCTAGATTTATATTATTTTCAATTTTTTCAATTAAATTAGTTATAAAATGTCATGTAATTTATAACTCATTTAATTATTGTCACCAATTTCAGACCTCAGCGCAGAATATGTCCTAGCACTAATAGTAGCAACATTATTGAATTTACTGACTATTGGTTTATTCATTGTACAATTCCGATATGTTGGTACATATGTCACAAACCCATACCGACGAGCATTCGTACTATATTTGGCTGGTACTGCGCCATTCATATCTTCATTTGCTTTAGTGTCAATGTTCATGCCTCGAGTCTGGTTTTTGGCTCATTTACTCAGCTTTTTGTGAGTTTACTAGGTTATTCTTGTTCATATTGAAATTTTAGACTTCTGGGCCCTTTCACTTATAACATATGCTTAAAGAGGAGCACAGAATTATTTAAATAACCTAGTAAAATCAATAGAAATATACAATTTATAATTTATTTTTACTCCAGCTACTTCTCAATAGCTCTGTACGTGATTATATGTTTACTTCTTCACATTGTCGATGGTCGTCAATCCATGGTGAAAAAAATGACACAGAGTTCGGCTAGTTTCAGTGTTCAAACACCTCCATTTTGTTGTATTTTCCCTTGTTTGCCTCAATTACCGGTAGAAACGTAAGTTTCCTTAAATGAAAAATTTTTTAAATTGTAAGTCTCTTACCATCAGACGCAAGTTTTTAAATATTGTACTTTTAAATTTATTTTTTGTTAATAAAGTGTCATTTCAGGAAAAAAGTCCGCTTTTGTGAGATTATGGTTATGCAGACTTCAATTGTACGGTTAATATTTACAATTATCAGTCTTGTTTTGTATTTTGAATATTTTGAAGAATCATTTATGTGAGTTTAAAATTTTTATTATTTAAATTTTGTTTAATTTTACAATTTAATAAAACTTGTGTTAATTTGTTTGATTTCCAATACTTTTCGTGACATTTCGTAAAACTGTGTATTTTTGTAAAAAATTCAAGAAAAGCAAAGTTTTTTGGGTATAGTTGATATATTTTGTCATTTTGCTTTTTCAATAATTTTTGTGGCACTACGTCAAATTTCCAATAGTTTTTGTGACACTTCGTCAAACCTTGTTTATTTACGTAAAAATTCATTAAAAATCGTGTTTTAGGAATATTTTATAAATTTAGTCATTTTTCCTTTTCCAATAATTTTTGTGACACTTCGTTAAATTATCAATAACTCATTTTATATATAAACTTTCAGAGTTTTAAAAGTGCTCGACTTTATCTCATTACCATCACTTTTACTCGGGATTTACGGTTGTCACATCCTTGTGAATACAGTGTCAAGATTGGACGAGTTATGTCCGTTTAGGTATATTGTAGTATTTCGTTTACTCGACATCTTCTTTGCTGTGTTTGGTCTACAACAACCATTGTTCGACTTTCTGGCACGAGCTGGAATCTTCGGTTGTGGAGATGTTTTGCCGGCTTTGGAAACTGCGTTTTGTAAGTTTGGGTTATTGTAACATAACATACTAGAGGCTACTTGTACGGGTTGAAATAGGGAAGGTAGAGTAGAGTAGTGTAGGGTAGGATAAGGGAAGGTAGGGTAGGGTTTCAAAGGTTTAATTAGAAAATATAAAATATCAAATAATATTTTTAGTCTGGAAGAACATGGCGACCGTAGTAGAGTCGTTGATCGTATCAATAATCTCATCGCTTCTTCTGAAGCCTTCAAGAAGCGCTTTATTCGACAAATACCCAAGTTGTCGTTCAGTTATGTCAATGTCGACCATTGAAACTAATGCCGAATGCTAATGTATTATATATAGATTGTTTTTAAATAAAAGTATTTAAAATTTTTTCTTTTGCATCATTTTAATTGTAAAAAATATTTGACTGTAAAAGACGAAGTCTAAAACTAAAGTTTTAAAAGACAAAATTTCAACGAAAAAGCAATAAATTTATTTGTCTATGATAATATGATATACCCGTATTATAAAATCATTATTTTCTAAAAAGACTACGTAAAAGACCAAGATCAAAAGGAAACAAAATAAGCTATATTCGTGTACTTACAATTAAGTATAATAATATTCAGTCGGTAATTGTGTGAAAAATAGCAGCATAATTTGTACAGTAAATATTAGGTGCCGACAAAAAGAACCCGCCATACTTTTCCTGTAACTTCCTGTAAAAAATGGCGGATTTTTTATGTTCGCAGCTAATATTACCAAAACCTTCTTTGTAACTTATATTATAATTATCAAAATATATTTAAAATTCAAAAGCTTTAAAAGTACTTAATTTGACGCTGTCATCAAGACCGTCCTCGAGCCAGTTTTAAATCGTATGAACAGTCTTGAACAAGACATTTGAATATCATAAAACTACAGTAGTCTCTCTATATAATGAACCATCTAAATAAGCAACTCTCCTTATATTAAACAAGAAATTTGGTTCCGCCAGGTCAATATGAACTAAAAAATCACGCTGTAAAGGCAACACCCCCTATAGTAAGCACAAAATGCCGGTTCCTTTAGGTTGCTTATATAGAGAGAGTACTGTAGAGAGAGTACTCTTGCCATTCAATACCCTGTCCTGTACCATGAACAAAAGATCTGTACCATAAGATGAAGATTTTTACAAATTGTACTGTTTTCAGCCCTGACGTAAGACGAGGTACTATATACCTATAATGTGTTGCTTTGACAAAAAAATTAGCCCAAAATCAAATAACTTAGACCAAAATCAGCTCCATATTAACCATATAGAAAGTGTAAGATCAGTCGGTTAAAGCAATAAACTTTTCATTATAACCGTTTGGTTTAATTTGTAATACCACCAACATTACCAAGCCGAACACCACGAATGAGCCAATAATACCAACTTCTAACCATAAAAATAGTAAAAATGTTATCGACCATACTGAATTAATCTCTTTTGTTCTGAAAGTAAAATTTTACCATGATATCAATGATATTTTTTAATTTTGCTTGCTTTGCTTTAACCTACTATACACTACCCCACATATCTTGCTCACTTTACTCCCCCTTACTTTACTTTATTCTACCCTACCTTGCTCTACCCCCATCTTAAGCAAACTTTTTCTATTCTATCCCTCTCTGTCCTACTCTGCCCTACCCTAGTTTTTATTAAAACCAAAAATTCAAAAAAACCCACTTTGATCTCTGTACCATTTCGTAGACCTGCCGATCGTTCTGAATGTCAATATAACTTGTCTGCTTCTGAGCAGAAGCTTCTGTCGTCGTTTTCGGCTTTTGCATCTTAAATGTCGCAAACCGTAGATTACTTTGGTAACGTTTTGTCGACACAGCTGGTGCATTATAAGCGATCGTTCGTCTCGAACTGCTCCGGAATGTTGAGGATTTTACTGAGATTGGGTTCTGGGTTACGGCAGTTACTGGACCTCCTGTAATTTGTAAAATACGATATTTTCTCGCATGGTTAAAAATTGATTGAAGAAAGGGAATTGCCAAAACTTTTTAACCGCTAAAAACTAATTTCCTCAAAAAGCTGTTTTCCTTACCAAGCACTTTTAATTGAAACGGCAGACTGCATAACGGCCCATCCTCCTCGTCTTGAACGTAGAAAGTAACACTAAAGCTTCGGCCCAATTCTACTTTGTCCGGATGTTCGTATCGCTCTACATTTTTCGATTTAATTCGAACAAACCAAGGATGAAGTTCCGCCTGAATTAAATTATGTTGTGGTAGAGTATTTCTAAAGTAACTCTGTTAAAACAATTTTTAACAATTTCAACGAAGTATTTTACAAAACTTGTTTTTGCGTTTAAATGACTTCTTTTATAAATTTTAAAAATGCAATTTTTTATTTTATTAAGCTACCCTGCCTTGATATGCTCTACTTTATTTTACCAGAAACTGCATTACCTTACCCTATAACTTGCCAAACGTTCACTTAAAAATTAAAAAACTTACAGTAAGCTTGATTTCCCTAATAGCAGAATACCTTGCACATTGAGAAAACTCTCCACCAGCTTGAATATCTTCGTTTATGCCAACGAACGTCGATGGAATTAACCCATGGTCCACTTGAAACAATATAAACCAATCACTGTCGCTTGGCTCTAGCTTTCCGTATACACTGAAAAATGGCAATTTTATAACAGTTTTTTAAATTTTTTAACGTACTCAACACATGAGTGAGTGCTAGTACTCAAAACTATAGTTAGTACTAGTACTCAAAACTTGAGTATTTATTAGTACTTTACACCTAAATTAGTATTAGTACTCAAAATTTGTGCTAGTAATACCACTTTAAACATGAGCTAGTACTATTACTCAAAATTTGAGTTAGTACTAGTACTGAAAAATTGTATATTCTATTTTATTTCTGTTTTTAGCAAAAAAGAACTTTAATTTGTTGTTGTCAAAAGTCATCAATAAGGAGGATTAAAGGTTATAAAGCACTTTTTTGTTTCAAATTGTATTAGAAATGACCTATTGTTATGCAAAGTCAAAAGTACTTACAGTATTAATAGTAAGTTTTTTAATTTATTTATAAGCAACCCCTGCCCCCCCCCCTTCCTTCCTTCCTTTGCCAACATTACCCCGCCTCACCACAAAATATTCCATAAACCTCCCTTACCTACTATAATTCAAGGGTACATCGACATAGAACACCACGTCAGTCGGCTCACCATAAAACGTGAATTCATTGCCTTCGCCGACCCGAAACAGCCCTGTCAGCACGACCAACCATCGTATGTAAGTCGCCATAAAACCGCAAGTAAACCGAAGACGAGCGAAGCACCCTTAAGGCATTTAAACTCCAATTTCCATAAAAAACTTTGAATGGAGAAAACTACTGACCGTCCGGTTGGTTGTGTGCCAACGCTCCTTAAACACGTAAATAATAGAAGGTGGCCTCAGAGGTCGTCATTTATGGATGGCCGAGTTTTTGGCCGCGGTTCACTCGAAATTGTTTCACGCTTTTTCAAAAAATGCACAAAAAAATTGTTTTTGATTTCGAGAACGTCAACTTTTGAACTCAATTTGTCTATTAAGTTCCCTCACCTTCTCTTATCCTGTTTGTTTTAGTCCAAGTTTTAGCCTTATCGCTAGCTTTTGCTCTAGCCTTAGTCTTAGCCTTATCCCTAATCCAAACCTCAACCTTAAATCTAGCCTTAGTGATAACCCTAGTCCAGCTTAAACTCTAGCCCGGTCCATAATCCTAGTTCTAGTCGTAGCTTTGACCTTGTCCTAACCCAAACAGTAGCCCCACCCCTACCTTACTCCCTAGTCCTATCTTTTACACTTCTCCAATCCTTGAATATTAGCCCTGACTGTACCTTTCTACAACCCTTGCTCTGTCCTTACCCTACTCTTACTCTAACGTGGCAATAATATTGACCTGACCAAGCCCTAACCCTATATTTAGCTCACAAAGCAAAAAAGTTAGTTTTTCTACAAAATCCACCTCTTCAGTCTTACAATTGTTTGCGATTATCATAATAATCAAGCTTAGTTAGCTTCGATTTTCAGTTGTTAGGATACAAAATCTATTTTAACATCATACTCATACAAAAATGACATTTTAAAGAGCGTCTTTTCAAAAACAACATGAAACTCAAAACGTAACGGTCGAACAAGTACGAAAAGAAAAGAGCCGGATCAAACGTCTCAAGATATTATATCGAAAAATGTCAAAATTAGAGAAAAGTGTCAGTTATCAAAAACTCTCAAAAGTTTTACGGAAAATGACCAAACGTTTAGTTTTGGCAGTTTAAAAGATCAAAGATAACCACATTTCTAGAAAATTTAAAAATTTTTGTCATATTTACACTAATAGTACAGATATTCCTTTTTTGTAGTGCTCATGGTACTAAAAATTAAAAAATCAAAAAATGTGGTCAAATTCGAAAAAAAGCAAAACGGCCAAGCGTTTTGGCCCAGCGGCTATTTACTTTAATCGTTTTAGGCATTTTAAATTCAAATAAGCTTTTCCTGCTTTTTTGTTTACTAAACTTAAATACCACTTCCTGCGTATTAAAGTTGCATAAACAAGTGTTACAAGTCGGTTTGAAATGTCAGTCAAAATACAAGAAATATATTCTCGGAATCTTACCTTCACCTGACGTACCCTACCTACTTTCCTTAACTGCATTGTCCTACCTTAAAATTTGTTTCTGATACTTGAAGTCTACTATAACAACAGCAGCTTTACAATCCTTACTCACTTACCTTACCTTCAGTCTGATACTTTATTCTCAAATACACCCCCTCTAGATTAAAAACAAAAGTTGACTGCTCAGGAACGGCTTCTTCCTAATGTAACGTCAAAAAAAGTCATGAAAACGACACTCGTCCGAGACATAAACCCCAATTAAAACACAAAACAACATTAGTTTTAAAACAAAAATAGGTTGAGCTTGAACTTCAATCTATGTCCTTGTTCTTGTCTACTCATGCTTTTCCTGATCATATTTTAACCAACCCTTCTTTAAATTGTACTGCTCTACCCTGCCCTCATTTTACCTTAACCTGCACCGCCTTGCCTTTTCTTGTGTTTCTCTGCCGTGAAATGCCCTGTCCTGCTATGCTCTGCCGTGCCGTGCTCTGCCATACCCTACTATACATTAAACTCCCCTACCCTACCATACCTTACTCTACCTAATCTACCATACCTTACTTTTTTATACCCTGCCCTAATCTTTTTATTTCTTACCCTGATACTGCTCCGTCTTTCCCTGCCTTCTTGTACCTGTTCATACCAATAACCTCTTCCCTACATCAACCCATACCTAACAAATGCAAATAACGCTCTTTTATACTCTGCCCTAAAGCGGTAAAACGAATAAAGTGTTCAAAACAGTTGTCCCAGCCGGATATTATCCAGGATATGTAAATAGAATTATAGAATAATTTCACGCACAAACGCCCAAAACAAAGTGCACAACGGGAATATAATGCATTAGCAAAATTGGGCCATTAAGTTGTGGAGGGGAGGGGGAACTATTTTGGATTTTCATTTTTAAAACGCACTTTTAGTTACGCTCAATTGCGCGTTTACATGGTTTGGTGAAAACATAAAAAACATAAAAAATTGTTAAAGCACACCCAAAATTTTTTTAATAATATAATAGTTTAATAAAGGTAACGTCGAGTAAAGTAGTGAGGCGTGGTACGGATAAAGTAAGGTATATTATGGCAAAGCAGAGTATAGCAGAGCAGAACAAAGCAAGGCAGATTGGGCAGGGAAAAGCAGAGCAGGGCAGATCAAGGCCAAGGCAAGGCAAAAGTAGAGCAAAACCAAGGCAATAACATTTCAAAGGAAAGGCAAAGCAAAGGCAAGGCAAAGGCAGGGCAAAGGCAAGACAAAGGCAGGGCAAAGGCAGGGCAAAGGCAAGGCAAAGCAGGTTGAGTTAGGACAATGTAAGATAGTATAAGGTAAGGTAGAAGATGTCTTTCCTTTACCAATATTGAGTTTTTCCAAAAAGAATGGCCGATCTTGGCAGACAAATCAAATTTAAAATCGGTCATTCTTTTTGGAACAACCTAATACTTAAAAACATGCCAAAACCTTTGTAAAGCCCTCACAAAGTAGCATAACAATAAAAAACTCGGGTTTTTGACGAAAGTCTTAAGTATCACCCAAAAAACATAACAATCACAAAAAAAACCTTTCCAAAGATTGAAAAGTCAGGTGGCCAAAGATAAATTAATTGACCGGCAGTTCTTTAGTCTACTAAAACACGCATAAACCAACATTGTTTTATGGGTCGGTTTTAAAGGGTTTTGGTATGATAACACTAGTGTCGTAGACTACGTTTAAAAATTGTAAAATACGCTCATTTCCCTCATAGACACTATAGTGCACTAAAGGTTGTCATATTTATAAAAAGTTTCAAAAAAGATTTTATTACGTTGTTCAAGTAATCCTATGCCTCTTAACCTTGCATATTTTTTGTAAGCACAGAATTATATGAACAACCTAATAATTTACAGCTCTATATAACATTTTTATTGTACTAACAAGGAAAGGTCCCCACCGCGCATTGGACTGGTGAAAAACTGGTACATACAAGTTGTAGAGCATGGTCAAATTAGTCAAAAACCGAAAAAAAATTTACCCCTCGTGGGGGTTTTTTAAAAAATTTTATTACGTCGAAGTTTAAAAAGTTTAATTGCGCTCGCGCTAGACTCGGAAAAGAAGAGGAGAGAGTTCCGTGATGCAATAGCGCAGGGGTTGCGCTCTCGTTTAACGCTCAAAGCCCGTTGGTTCGGGTGGCGGCGTAGGCACACCCTTTTTTGCCTGAATTAAAATGTTTAAAAATAAAAAATTATTTTTTTGGTCAAACTTGTTTTTTTTTTTACAATTTGTTTGTTCTATTATTCTTTAAATAATACTTTTATTTTTTTTTGTTTGTAATAATGGAGAAGTTTTGTTCTGAGGTGATTTCAACGTGCCTTACGAGCTAGTGGATAAGTATGTGGATAAACACAAGCTTAATAAATAGAAAAATTGATTCTTTGATATAAACAAAACAAAATTTGACCAAAAAAAATAATTTTTTATTTTTAAAAATTTTAATTTAGGCAGAAAAGGGTGTGCCCTCGGCGCGACCCGAACCAACGGGCTTTGAGCGTTAGCCGAGAGCGCAACCACTGCGCTATTGCAGCACGGCACACTCCTCTTCTTTTCCGAGTCTAGCGCGAACGGAATTAATATTTTAAACTTCGACGTAATAAAATTTTTTAAAAAACCCCCACGAGGGGTAAATTTTTTTTCGGTTTTTGACTAATGTGACCATGCTCTACAACTTGTATGTACCAGTTTTTCACCAGTCCAATGCGCGGTGGGGACCTTTCCTTGTTAACCTAGAAAAACGAGAAAATTTTGTCTTTTCCTAAGTAGACCTAAACACATATTTTTTTAATTTTTAAAACATAAAAAAATTTGAAATATTTCATAAACTGAAAAAACTCTTCTAAATTCCATACTCTATAAAATTTAAATAAAGCAAAATTGAATTAAGTGCTGATAATAATTTATTATTAACCGGATCTGATCAACTATAATCCCGACTAGATAGTATATATACTACAGTACATAGCCAACAACTTTTAAAACCTAAAACGCATTTTAAAAACCTTAAAACTTGTACATACCTATGTACTAGATTGTACTTGAAAAATTATAAATTTTCAAAATTTTAACAGTCAGAAAATCTACTACATAGTACAAGAAAAACAAACAATGATAATGTTAAAACTAAAAAATTTTTAAACATAAAAGTTAATAAAACATAAATTTTGAATATGAAAAAATGTTGAAAAATGAATATGTACAAAGATACTCTACGCGTTTGCACCGTATTTGGTTTTGCTGATGAGAAGAGTGAGGACGAGTGAAATGGCCATAGTGAAACCCGTGATTATAAAAAGCTCGTCGAAGCCGATCATGGCCAAGACGAATTGAGAGTTTAGCGCGGTTAGGATACCGGAAAACGCCTATAACAACACAATTTTATGCTTTCATTTTTCCAAATTTTAAATTTTTAAAAATTTTTTGACCATGTCTTATCGTACCGACGGTACCGTGCCTTTTTTCGGCTCATAGATGATAAAATAAGTTTTTTTTTTATTTTTAGCTCCTAGATGCTAGGAACAAGACCAGCCTATAATTAAACCCTATATAGTAAAACCTCAGTATGACCCTCGATAATGAGCAAACTTCATTGTAATCCCCTTTTCAAGTTAATATATACCTAAACCTGCCAAAACTTACCAAACAAAGCTGACAAAACCCGTAAGTGATAGCAAAATTCGCACTGCCAAAACATTTATGAATAGCATAAGGTATTAGGCAATATGTGGCTCCAATACCCACAAACATGGCACAAATCCAAACAAAAAACAGTGATGGACTAGCTACCCATTTAACAAATGGCAGTCCCCACATTAGGACAGCGCCCATGGTACAGGCGATGCTCATGGCTAGTTGGTATGAAGACTGAAATTCACAATCAAATAAATTTTTTTTAAACTGTCAAAATGGTAACATTACTATTATACTTAAAACAACACATTTTGATTTCTCCTTTGCAGCCAAAAATTTAAAAAAAGCTGCACCGTGCAGTTTTTAAAAATTTTGCGCCGTGCAAAGCGTATAAAATGCCAACCCTTAACCATGCTATATATAAAAAAAATTACAAATATGTTAAAAGCCTTAAAAAAATAAAGAATTTATATTTTATTAGCACGAACGAATAAAAACTGTCATTTTCTCATTAAACGTCGTTTAAAAAGACTGCACAGTGCAGTTTTCCGCATTTTTGCACCGTGCAGTCAACTTACCAACATTTTTCAAAAATTAAAAAAAACTGCCTTTTAAAATGTTATAATAAAATAAAACTTACCTTATCAGCCACGTAGCCCCAGAATATCCGGCTCAAACAGTTGGCTATAGCCGCAAATGAATTTACAGTGGCCAAAAAGAAGTCATCCTTTATAAAACTTTGTGCGTATGCCTAAAATCAATAAATTTATACAACATAGCTAACTCCTGTCATTGACTAGTATAAAATATATATTAAAAAACAATAAAGAAGTTAAAGCTACAATAATTGGCCCTTGATCTTCCAAAACCAACTTTCTCCTTACCTTAAACAACCCACTAGTAGTCTGTACCCAAATAGCATTGCACAGTAATGTGAAGAACAATATAATAAACGTCCAACTTTTGACAATCTCTTCTTTCGTTATCACTCTCACATCTGACTCCACTTCATCATCAATATCACTGTCTCCATCAGCTGATATCAATGATTGTGATTCTTGTCCTCCATCAGACGTTTCTTGGACTGGATCAGCAATAAAAAGTAGTCCAATCGTTTGAATTACAGCGAACATTCCTCCCATAAGCAAGAATAAATATGGTACTCTTTCTAGGATTTCTGGTTGAGTAAAGTAACCATCGTCATCTACTTTAAGGTTGTGTGGGTTGATGAATTTGGTCTGAATTGGTGATAACAAGAAGGCTCCACTGCCGAAACCGGCCGTGATTAGGCCGCTGACAAAGCCAACGTTCTTTGGCATCCACTAAAACAAGATTTAAGTAGTACTTAAGTCAAATATTGAGATCTGAAGCTTAAAAACCAAAAACAAAACCCAAAAAATCATGTAAAACATCCTTAATTTCAATTCGAAGCTGTTCATCAATAAAATCACCTAAAAATCAAGCAAAGAACAATAACCATACCCTTTGACATTGTGTTAAAACATTGACGTATGCCATTCCTTGTCCAAAAGAAGCAATCAGGCCGGTTGTCAATAATAACCAGTAGAATGATACTTGGATAGAGAAGAAAGATACCAATAGACCTCCAACATACATAACTGAACCTATGGCAGCTCCCATTCTAGCTCCAACTTCCCTTTCCAATATTCCTCCTAATAGCATGGCAAACGGTAGGCCCGCTGCAATGATATTAATAATAGTTTATTAAAATTTAGATAACAAAAACAAGAAAAAGTGAATTTTAGGTAATGCTGTAACTTTGGGTAACAAAATTAAAGAAATTTATGTTACTTACACATAAAACTCTGTAGCCACATAAGAGAACCATTTGTTTGATTTGGATTTACTTTCCATCTGAGATAAGAGACGAGATACGGCAAAATGTTACCTGAAATCATTCAAATTGTCTTAACAATTCACAGAGACCTCAGAAATCTAAAATATTAAGCAAGAAAGTTTTTAACAATATTAAAAAGCAACTAAAAATTAATTTTCAATAAAGTTTGCTATATTTCTCAGCTCATCAAAGTTAGTCGACCTTATAACTTCATAAACATATAATCTTTAAGCTCAAAATCAAAAATTTAATGAACTTTCAATTGTTTTACTTCGAGCTGTTTTAGTAAATAATTATGTATCTTCTCAATCTTCCATGACATTTTTAATACCTAAAAACCAATCAAAAACATTTTCAAAACCTTACCGAATGTGTACACCAATCCATAACTGAACTGCAAACAAACTCCAGCTGTTATCACTGATAGTGCCCGGTATTGTGGTGATATCCTCTTCACAAACCAATCCCTGGTGTCCATTAGGACCAGAGCCTGCGAGAACGGTCCCCTTCGAATGGATTTTCTCATTAGATGTGTTTTAAAAAAGCGGGCGAATTCGGGGCAAAGGTCTGACGACAAACAGCATGCGCACTTCGCTTCCCGTAAAAGATGCGGAATATAATATAGGAATTCGAATAATAAGTTTGTTTGTTAAATAAAGTAGTTTTTTAGAGAATCGAGGTAAGATTTTGTGATTCCTTCCAACCAAACTGGTGAGAAGTAGAGTAGAGACTAGTACAATATCCAAATGCACTTCAGAATTCTAAAAGGTTAACGTTTAAGAAACTAACTCAATTTCTAATGACCAGTATAGTCTTTACTTTGTATATAGTTATAGTAATAACAGTCAGGGACGATCGTTCAAGTTTTACCTTCCAGTAGTTCAAGCTTTAACAACTAACTTTATGCCTAACAGAGATGTCTAGTATAATATAAATAAAACATCACACGTTGGCGTATGAGCAAACAACCTATGTAAAACAGAGTCCTTATCGTGTATTCTTTACGTCGATACCAAATTTTGTCAACAATAACAAAAATTTCATCAAATTTTACATCATCTGTTCTAACATTTCCCTGTTCGCTAAACGTAAAAAGCTAAATTTCTCAGTTAATAAAAGTAAGTAAACTGAGATATTTTTACCATGTAAAACTATTACTACAACCTATCAACATACAAAGGTGCAGAGCAATCTGTTCATTGAAAACAAAGTTATTTTCTTATAAGTAACTTACACTAGTCAAGTATAATATCCGTTTTTAGTAGAAACAATCCGTTGTTAACATATGTCTATTTAATATCTCTTTCGCGCGTTTACACAAGTTTCTTTTTTCAAAAATAGACCAGAGAACAGGCTTCGCAGTGACGTCAAACAACAGACCTTATTATAAGCAGGATATGAATGTCCAGAAGTCGTTAAAAACAAATCAAGAACAATTTGAAAAAGGTGTCGTTTGTTTATACAGCTAATTTACTGCATAAACAGTACAGTTTTTTGCTTTAAACCGTCCAGTTGTCGGAACAAATATATGGGAAAAACGACAGATAGCAACATCACGTTTAGTGTAATATAATTTCTAAAAAATTTGAATAGACATGCTCCTGCAAAAAATTTAAAGATGTGAATACCACTTCTAATTATCATAACAGACAACTCCTAAAAGTCCGCAACAATAACTATGTAAAACTCTAAAAAAAACACCTAAAACAATATAAACAATGAAGAACATCTAAGTATACACAAACCCAATGATCCCAATCAAAAAAAACTTGTAAAAAGTACAATACGCTCGTTCTTTCAGCAATCTCTTATCAGTATTTTATCAGTCTAATTAATTTCTGATATCAAAAAAGATAAAACTAAACTTTTAATGAAAAAACATATTTAGCTATGAAAATTGCAAAATAAGTAACTTACCAAAGTAAAAAATAAAAATAATGTAAAAATATTTGTGAGAACAGCTAAAAAACATGCCATTTACGTCAATTACATGGCTTACATCCGGAAATTCAAGAGCTTCAACTGGCGAAAAATATAATAGAAGTAAAAAAGGGCGCAGAGTGCCGAAAAATTCTGCAGTCTGCAAGTTTACTCACTGTACATTTAAAATTCCTGTAAAACAGAGTCCCGAATAATAAAAAAAATAAAAAGGCTAGTCCTAGAGCAGTTTGTTATAGTGGGAGTTAACTGTATTAATAGTGAGAATTTACTGTATTAACATCAAATTTTTGAATAATTTGAAGTTTGAAGCTTCGTAAGGCTGTGAAGCATCTTGAAACGGTCTTGTATACTGGAAATTTATTTCTTAATTTTATTTTTTCAAAACGTGAAATAAATTGTAGTAATGCATACGGTAAAGTAATATTGAACTAAATTTTGTTATGATTTTTTCTGTTTTATTTTTTTTAAATGGTTAACATTTTGCTTGAAATTATTATTGCTTTTAACATTAACGTATGGGTAATAGACGTATAAAAATTTTTGAAATTTGTTTGGGGCAGGGCTGGGCGGGATCTTTTGGTCTGGGGCCGGGGGTCGAAAAAATCGGCACAGGTGCCGATTTATTGCGAATTTTTTTCCATAAATTCCCAATTTTTTTTAAACCTCAGCTGATTTCTCGCTGAATAATTAGGTCCGGGTTTGACATTAAGGACTGAGCCGATATGGCCTTGGCGATAAGGCGGTTTCGCTGTAAAAATTAATTTAAAACCGGCCCGTTCTGTTCAACAATTTAAGGGTAGACGTGAGCAACGGGCCGGGCCTGACAAAAATCAAAAACGGGCCGGGCTTGTAATGTAGGACCGGCCCGTTGCTCACGTCTATTTAAGGACTGCCGCACTTGTCCATATTTTAGGATCAAGCTGATTGCCACCTCTAATTTAGCCCGAGGGGTTTTCGTTTTTCATTGCTTAAAAAATATGGTATTAGGTTATTCTATAAAGAATAAAAGGGAAAATGTACTGAATTTGTTAATTGTTACTTAAATTAATAAACTTTTTGTTCAAGAAAGTTACGCTTTGTTAAAGCTTACGGTTAAAATCGGCTATTCTTTATTGAAAGACCTAATACTTTGCGGTCTTACAATAAGAAGAAACCGGTATTTTTTAAATTATTTGTTGCTTTATTTATTAGGTTGGCCCAAAAGTAGTAGAACGCTTTTCATCGTATAACTTTGCCCCATTTATATCGTGTAAGACGTGAATATAACTTCTATCAGTTTATAACATTTGTACATTAAGATGATTAACTAAATGTCGCTTCATGAGGATTCGGGAGTAATTTTTGACACTACTCTTTATGAAAGACCTTATTTTTCTACTGTATTCCTATTTAGTACACTACTGTTATGTATACTACCGTTATTGTCGTAAAGCTACGGTATATCCTAAAGCTAGTATATTATATAATTGTGATTTATACTACACTATAACTACATAATATATAATATTATTCACTACATATATATTTAGCATTTTATTTAATATGATTGGCGTAGTTGTAGCCATTCAGTCGTTAATGCTAAATTGCTACGCCTTTTGCAAAGCAGTCAAAAAATCTGCAAAGAAAATGCATACTAACGTAATTTTTTTAATTGTCGCCAACATTAATTCACTAATCGTAATTTTGTTGTGGAGGCTAATGTTTAGTGCCACTTTTGGATTCACCGGATATCTGCCTGTTAATGGTCCAGTAAGTTGTTTTTAATACCTTGGCCGTAGACCTAGCTCAGAGCCCTAGACCAGAGCCCTAGCCCAGAGCCCTAGCCCATAGCCCTAACCCAGAGCCCTAGCCTAGAGTCCTAGCCCAGAGCCCAGAGACCTAGCCCAGAGCCCTAGCCCAGAGCCCTAGCCCAGAGCCCTAGCCCAGAGCCTTAGCCCAGAGCCCTAGCCTAGAGCCCTAGCCCAGAGCCCAAAGCCCTATCCTAGAGCTCTAGCCCACAGCCCTAGCCTAGAGCCCTGTCTCCCTAGCCTAGAGCCCTAACTAAGATGTACTGTTACATTAGTTTGTAATTTTCAGACGTAAAAAAACTTATCGACAATCAACATTAAACTTCCTTCAACGTATAATTCGACTGTATGCAGGTTTTCGCGAAGCATGCAGTTGATGATAATAATGGCAAAGTTTACCAGTGTCTTTTTCCCGTTTTGTTCAAACATCATTTTCTGTGGAATAATGGTATATTTAATTCTAGTTGGTAATGCCGTACATTCACGAAAATTGTGTAAGTTTTGATCATTTTTTATTATTTTTTTAAATACTTATTAATCCTTCATTTAAGCCTAACGTTTAACTTTTAGTGAACCTGACTTAGGCTTGTGGTTTTCTCTAGCCAATTTAGTTTTTGTGCCGTAAAATTTCAACACATGTACGGTATGGTAGAGCCGAACTACCGTGATGACGACAGACTTTCGTCTTTAACAATTTGTTGGATTTACATTAACTGAAGCCATTCTACGTAGAATAAAAACAACAGTTATATTGGTTTGTGAAAACAAGGTAATTTTGTTATTTACTTTACCTTCTTTTATTCATTTTATTATTTACTTTACATTTATGTACTTTGTGTTAACTGTTGCAATTTACTGTGGTAGTGCTCAGGGCTAGGTTGTAGAATTTGGTTTGAAAACTGGAATTGAATTTTATATGTTTAGATACATAATTTCAGAAAAAAGAAAGAACAGATGATATTAAAAGAAGGACAAAAATTAAACGTAAAAAAGTGAATACATTACTGATGGATACCATAATATCATCAATTCCGTAAGCTTGATTGTAGAATAATTGAAAATTTTGCGTAAAGGATCAACATAAGCAAACAACTTGGCGATATGGGGCTTAACTTCTGGGCCGTAATGTTGGTTGGAGAAAAACTTACCTTTGTAAGTGTGTTTTGAAAAAGTGTGGAACGAAAAAAAATATTAGGCTTTGTCAACTTGCACTAACACTTATTCTTTCAGGAAGGCGTCGTAAATTTATTTTTGGTTTGAAAAGCCAGCTTATGGTAGAACAGAACACCTTTGCAGTCAACGTAATTACGCCAATTTTTTCTTTTTATTCCACTAAACTGACAATTTTAATATGATGGCATTATTCTGAACGTTCCAAACAATCAAATAAAATACATAACCAAAAACCAATGTTATACCCGTTTATTGATCTTATCAATCGAATAAATCCATAAATAAATAGAAGTTCTTATTACTCTTTCTATATTACACTAGACGTCGGTGTCGCCGTAGATGCGGTTGATGCCATTATGCATAAGGGAGCGGCTTTCTGGAGTTGACACGGATTTGTGCACAAAATGACTCTTCACAAAACTAACCGTACTAAAACTATAGGCTTGTTTTACAGTAGGCACTGACAAGTGGTTTAAATTTTTTTACAATTTTTGAAAAATTTAAAAAAAATTTTTTTAAATTAAATTTTAAAAATAATTTTAAAATTAAATTTTAAAAATAATTTCAAAAAAAATAAATTTTGTTTCAAAAAATACTATAAAAGCCGCTAATTTAAAAATATTTTTACTATGATAACAAAGAAACTGCCCGACCTGCTCCGCTTTGATTGACTTCAAACTTTTTATATAGAAAGATCATGTCAATATAATACATTTAAAAAAGTACTGAATCGAGCTTTCAAGCCAATCTCGAAAAAATCAAAATCAAAAAAATTACGTTTTGAATTTCCCGCCAAATTGGCATTATGTTTCAATCTTACAACTTTGCCATTTTTTGACTTTTAATCACTTTTCTTTGATATAGTAATAATAAACCATTAAATAAACCTGAATTTTGAAATTTGTAAGAATGGCTTCTCTAGAATGTCCAAAAAAAGTGGTTGAAACACAATGCCAAATTTGCCAAATCGACGGGAAACTCAAATATTTCTCATTCAAAACTCAAAAGCGCGAGCTACACATTTTATCAGTGCTATTGGTGTTACAATAAATTTAAATAAAAATTTTGAGCTGATTCTGAGAAAGCCAGATTTGGTACTTTCATTGAAAATTGAAATTATATAAAAATAAAATTTTAAACTAGGACTACTTCACAAAAAAATATTTTTTTTTTGGTTTTTGAAAGTCAGTGGCTTACTGTAATGTTAGCAGAAGCTTTGTTAACAATTTTACAACATAAAGTAGCCGTGTGGTGCAAAAAGTGGCAACCGTACAACTCTTTTTTATTTTAAGAGTTTTATAATTAAAACTTCAATTTTTTTAAATTTCTTATCACAAAATACAAAATTTATCAAATTTAGTGTTAGTTTTTTACTGTACATAAACATTACCGTACCTACAACAACAAAACAACACCAAAACCAACCTCATAATGCCGCATTTTCTGTAAATCTTGAGCATGGTCTGCATAAAGTCGTCTCTTAACCTTGAGTTCATAGCAAAAAACAGTCCAAATATGATACATGACGTTAGCAAAGTTAACGACTCGAACAGATCGCCTAAGGTGTCTTGATAAGGTATTTGAGCTATGCTTTGGGCTACGGTCAACACGCCTTGAGGGAACTCGACTACGATAAACACTACCATTATAACCTGAAAGTGGCAATTCTTTTAATATTTGATGAGACAGACAATGGGGTAGGGGAATTGCGGGGTAGAGAGAGGGTTTTTAGAACAAATGTCATAATTTTAGCAAGGTAAGGCAAGCGCGGATAAAGTAGAGAAAGTTTTGCCATCCCCTTCCCATTAAACTTACAATAATCATATTTGTAGTCCTGCTGTACTGTTTGTCCCTCTCAACGTTCTGAAACCTTGACGATGCTACTTGAAGTTGCTTCAACTCCCTTATCAGTAAAATGGTCATAACGCTCAATATTGAACATGGCACCAATTTGCACACAAACCCAAATAACCAAAAATTAAGTTGTTGTAGTTGTTCATTAGAGGAAAACTCGAGGTAATGGACGGTTCGGTTAGCAAAGTAAGGATATTTCTCTAGACAAGCCTCGTCTGGCTCGTTGGCTTCGGCGATATGTGAGTGAAAGTAGATTGGACCGCAAATCACAAGGACGGAAATGTAGATGATAATCAAGGTTTTTATGCATTTCTGAAAACAATTTTTCATTTTTTTAGTTTTTTTGGTTTTTATATTTTGTAAAATACGGCCTCTTATTCATATTGGTTAAAAGTTCGTATCTTCACCCAAAATATAAAAAAAATTTTAAAGCTTCCTGCCAAGCATTTTTTTTTTATTTTTTAAACTTCTTATTATTTTTTGCTTTGTAATACGTTTTCTATCTTATAATAGTATCTGCCTTATTTAAATATGATAAGAAGTACTTGCAAAACAATGCCCAAATCAGGGCAAAAATTGAAAATATTTTTTTTTTAAATTTAAATATAACCAAAAAACGTTTTTATTTGACTGTAAAGATACTGGGCAGGCATTAATTGAAGAATTATTTAGACCATTGGAAACTTTCGTTGCGGGACCTGACCTGAGCTAAGTTTCTAATGCCGTCGCTTAAGCTGAGCCTAGTAGCCCCTTTTTGGAACGTATTTTTTTAGTTATTATTTTTGGCAAAATAATAACGTAATATTAAACATTTATAGTGATTTTAGCGTTTTAAGTTAAAGATGATCCTTGCAAAAAACGTCTTTTTTTCATAATTTAAATTTTTTTTCCAAAAAATTTAAAAACTTTTAAAATTTTTAACCAAAACGAAATAATATTTCATTTTTAACTGTAAAAATAAATCACTAAGTTACAACAAATGAACGATGCAAAAAGACATTCGTCTTCCATGTGTACTATTTAGTTTCCGAGAAGGAAATGTTCTTATGAGGCCATTTGAATAGAAAATAAGTTTTTCGAAAAACATGCTGTTATATTATAATATTTATAGATGAACCTAAAAAAGGTTAAATTTATAATGGGTTTGATGGTATATTTGAATGGGCTTTTTGGGTATTGAAAAATTTGAAAAAATTCTGGAATTTTGGGGTTTTTGGAGAAAATTTAAGCCCGGCTTAACCCTAGTGGTTCACGCTGCAACTCAGCCTAGCCCGGCTTAGTCCAAGCCCTAGCAACAGCGTATGTCAGCCCCAGCTCTGTCCGGTCTCACACGGGCTCGGCTGAGGGTTCGGGCTAGACTAAAACAAATTTGAAAAAAGTCGAACAGGATAATTCGGTAAAAACCTATTAAAAGTCTATCCTTATCATCCCTTCCTTCTTTTCTATTTTATACAAAATTCAACAATCCACCCTCTCTTACCTTCATAGTAAACCACTGTATACTAGACGTGGTTTGTCGAAGATCCCTTAATGACATGTATCGTATGATTGATAAAGCTACCACATGAAACACACCAGTCATGTGTACCATTACACTAACATTTACTGATATTAACAGTGTACCAGTCCAAGCAAACGACCATAAACTTGATAGACATAGCTCATCACTTCCATATTTGTATAACGTGCTGTACAGAAAGTTTATACACAGTATCAGTTGGCTGCTAAAAAAATTTTGATAATTTTTAAAAAAATTTTGAAATTTAAAATTTTTTTTCTGTCTTTCAAATTGTATTTTTCAAAAATTTTAAATTTTAGGTTAATTTTTGAATTTTTTAATTTTTTTAGATTAAATATCCAATATTTAGCTAAAACTAAAAAAACATCTACCACGTAATATCCTGAAATCATTTTTGTTTTATTTTAATTACCGAAGACATGTGCAAGAGTGCTATTATAATTAATAGCACAAAAGATGAACATGTGATACATTAATTTTTGTTTAAAAAAACAAAAATGTAAACTTTTTGATAACATAACTAAAAAACGATTTTTGAAAGAAAAAAATATCATCAAAAATGAATTTTCTGACTTATATTTTGCGTAGCAAATCAAAGAGTAGTTGATCTATTTTAGTTTTTTAGATCAATGGGTCGCGTACGCCGGAGGCTATGGTACAAAAGAGAGAAGGATGGGTAGTATTGGGTACAAAAAGCAAAGAAGGGGAAGATACTTATAAAAAAATAAATCTTTATCAAAAAAATTTTAAAGTTTTCTTGATCAAACAAAAAAACCCTCATTCCTGCCCCTCGTGTCCCTCTAGTCCGTTTATTAGTCCTGCCCTAAATTCTCTTCCCCTTAGATCTATAAAGAAAACACGCCGAGCCTAATAGGTCCCCTTTCAGGTCTACCCTCCCCCTCCTTTTACAAATCTAAAAAAACCCTACTTGGCTCCGCAAAAGCTTCAATTATAATATAACAACCCTTACAGTAAATTTATCCCCAAATAATACCGAGAAAAACTTACCACGACATGCTAATTAACAACAAATTAGTGGGATTTGGGATTTTCGATAAAACGTTGATAGAAAACGAATGACCCACAATCCCTGCCAAACACAATGTCATCGCCAGAGGCTCGTGAAGAATGTCATAAAGCTGTGGCAACATGCTCTTTGACGCTTTGGATGTTACAGCATGCCTGAAAAGACACGGATAAATTAGTCGGATAATTTGGACAAATAATCTCGCTTATTATTGTTAATTACTAAACAATAGACTATGTACGAACGCTCGGTAAAGCAGATATAAGTATAGGTGTTTTTTTGCAAAGTTTAATGTAAAGGAAGAGATAGGGGTTAGCAAATAATGTAAGTTTTAAATGGAAGAACGCCTTGTTCTGCCTTTGCCCTGTCTTTGCCCTGCCTTTGCCTTGTTTTTGCCCTGCCTTTGCCCTGCCTTTGCCCTGCCTTTGCCTTGTCTTTGCCCTACCTGTACCCTGCCTTTGTGTTACGGTCCGATATCGAGTCTTCTCTATGATCGGGCGAGCAATAAACATTGCTGCCAGAGAATACGAAAAGAGAAAAAAATTCAAAACAAAATAAGAAAAAACCTAACAACATTTTTAAATCGAAAATATTTTTTTCTTTATATATTGTTTTTATAGACAATCTGAAGTAAAAATGTACACTGACAGTAAGTGCAGCATATTTACAAAATTTATCGTAAAGATGTATAGATTTGTAAACAAAGTTTTTGCATTATCTATTAAAAAATATTTTTAAAAGTAAGAAAAATAGCAATTACAATTTCAGATATATTGACATAATCAGCGTAAGAGAGGAAGTATACCGTAGAAATTTAAAAAATGCCTTGCAAAATAGGTTATAGTTGTTGGACAAAATTCTACACGTGACCTTATGTACGAGTGCTATATACGTTTTCCACACGACGTGATACTAAAAAGCAGTATCCGTTTTTGTCAATAATTAATTATTTTTCAAGAAGTATGACGGTCATATACGTTTTTAAAGATTTATGCTATAACTTTGAGGTTATTAGCCATTATTATAGTAATATACGGTCGCTTCTCCTTTTAAAATTTTTTGAAATTTACAACAAATCTTATCTTTAAGAAACCTGCTTTTTGAAACTCTACCCTTTACCGTTTCCTTGTTATAAGCTACGCTTTAGCCTTCAACCGGTGGTCGTTTTTCAGGTTGTTCTCAGCCATAGCTTATTCATTAGGGTCTACTGTACTTATGGAAGCCTACTGTATTTAAAAAAAATCCAAAAATAAAAATTATAAAAACTTGTACTATAAAGTTTTAAAAATTTTCAAAACTTTTTATTTCATTAGTACAAGCTCTCCTAAAACGTACCCCAACCTCCGTACCCCCAACAAACCTCGACTAATGTCAAATTATTCAAATTACCGCCGGAAATTCAACAAAGCCGTCGCATCCTGATGAGGCCAACATAAAAGTGCGACAAATAATGAGAAACCTTGGTGGTGAAGGAATGCCGGGTCCGCCGGATTCATAAATATTAAGCACGCTGATGGCACGCCAAGATTAAGGAGCCGCCCCAGGAACAACAAGTTTTATCTCTCGGCTTTGTTTGAGGGCCGGGTTGGAAATGAACTTGGTTGATTGCGAGCCGTATTGGGCCGGGCCCAATTCCCAACGGGTAGCCGCATGAATCCTAAATTGACCTTTCATCAGATGACAAAAGCGAACAATGTAGTCCAGTCAATGACGATGGAGGGACTCGATTGTTTCGAGGAGTAAGTGCATTATGGTTGAAAATAGTCGTGTTTTGAACAAAAGAATAAGTACAGTTTAATTTGGAATGCTAGCTTTAGTTGATGGTGAGCTATCAGTTGCAAAGCTAAGTTTTTAATATTGTCTCTAACGGCATAGCTATTGTAATATAAAAAAGAACAAAGTTATATATTATCCTACCCAAAAAAAGAGATGATCTTATGCTAGCACATGACAAAAATAGGAAATTTAAAGGTTTTTTATTATGACGTGCTCTGTAATGTACAGTACAAAAATATTTACCAATATTTAATTTTTATTCTGTAAAGTCTAGCGATAAGATAGAGAAGTACACAGTAGTTCAGAGCACATAGCACAGTAATAAGGTAAAGTCTAGCGATAAGATAGAGAAGTACACAGTAGTTCAGAGCACATAGCACAGTAATAAGGCACAAAAGCGCGTATTTTCTTGTTGAAGGTCCTAGCCCAGCCTTTGCCCTGCCTTTGCCCTGCCTTTGCCCTGCCTTTGCCCTGCCTTCGCCCTGCCTTCGCTCTGCCTTCGCCCTGCCTTCGCCCTGCCTTCGCCCTGCCTTCGCCCTGCCTTTGCCCTGCCTTTGCTCTACCTTTGCCCTGCCTTCGCCCTTTCTTTTCCTTACCCTTCGCCTTGCGATGCCAATTTTTAATGATCAAAAATAAAATTTAAAGACCAAAAGAACACGACCTGTTTCACTACTTCCGGCAGCTTTAAAAAATGATGACATTCAGCTGGTGTTTAGCTGTTTTAATGACACTTACGCATGTTGAAGCCATGAATTCTTAAATTTTTTGTACATAAAAACGTCTCGTACTAAAAATAGACTTTGCTTTTAGTACGTGGTAGTCTTGTTGAACTATAATGGCTTAAGTTAAAGTTGCAAAGCGCAACAATGTTAGCTATGCGTCAACAAAGGTAGCGTCCTTTTCTGAATAACACCGTCTAAATATTTTTTCTTCAAAGCTAAAAAAATTGTAAAAGCCATACATAAACCATAAATAATTTTTAAAAAGCTAAATTTTGCAAACACAGTACATTACCCTCTTCCAAACACATTCAAATCTTTAAACGTTCCGCAAAAGCTTTAAAACTCGTTTCCTTTCCGCGGCCCCAAAAACATGACAATATTTATGTAATATGTAATAAATTTAAATGTCGGAAAAAGCAAAGTAAAGTGCTTTAACTCGACAATAGAATTCAGTCTGCGCTTAAATTTGATTCTGGATTCTTTGTTTGCACAAAGAGATGGGCAATTACAGCTCGAGTATCAGCGTGTTGTGGGTGGTGGGGTAGACGTAGAATTGTAAAATACGTTCTGTAGACAAATGTAAAAAAATTTTTAAATATTTCATCTACCTTACTCTACCCTACATAACTTTGAAGCTTTACCTTTATACGAAGCTTACCTGCTCTACTTGTTTACAACGCCCACGTACTATAAGCCATTAATATTAACTTCACGCTTACTCAAGAATAAAAATTTACGACCAAAACCACACATATCACATATCGACAGCCGTTAAAATTGCAATTAAGATTATGAGAAATTTTATTTATTTTCCAAGCCATTCTCAATTTTATAGCTCATACTGGATTGGCAATTATGTTTACTCGGTTTGATGTATTGAACCGTAGTAAAATAAATTACTGTCTGCTGTTGGCGAAGTATACACATAAATAGATATAGCTTACTTTGTTGTTTTAGAAATTATAAGTTAGGTTAGAGTAGAGTAAGATAGAACAAAGGCAAGGCAAGGCAAGGCAAGGCGGGGTATTTACAACCAAACAGACTATAATTACTGTACTCAATAATAAACTCATAGTGCAGTAACTTAAAATAAACTTTGAAATTTAATTAGACTTAAAAATAATTTTACATTTCTATATGTCATACTTATAATTAACCACCTATCTCAAAAATCTCAACCTTCATTTAAAGAAAACACAAAGTCATCATTTTTAAGCCCAAAGGCGCCCCAAAGCAAGTGGAACGGCGGCCGTTCGCATTGTTTCAGCTGATGTCCCATAAACCTTTACAATTGTGCTTATTACACATCCACACATCACTTGGAATCTCGAGTTTCCTCAGTATGCAAATAATGCTACTGGGTACGATGAGTGTGTGTGTGTTTATCTGAATCTTATATATAATGCAACGTGCTGTGTCTTTCAACGTGTGCTTTAGGGTATACTATGTATGTTTAAGAAAGACAAAGTGAAGAGCGCTTGACGGTTAAAGATATGTTAATTGAAAATGTGGCTTTAAGAAAAATAATTTTGACTGAAAATTTGTAAAATAATCTAAAAAACAACGTATTTTACATATATTCATTCCGTTTTTATTTCAATTTAAAAAACATATTATACGGTCCAACTAAAATACGTTTTTAATGCTATTTTTCACCACTCTTCCTCTGCCTTCCCCTATCCTACCTGACACTACCATATCTCACGCTACTACCTTATCTTAAAATACCCTACTTTACTCTAACATACCTTACCCTAAAATCCTCCACTTTACTTTAACGTACCCTACCGTATCCTATTCTACTCTACTGTATACAACTTTATTTACTTTTCTTTTTCACCCTACCTTTATATTCTACCTTGCCCTTCCCATCCGTAGCCTATCTTTCGATTAAAAAATTTTATTTTGCATTAACCTTACAAATACAAAAAAATATATATTTTTAAAAAATCCAGGATTATGTTGGTGTACGTTGATAAATCGTAAAGTATCAAGCAGAAGAAGTGCTCGACGCCTCGCCTTGCAAAAAAGCACAGAGTAATAGAACAAAGTAATCGTATCACAATGTTTTCGTACTCATTTGTTTAATGAAGACGGGCGTGTACAAGCAACCAACATGGCTGGTTAGGCGAATCGAACGCCTGCTTCTGCTCTCTACATACGACTTCGTGGGAGACGTCGGTTATGGAGACGATCTGCATGTTGGCTGGGAGGGTGGGCTGAAAAATTTTTTCTGGTTAAAGGTTAATATATAATATATCTTATTGTTAGTTATTATACTTTATCCTACTCCTGCTGATTGCGTTGGCTTAAAACTAGCTTTAGTCTTGGCTTGAACAGTGTGTTTAGCCTTGGCTTTGGCCTTATCATTAGTTTTAGCTCAGCTTTTGCTCTAGCAAGAGCTTGAGCTTTTTCCTTAGCCTTGCCTAAGGCTTGCATCATTCTGTAAAATTACTTTTTGTAAATTTACATTAATAATGAGACAGATATAGATAGACTTACCACAACATTCTCCTTGAAGTCTTCCAATGAAATGGCTGGTTCAATAGTCAAAACACTGGCACTTTCGTCCAAAATGTCCTGAAAAGTTCAAAAATAAGCTGTATTTTACTTAGAAAATTTAAAAAAAAACTGCCTAAGGCGTTTTAGAAACAAAAAGTTTTAAGATTTATTACCTAAAAAAAACAAAAATTTAAAAATTTTTTAAAAATCATAATTTATTACCTTCAAAGCCATAAGGCTATTATCAGAGCTGTCCATGATCAATTCAGTAGCAATGACACCTCCAAACAGAGCTTTTTTGATTGACCAATCATTGATTGAGCTCTGAAGATCAGTGTTCCATCCGTACTGAACACGACGGTCCTTTTGTTGCACACAACGGTTCAGCATGTGACGATAGAAATGAGGATTGGTTTCTACTCCCCAGACACTCAGGTTTGTCATCTAAAGTAGGTAGGTTTACACTTGTGTCTGTTGAAATATAACAACAAGTTTTGTCGTTTTTTAGTGTGAATTTCAGTGCTAAATAGCGACAAGACTTTTGCTTCTGTTTTATACTATATATCTACCCTACTCTACTCTACCCTAACAACGATACCTAAATCAACATACCTCAGCAATTTTGTGAGAATCTACAAACACAAACGGAGATACGACGCGTGGTGAATACACATACAATGGCAACTTCTTATTGCCACTTTCAATCTTATCAATGGCATTCTGAATGACTTCAGTAGTCATTGATTCCTTATCATTCAGGAGGAACTCGGTGTGATCTTGAATAGTCTTCCATCTTCCCATAGCGCTGATCAAAGCTCTCTCGTTGCTTATCCCACCATCTTGAGCTGGCACCTTCACACAAAGCCAGTGGACTTGACGCCAGTTGAACACTCGCTGAAATTTTTTAAATTTAAAATTTTTTGAAATAAAAAAAAATTTTAAAAAGTGTTTTTTACGGTTTTCTTTATTAATTTCCCGAAAAAACATGTTTTTTCTTGTTTCGCAGCCTGCAAGAGTCATTTTATACGATGAAACGTTTCCGAGTAAAAGCTTTATTCACTAGCCTTTTTTATAAAAATAGAATTCTTGTGCCATCTGATGTGTTAACATAAACTTAAAAATTTTTTTTCAATTTAAAAAAAATTATAATAAAAATTTTTCAAAAATGTAAAAATCTTCTTTTTTTTCCTAACATCTGTAGTTTGTACCATTGTTATGTTAGTTACAATTAAACAAAGTTTTAAAGTTTAATGATCACAAAGTATATTCCACTTTACAAAGTTAATTTATTGCTATTTTCGAACGTTTCAGTTCATTTTTTGCAGTTTTTCTCATTGATTCTTGTGATTCAATGACGTTTTCATTGAATTTATCAGCATTTAGCCCTTTCTCACGTACTTTTTTGAAAGTTTTGTGTAAAAATTAATATACTTTTTCAGTTTTTAAAATTTTTGTTTAAATAAAGTGCTTTATCAAAGGTTTTTTTAAGAGACAATGGCATTTCTTAGGTCTTTGTGGTACCAAGAAGATCGTTTTTCTTAAAAAATTAGAGTTTTTTAAAGATAAGTTTTGAAAATGAATCATAAATAACATTTTTAATAATACTTATCATTAGAAATAAGTAGGACAAGGCGTGGAAAACGCTTGGAAACACGAGGACAAAGAAAAAACTGTTTACCTCAACATAAGTAGGCACAGATCTGGCCCAAAGCACGTTGAATCGCCACTTCATGCCTTTCTCATCACTCCATCTCAGCTCCTTCAACAACTGCAAGTACACATTCGAATAACGATAATGAGTTGGATTAGCCTTCTTATCATTGTGCATACTCCCATTCTTCGATTTACCGGTCGATGGCTCGGTACAACTCTCTCGAACATGCAAATATCCTCCAGGCTTCAGCCATTCCATAGTCTTCATCAGGAACTGAACACATTCCTGTTCGTTCAAGTACATCAACAGCCAATTGGTGAAGACCAAGTCAGTGGATTGGTCTTCCACCTCCAAGCCTAAGGCATCGCTCACTTGGTAGGTGATGTTGTCGAAGCTGGCGTTGCGTTCCTTATTCTTTTCGATGAAAGAGTCGATGAAGTCGGAAGAGACCACGTGTTTCGCTCGTTGGGCAAAAACGGTCGTGAATCGACTGAAAGTTGGGTTTTGATAAAACAATACTATAATAATAAGGCTAATGATAAAGTTTAAAGTTAAGGCTAAGATTTTAAAAAATTTTAGTTTTAAAATCAAAAAAATTAAAATTTTTGAAATTTAGAAAAGTTTAATAAAGTGAAAAACTGGTTTTAAAATACTTAAAGAACAGTCTAATTTTGGATATTATAATTAAAAACGATTATTTTGCATAGTTTTCATGCCTAAATAATTTTTTTTTGCTTTTGCAGGCTGTGAGTACCATGTTATACGATAATAAATGTCCGGAATGCTTTTTTACATTTTTGCTACTAAATTGATATTAAAGTGACTATACAATCTTTTTCATTAAAAAATAATGCTAATATGGTTAATATTAATAACGGTCATAAATAATTCAGAAGTCAACCTCCCCCCCCCCATCCCACGAGATCTTATCATTGAAAACGTTTAGTTAAATTCGAAGACCAAAAGTCAACTATCAGCCAAAAGTGTTTACATTACTTTTTTTGGGTAATAAAACGTTATCAAATCAATCTCTAGGAAAAAATATTATTTTGGGGGTACTGTATCTTTATTTGGACTTTCGAATCCCTGTCTAACACTACATAATGCATTTAAAACTCCTCGATGGCAAAACTCCTTTATAACAAACAAATTTAGAACCATCTTCAAGCTTCGTTATACAAAAGCTCTACTTAATATCTACAAGAGAATAACATTTCTTACCCAATGCCAGCAGCCACATCAACAACATTCATTCCAGTGAAGTCTGGCAGGTTTTGGATGATGTCAGCACGATCATACGACTCGATTTGTTCAGCATTGTTGTTCAACATCATTGTGTTGACATCAGCATTGTTGGAAAACTTGTTCCAAAATGAAAAGTAGGTCTCGCGATGTAAGGTCGCTGTCATTCTAGAATTGCCACAAGCTTATAAGTTATAAAAATGTTTTACAGTAATACACGAAAATTTGAGTACCGTATTGTAAGTTATGTTAAGGTGGACCTAAAGAAAGAAAAAATTCAAATGCAGTAAAGTCAAAAGATTTGGTTGATGTAAATACAGTCCCAATTCGAAAAAATTTCAAAAACTACGCCGTTTTCCAAAGCACAAGTCTCTAAACAAGTAAACAACCAACTGATCGTATAAAATTCAAAAAAACAATGTTTCACCCACGTGGTTTCTTCATCTTATCTGTTTTGAAGGCTACCATATGCTCTGTACAAACAGTTTTTATGGGTTTATTAAGTACAAATGATATTGTACTGATAAAAAATAATATTTTTTTAATTTTGAAGGTTAGAAGAATAGAAATTTGGCAAAATGAAAAAAGCGAGAGGGGGCTCAAAAATCTTTTTTTTAATTTGACATAGCCGGTGTATAATAGTCCTCTGTAAACAGTAAAGAGGTCACACCAAGCCTAATTTTTCAAGCCTACCCTTTTCTAATTTTCTTCGGTTCGCTTGATAGACATGGGAAACGGGCAGGGTATGAATGTGAAGCCCGGCCCGATCTAAATTTTGCTCAGACCCAGCCGGGCCCGAATTTTTTTAATTGCAAGCAGGCCAGGCTTTTCGGGCCGGGCTTTTCCGAGATTTTCAGGTCTGGTCTGACCTAAATTTTGCCTAGGCCCAGCCCGGCACATTCCCCATGTCTACCGACTAGGCCTTTTATATCCCCGGAGCATTTTGCCTTGGACCACTGTCCTCGGATACACACGTACCGCTCGGGAAGGGCCTAGTAGCCCCTCTTTCAGGTTTTGTCCCCTGTTATTTTGACACAAAGATTGTGGGAATTTTTCTTTAATTTACAGAGTTGCTAACTATAGTTAAAAATATTTTTTGGTTTATCCTTCTCTCCCTCTACGCTACACCAACCCTTCCTGCCTAGAAATTAAGTTCTTTTGCCAAAATTAAAATTTTTTTTTAATTCTGTCTACTACTAAAAATTTTTTTGTTGACTTGTTGTGTTCCCACCTCCCCCTAATATATCTCTCATTAAGCATTTTTACTGTGGCTTCACTACATTTTATTATGAAAACAGTTGTACAAACATACAATATTAGCTTTACTAAAATTACAATTTCCTTCTTCTCTCCCTTCTTTACACTACCCAAAAACCAAAAAATTTTAAAAATTTGGACATGGTTTATTTGCTGATAACAATATATTAATAAAATTCTACTTGATGATCCCATCCTCCTTCTTCTCTCTCCCCCCCCCCTCCTCTCCCATCCTCAAAAGAAAAAATTATCCGTCCGGCCCTACCTACAACAATATAATTTACAACTTCTTGGAGCCCTTACCCATAAAACTATAATTTACATGTTTCTCAAGGCCCAACCTACAACAATATAAACCTATGCCCAAATCCCTGAATTAATGAAAAGCGGCTGAAACGCGTAATACTCGATCCCGTTTCCTGCCTTTTATAATCAATCAGCTGCCCTCTGGTGTTTTTTTAACTGATATTAAATGTTCCATCGCGGCGGGTCCCTTCGCTGAGAACTCCGACCACAAGTTGGGCGTGGTATTCTACTACCCCTCTTTTTATGGTATTCGCTGCAACACGAACACAAGTTTCGTCATGATGGTAAATTGGAACACTTGTTGCGTCATGATGGCTACAATGGTGACAACATTGTTAATTTTGAAATGAACTTATGCTAGGCTTAACAGAAACAGCAAATTTCAATTAAAGATCAAAAGCCAAAAAATGTAAAAGCACAGTAAGATCTTCACGTAAAATTAAAGCAAGATTTTTATGTAAAATCAAAGTAATATCTTTATGTAAAACTACTGCAACATCTTGTCTTAGCCATAGCATTCAATATAATTTCAAGGCTTAAACATAAACATCATATAATTACTGTGAACTTCATCAACGGCACGCTGCGCCCAATATTTATTGTCAAAAAAATAAATTTTTTTTTCGCAATATTATTGTAGGTCCATGGCGAATATTGGTCAATTTAGGTGTTTATTATGCCTTTTTAATTTTTTTGTTGATTTTTAATATTTTACTTATATTTTTTACTATTTATTTTTTAACAATTGAGTTTTTCGATATGAATTTTGCTGGTTTTCAAGCTAAAATAAGATTGATCCAACTGATTTGGCCGCACATAACGTAAGTTATAGTTTAAAAAAGCCGTTAATTACGATTTAAATAAGATAGACTAGATAAATTAAGTTATTCTGTAGGTTTTAACACAAAAATTGAACAGAGTTGTGATGGATAATATAGTCAAACATTCTTTTTAGGTAACATACATCAAACTTCAGCAGAATTTGATTGAAGTATCAATAACTGGACTAGAAAAGCCAATATCTTTGCCTCAAATTAATAAAAAATGGTAAAAACGAGCTATATGCGACCAATCTTTATAAAATCGGTTCAAAACTTGTTCACATTTCATTGATTTGGGTAACACTGGACAGAGAGGAACTTCAACATGAAATACTTTAATTGTAAGTTGATTTTTTTGTCCTTTCTTTTGCGTTTAGAAGCTAAAGAAAGGTTTGAAGATGGTAATGATCAATTTACCGGATTGTAGAATGGATTTGACTTGGTTTTAAGCTCAAATGAAGTTTATCTAACAGCCATGAATGTTCAACATCAGAATTTAAGTGAATGTTAACGTCGAAGAATCTAAGATAAAGGATAAACGATTAAGTTATATTCCAAAGAAGTGATAACTGAACTATAGTTCAGGTTGATTATACTTATTATATTGTTTTAGCTCTAATATTCAACTTTAAGCTAAAAATTTCTAAAATTTAAAAATATGTTATTCTCTAACCGATATTGTCACAGCCTTTGACTGTAACAATATCGTAGTAATAGACAAGTTGATGAATTTGATAGTTTTTTGCCGCACAAGCTACAAGTCTTCTGTTTTGTGATCCCAGGTATATTTTTTGTTTTATTGTTTTAGGTATAGGTCTTTTAGTTTGTGTTGCGACAAAAAATGTTGATGACTGACGCTGAAATGGCTATTAAAAAGCACATGGTGCATATCAGTTATCGTCTCATTCATCGACTTCTTGCATCATTTCGAGGAGGCGTTGACTTGTAGTCATGTGAAGCAGTTAGAGAAAATGATACATCGTGCAGAATTGAGAGAGTTTAAAGGCATTTTTTTGGTTTATCGAGGGCTAAAGGTTAATTTTCATCAATTTTAAACTATTTTTTGATCGTTTTTCTGTTGTAAATCATCTTTTTAGCCTCAATATCATCAAATATTGACCTCAAGGCACTAAACTACAATCAAAAGTTTCTTAAGCTTCATCTTTTATCACCCAAAAGCACAAAATATAAAGGATGATTTGAAATCTGGGCAGATTGCATCGTTTCGTTTACTTTTCGCCCATTTCGTCCGCTGTCAAAGGCGACGAAACAAAAGGTCAAAACCGAGGGGAAGGCCTAATTTTTTGCTCAGTTTCGACTGTCTCAACCCAAAGTGCAGTCGGTGTCGTCTGCTCACTTGATATCCTTGTATATTCGCTGGTCACTTGGTTTATATTGGTCATTTGTATAAAATGTCTCATCCTTTTGCCAATTTTGGAACTGATGCTATTCATGGAGGCCATGAGCCAGAGAAGTACGAACTGCTTCAGGTAGGTACTATACTTTTAAGATTTTTGGGGTTTAAATTTGATAATTTTAGTGTTTGCCTTTGATAACTTTGAAGTTTGATAAGTTTTGAAAAAAGCAGCCGAACTTAAATTTTGACATTAAGAGCCTTCAGAATCTTGTAAATCTGTCCTCAACAAATTTGGTTAAAATTTTAAAATTTCCAGGTAGTACCACCAATTTCCGTTTCTACCACCTACAAGCAAGAAGTTCCTGGAGTGCCAAAACTTTATGACTATGGCCGTGCCGGCAACCCCACCCGTGATGCTCTAGAACAGAATCTAGCTGTGCTAGAACAAGCTAAGTTCGCTAGAGTATTCAGCAGTGGATTGGCTGCCACTGCTTCCATTGCCAACTACTTGAAGGCTGGTGATCATATTGTATGCAACGATGATGGCTACGGTGGAACTCAGCGATTTTTCCGAAAAGTTTCGGTGGAAAAGCATGGGAAAACAATTGATATGGTCGATTTGACGAATATTAATGCTTTACAGGCGGCTCTAAAGCCAGAGACTAAGATGGTTTGGTTCGAAACTCCATCGAATCCGTTGTTGAAGATTGCTGATATCAAGTTGGTCACAGAGACGGTCAAAGCTTATAATCAGGAGATCTTGGTGGTGGTTGATAATACTTTTATGACTCCGTACTTCCAGGTGGGTTAAACGTGTTATAACTTTTTTTTAATGGGCGTGGGTTTAAAAATGATTTTTAATGAATTTTTTACTTTTTAAAATTTACTTTTTAAAAACTTTTTACTGATTTTAAAAGGATATAACTTAGTTATGACAAAAGCAATAAAAGGCAAATTCAGAATAGACAAAGCGTAGTGCCTGATGACAATTTATGTGAAAATTTACGTTTTTAACAGGCATTTTATAGAAGTTACAAATTTTTCAAGGTTCCACACTAAAAAATCGAAAAATTAAAAAAAAAACTCAAACCTAACTTTAAAAATTTCAGCGCCCTCTAAGTTTTGGTGTAGACATTGTGATCCACTCCCTGACGAAATACATTAACGGCCACACTGACGTTATCATGGGTGCAGCTCTAACTAACCGCGAAGACCTTGATCAGCATCTTTTCTTCGAGCAATTGGCCGTTGGAGCAGTGCCATCGCCATTCGACTGCTTTTTGGTGAATCGAGGAATCAAGACGTTGCACTTGAGAATGAAAGCTCATTTCGAAAATGGATTGGCAATTGCAAAATGGCTGGAAGAGAATGACAGAGTGGAGAAGGTTTTGTATCCTGAACTCCCATCTCATCCTCAATATTCACTTCACAAGGCTCAGGCCAAGGGCATGAGTGGAATGATTTCGTTTTATATTAAAGGCGATCTCAAGGAGGCACAGACTTTCTTGTCTGCTCTTAAGGTAAGGTTTTGGGTTGGTAGTTGGCGTTAGCAAGGGTGGAATAGAAGACGGTTTGTTTTGGCAGGGTAGAGTACAGTAGACCGAGTAGTGTGGGATAGGGTAGAGCAGTGCTGTTAAAAATTTGAATAACCGGCTCAAACAACGCCGAAAATTCAAACAATTTTTGTTGAAAATGAATTTCAAACAATTTTACTTTTTTGATTATCCATAAAAACCGAAAAACATAAACAATTAAAATTCTTCAGCCATTTCTCCTTTTTCTCACAAGGGAAATCCACAACCTCTTGTTGAAAATGAATTTCAAACAATTTTGAACAAATCAAACAATTTTGCCAAATAAAAAATTGTTTTGTCTCTTTGTTCAAATCATTTTGAACAAAAAATTGTTTTGTTTGATTATTCAAATTGTTTTGTTTTTAACAGCACTGGGGTAGAGTATAGTAGGGTACTGTAGGGTACATTTTTTGGGAGGGTATGGGTTTTAAAATTTCAATTTTTCCGAAAGTTCTAATTGTTTCACTTGCAGATCTTCACCCTAGCCGAATCCCTCGGCGGCTACGAGAGTTTGGCCGAACTACCGGCCGTAATGACTCACGCTAGTGTTCCAAAAGAAGAACGTGACAAGATTGGTCTCTCCGATAACTTGGTTCGAATCTCAGTGGGAATCGAAGATAAGGAAGACCTTATCAATGATCTGGATCAGGCTCTGAAAAAGGCTGTCAAGGCTTGATTTATTACTGTCTTGTAACTTTCTCAACTTACAATATCAATGAGGTTCATCTATTGATCTATGTTTAACGTAGGTTTGAGGGAATTTTTAAATTTCGAAAAATTTTTTTCGTAACATTTTTTTTGAAGTTACTATTTGCAAATTCAAAAGTCTTTTGAAACTATTACATATTGTCTTAACATCACTTTATTTCATTTTTGTACTGTTCTTTCTTATATTGTTATAGCTTTCCTATCCTTAAAGTACAATTACATACCAACTACAATATGTAGTGTTTTAGTACTGGTTTCCGTGACTTCCGTTTTCAATTTCTATGTTAATTATAGAAAAAACTTTAAAGTAATGGCAGCATTACTCACAGTCACGCAATATTGTTGTCCATTAGCCACTCAGGTACACCATTAGCTGTCAAGTTGGATTTAACATTGAATAAACAGTCCTTGACATTTAGAATGGATATGGTGATATCGGGATTTGAAAATATGGTTAGGGGTTGTAATAGAAATGGCATTGTTTAACGTTTTTCGAGAAATCACTTTCTTGATGTAGGTAACACTATAGGTTAGGAGTTTTGTGTTTTCTATAGTAGATTAAGAGTTTTTGAATTGTTTTTGGTATCGTTAGGTTTATCATTACTTACTTTATTATTGACGTTTGCAAGCGTTTTATATTCAAACCTTTTTTCACCAAAAAACCTACTACAATATAGACATAGATATATATCTATACCTACTACAACACCCCCACCAACACCTGATCGTATAATTTATTCGACTGTACAAGGGGAGAAATCAACAAAACGGTGTGAGGAATATAAAACTGATAAGCACCAAAAACGTGTTTGTTATTAATCTAAATCGTTCAAACGTAGCTGACGTCGTTCCCGGAAAAGATGACGCCCACGTTCTGTAGACAAACCCGTTCGTCGTCCGGCTTGTGCGCGGACGCCCGGCGTGATGTGGCCGAGCGTTGTCGTCCCGGCTCCTCATCCACATCGTCATCAACGTGCGGGAAATCGCCGGAAATTGCGAGAGTTGAGCCGCCAAAGTTGCGATTCAAATGGCTTTGGCCGCTGGACTTGCGCGAATCTCGACCCGCCTCGGTCGAGCCCTTCGCATTGTACTCGGGCATGCAGTACTGGTTCTGGAATTAGTTCTTTATACAGATTTTTGCTTTGTTTGATGCTAGGAATGGCAACTTTTTTAATTTTTTGAAGTGGACTTCTTATTTTTGAAGGTAACTTATTAGTCTTTGATTTAACTTCATACCCTCACAAAATTTAAAAAGTGACATGTTTCATCGTATAAATTGTCGCAAACTCAATTTCTCTTGAATTTTTTAAAAACTAATTGCTAAATATTATAACCTGTGTTAAAATAAAAGTAAAGTACTTCATAAATATTTTGAATTTATATTAGCTTTGAAGTAAAAAGCTTTAACAACGAAAAACTAATTTTGCACCGTGCAATAAAAATAAAAATTTTTAAAAATTACTAAAAATATTTTAAAATCTTGTTTGATATCACGTAAATTGCTGACTATAAACAAGTTTTTAAGTTTAATCGCAAAAAATTTTAAAATTTTTTAATTTTTTGCGAATTGCGGCCTAAAATGGCAATGCACCGTGCAAAGATGTTTCAAAAAAATCAAAAATTTGTAAAAAAATTATGAATATCTACAAAATGCTGCATATGCTACACAAAAAAATATTCGACTCAGCGCTCCCCCCCCCCCTCCAAAAAATTGAAAAACTTACTTTTCTTATCTCCACCACAACCTCGCCCGACTTCAACGTGCGTTGGGTCTGATCTTCGGACAACTTTCGGTCGCTGTACGATGGTTTGTTGCTGTTCAAAATGACTTTTCGGTCAGACTGAGGAGAGACCAATATTGAGGTTGTGAAGCTGCGCTGCTTGCCAAGTTTGTGTTTGTCACCTGCTGTGCCGGGAAGTCGGCACGTTGATGGACTGGCTGCAAATCGAAAAATTACTTTGTGAAAGTTAACACTTGGGTGGGGGCAATAAACTAAAAAAAATATTCAAAAATCCACCCCTAAACCCAAAAAAAATGTTGCTTTATTCTTGCCATAGCCGACAAAATAACTTCAAAAACTCCCCTAAAAACCTAAAAAATCTTCCAAAAACCCACCAAAACTGTTCCTCGGCATCGGGAAATTGGCCTCAGGCAGCGACAACTCCTGAATCGAACCCTGCGCTTCATCGTCAATGTCATAATCATTCAGCTCGTCCTCGTCATCCAGCGTGAACTCGGGCTTGGCCGAGTCCTTCGTCAGTTTGGCTTCGGTTTCGGGGTCGGCTTGCTTGGGTTCTTCTACGTCGGGATACGCCTCGAAGAACTTTTTCCAATCCGCACTCATGTCATCCTCGAATATGTCCTGCAATTGGGCTTGTCATAATGTTATAATGTGGTATGTTGTAATTTGATTATAAGTGGATTAGGGTAATATAAAGCAATGATATCATGGGATGGTAAATTGGATTTTGAGGGTATTTTGATGTCATAGTGCTTGGAAAAGTTTTTTTTTTAATTTTGAGCTTGAAAATGTAAGCATAAAATAAAAATGGTTTTTTTGGGTTTAGTTTAGCAGACTTTACCTATGTAAAGCAATTTTTAAAAAATAAAAAAAAAATTTTTTGAAAAAAAATTGAGGTTGGTCCCGCCTGTTGATGACTTTTGCTCAAAAAATCGAAAAATCATAGGTTTAACTAACAAATCTACCCCATTTTCTTCAAAAAAAGAACAAAAAATCCGCCCTGTTGCCAAAAAAATTATAATATTACCTTTTTTACTAAAAAATCTTCCCTTTTCCCCTTTCAAATCTAAAAAACCCGCCCTGTTTTTCAAAAAATCAATAAAAATCTACCTCACTTTCTCAAGAAACCAACAAAAATCCACCCCATTTCCCCAAACAATCAGCCCTTTTACAAAAAATCCACTCCATTACCCTGAAAAACAAAAATGTCTACCCGACTGCCCCAAAAATCACCCCACCAAACTCACATAGACATATTGAATCAGATGTTCGACGATTTTGGTTTGTTGATGAGCATCGTTGATGAAGCTGTTTTGTGCTCCAGTACCCGTAGACGACGACGAAAAGGAGGTGGGCGTCGATGGACCCGTATTCGACGACCTGTTCCAAATCAGCGACGGCGAGATGACGGCCGCCAGGTTGGCCGGCGTCATCAGGTTCTCCAGCTCGAACCACGACACCCGCCGCAGGTGCATCAGCAGGAACTTGAACGTGTCGTAGTTTTGTTGAGGTAGACGATCGCATAGGCCTTTGAGGACCTCTTTTGATTCGGCTATGTCGGACTGGAAAAGGTGGGGATTAGAAATGAGTTTGATGACAAAAGGGTGTATATGATGTCAATTGTATAACTTAACTACAATTTAAAAGTAACTACAATGTAATAGTTTTACTAGGCTTTCAACTATCTTTCTCTTACCGTGTCGACATCCAGCCAATCCTTGTACAGCTCGTAGGTCATCAAAGGCTCTGGCAGTTTGCGTAAGTACAACTTGACTACCGATGCCAAGTTCATGGGGTGCACTTCGCTGAGATCAACGTTCGCATCTTCGCCGGCCTGCTCGAATTGCACGCAGATTTGTTCGATTTTGCTTTTTACACCGCATGTTCGGTACAAGCCCTGAAGGTAATTCGTTTATGATAAGGATATGGGTTATGTTAGAGTAGGCTTTGGCTTTTTAATGTGAAATTAGGCTTCTCTTGACAAGGAAAACTCTTTTTTATTGGAAAACTTTTCAAAATATCGCTGACATTTTCATATTTCATTGATTATCTTGCATGACAGTTTCTTTTCCTAATTCTTTTCGACAAGAAAGTAGCTTGAATCACACTTTCTTCCCACTAAGATTCTTTTCTGTGCCACTTTTCATTGATTCCCTCGCTAAACATTATCATTCGTCAATGATTCTCTTAAATGACAATGATTGGCCGTGCCATTCCTCATTGATGCGCTGGGATTAAAAGTTCTTTTTCGGCAATAGCGGTATACTTAAGGGCTTGTGACATCAATCACAACTTACGGTCGAAAAAAGCCGCTGACGTAGGCCAAGTTTTCGGCCGCAATCCCAAAAATTCGATGAAAAATAGAAAAGTTCATTGGGAAAGAGGACGATGATTACTTTGGTTATCTTATTGCAATCTTTGCTTTTTTTCTCTGACGTGCATTTCCTATTGCGTTTTAAGGCTTATCAACTTAATCTCTCTTCTTTTGGTTGTTATATTGAGGGTTTGTAGCTAATTTTACAGGTTTTGGGAGCTGTTTGGGCGTTATCTTCGGCTTCTCCGGCTCTATCTTAAGCTCTTGCTTCCCATTTTACAATGATAACCCTTTGATAGCTGTATCTAGCCTCACATCACTCTATTTTCTTTCTAAATCTAGCCTTATCAACCTCACACCCTCTCCAACTTACTTTACAATTCATTCCGCGCTTCTGAAGTTCGTCGATGCACTTTTCGAGTATGATGGGCACTTGACGGCGCTGGGCCTGTAAGTGGCCGATTAATGGCACGCCGAAGATGCTCATCCGGCGGTTGCCCGCGGATTCCGCCGTCAGCCGATGCGCCGACGGCCCGCAGACCACGCTTAACAACGGCAAACACTTCTTGTGCCACACGATCCCGCATATCGTACACTTCACGGCGTCGAAAATGACGAGATGCTCGCAATGTGCACACCGTGTCACTTGGCGCGTACGTTGAAGTTGGTGGGATTTGGCGGCGTCGGATTGCTCGACGTGGTTCAGGGATTGATCAAAGATACGTGCTGAAACATTGAGGAATATATGATGGAAAGATGGTGTTTTAGGTAATAAGCAGCAACTTAAGTTAACATAAATTAGCTTTTCTGGTTAGTAGAGATAATGGCATTTACGTTGTATCTAAAAAAAGAAACGGACCGTTTCACAAAATTTCAAAAATTCATATAAAACACGAAATTGTTATGAAAAACGGCAAAAATTTTTGATTTTTCCCAAAAAACACACAAAATCAACAAAAAAATCGCTAAGCGGAACAAAGGAATTGCAACGGCACATACTCATACTCTTTTTCTGACGCCGCGACGACGTCTCGGCTATGTAGTCAATGTGCTCTTCGGCGTTGAGGGCGTTCCGTCGACGTGCGGAGCTGGGCGCGGATTCACCGGAGCTTGTGGCCATTGACAGCGAGCTGTTCGCAAAGTCCTCATCCGGTTTGTCGCCGCCGCCGGCCGTGGATGTGGAGCCCCGCAACAATGAAGCTGAAGAGATGGAGCGGCCCGGCAAGCTTTGCAAGAAGGACATGTACTCGCTACCGGGCGAGCTCTCCCGAATGGCATGAGCCAACCGATTGTACTCTTGCGGCAATAGGGTCCAGAGGTCGGCGAACGCCTGCAAGTGTGGGGGTTTTGGGTAAAATACGAGAGATTTTTGTTAAATGAGGTATTTAATTTTGTAAAAAAAATTCATAATGTGAGGTTAATGTTGTAAAAAAGTCTTTCAACATGACACTAGTTCTTCTTCTCTATCAGTATTTAAAGCTCTTTGAGGACACGTGAGCTATTGTAGCCACAAATCAACCCTAGTACTCACCTTGACGTAGTGTGAAGCACACGCTGTGGTTGTCAAGTCGCAATGTCGAATCAAGTCACAGAGCTCGTCGATTGTTATCAACTGCAAAAAGAAAACCGGAATATAATAAGATATAAACTGCGGAAAGCGTGAACAATGGGCATGAAAGAATCTCTATGGAATTGGTCCATATTTTAGGGGCTTTATAAAATCATAAAAAACGTCATTCTCGGGCGCCGGGGCCACCGGGACAATGGGGTCAGATGTGAGAAGGAAAGCAGAAGATAATATAAAATAAGGTAAGGCCTCGTCCCCCCTTTCACAACCCGAACGTGTGTGTGGCACGAAGAGTTTAGGCCTAAACTATGTATAAGAAGGGCGGCAGCCGGGCCCGGAACAGAAGAGACCAAGTTTGGCGGTGGTCAGAAAATTGAATTTCGCACGACGGCTGCTAAGTTGAAGAGGAAGACCTCAAAAAGTCATGATGGGACCGGAGATGAAGCTCGAAATAAGGAGAAGACGAACGTGTTAAAAGAGGTCACACTGCCACCCAAATTTCCCCCCGCCCGACTTCTTTGTTGAACAGGAAGTACACCGGAAGAGGCGCCTCTTTATCAAGACGTATGAATGGCGCTCCACCAGCACCGTGCTGAAGTACGACCATCAAAATGGGCTCCATCAGAAGCTAGCGGTCCCCGCAATCGCCACAACATCCCATAATCTTGTGGTAAAAGTTGGGGTTGGCCGGTTTTTTTTGTTCCTGCTACTGTGACTCGAGCTGCCTCCTATCTATCATCCCAAGGGTTACTTTTTACTGCTTAGCATGCTTTCCAGTCGTCTTCATCGTGCCCCCTCTTCGTGTTCCGGAGAGGCGCGAAGCGTTCGTAAAATTGGCAGCGCCGCCTCAAGAAAAAAGGAACGAATATGCAGAAAAATATCAAAAAAAAACAGCACCGTGGAAATAGGAGAATGTCAAGACGAAAAAGGAGACGAGCACCAAGAATAAAGAAGCGAAAGAGGCCAGATTAAGGAGCCAATCGAAGAGTGATGAAACGGCAATGAAGACATCATCGTGTGAAATCAACGGTTTCCGGTGTTTGTCATAATTTTGGAAAGTTTGCAAGAAATTGCTTTTGGAAGGACAAAGTAGTGTTTGAGGCCAATTGCTGTGTTTTAGGCTTGGTCTTAAGAGTCTTTGCAGAAAATGTTGCAAAAAATTTACTAAAGATTAAAATAAGATCTTTACAGCTAGAAATGAAAGAAATGTCATATTAGATCTTACTAAAATTAACATTCTAAGCCTTATATAAAGCCTAAGATTCTGCCCTATCAAAATTAGAGTTATAAGAGTTAATCTTCAAACATTCCTGGCTCTATCAACGCCAACACCCCACACTCCCTCACCTGTGACCCTCACAACCTAACAAAATGCAATTCTTTCAATAAAATCAAAAAAAAATTCTAATTAAACGTATAAAACCCCTCTGCCCGATGCCATACACTAGAATATTTTTCGGCGCGGCCCCCTGAAGACAAAATCATCAACACCGCGAAAGATGAAGGGCATCAGAAGAGGAGGAGAAACGTGGGGGACCAAAGTCAAAGACCGGGCGGCGCGCAGTCATGCTGTCAAATTTAACTGCGCCATATGTGGCCAAATTATCTTTCCATGATGACATGACGTTTCGCCCTTCAGGCCCGTCGTTCCTTTCCCTCAATGAATATCCCCGATGGAATAAATATCAGCTTCAAACACACACACACACACACGGTGGCTAATTTGTTGGTGCAAGAGTTTAGGTATGGTTTTTGGAATTTTTTGAAAAAAATATAAGAAAAATTGAGAAAAACGTCTTGGGTAACATTTTTAAAAATATTTTGAGAACAACTGTAACAGCTTCAACATTAACAAGAAAATTGCCAAACCTGTCCTGCTCTGATTTAGTTCAAACTTTTTAAATAGAAAGATGATGTAAATACAAGACCTTCAGTAAAGTACTAAATCGCGCTTTCTAATCAATCTCGATAAAAGCGAAATCAAAAAGATAAGCTCCCGTCAAATTGGCATTGTGTTTCAAGCTTATAACTTTCCAATTTTTTGATTTTTCTTTGATAAACAAGTAAAAAAGCTTTAAATAACTTATAATTTTAAATTTGTAAGCGTATCTTGTCTGGAAGGTCGCAAAAAGCGATCGAAACACAATGCCAAATTTGCAAATTGGCGGGAAAGTTTAAGATTTAAATTATAAAACTCAAAAGTGCAAGCTAAAATTTTTTATAGGTACTATTGAAGGCACAAAGAACTCATATAAAATTTAGAGCTGATTCTGAGCGGGGCGGGTTGGGTACTTTCTCTATAGTCTTTATAGACCATACCGCTCAAAAAAAATTTTTTTGAAAAAAGCTGAACTCAGACCCTCCCACACCTCAAAAATTTTCAAAAAAAAATTGTATTCAAAAAACTTTTTTTTCCTTTTTTCCGCGGGCAAAAAAGACTGTTTTCTCTATCAAAAAATCACCCTCCCCCCTCTCACAAAACAAAATTTTTTTAAGTAAAAAATTTAAAAAATTGAAAATGAAGCAATTGGCCCCGAAATCATGAAGAAGATAAACCCTTTGTTTGTTTTGGTTCCAATTTCTTTTAAACCCCCCTACGAAATACATGAATAATTAAATGGCTTGTTATAAAACGCCACGCAAAGTTGGGGGCAACCGGCGAGGTTTCTGACAACGTTTCGGTCATCGTGCGCCGTTCCTTCGCACGATGACACGCCAAAGGAGGAGGACAAAAGTGGCAGGAAAAGGGGGTAATGCTAAAAATAGTAGAAGGGGATGAGAGAGGGTGGGGGTTGGGCGGGGTAAATGAAAGTAGGGTAAAAAAATGGGGGGGGTGATAAAATTTTGTAAGAATGTGGAGGGGGGGGTGTAGTAAGCATAAAGTGGGGAAGTAAACGGGCAGAGTAAGGCAGGTAGAGTACGTAGGGTAGGGTTAGAAAAAAGATAAGACTAGGTTTAAATAAGAAAAACCCAAAAAAAGTAAAGGGAGGCGGACGAGTGCGAAACGGCCGGGATAACAACGGTTTGAGGCCACAAATTAGCCATCTACACGCAATTAAAGGCCTTGGTCCGATTGGTGTGAAACAGTGCATGAAATAAGCAATACAACCCCAAAAGTGCATTCCCGCGAGAATATTTTACGTTATGATAGGGGGTATAAACGAAGGCCCCTCCGTATTAGGCGGCTACGTGCTCGCTGCCTGGATATAAAGGCAGCGAGCGCGTAGCTACGTGATTATTGCGGGCACAGTATAAAAGCCTGGGGCTTAAGCGTGCGCTGTATAGACGGATTTTTGAAGTTGCAAGTACAATATTATTTTACTTCGAACTTACAATACCCTACCGTATCTCAGCATAATGTAACTTATCCTACCCTTCTTTCAAGGCCTAAAAAGCTCTAGACCATGTACAACAAAGTAATACACCTCTCAAACACTGTGTTAGATTGTTCAAATAATTCTGTGCCCCTAACCTCCAAAACTTTCTTTGTGAGGGGCTCAGAATTATTTGAACATAAAAAACAGCCTCCAATCCTTACAGTACCATCTAAAACAACCTCCAAGACCTACAGCACCACCTAAAAAAGCCTCGAAAATCTACAGTACTATCTAAAATAGCCTCCCAATGTTGTATACCTTCTTTGAATAACCCTCAATTGGGTATAATAAACTCAACGACCAGTTCTCACGCCAGTTTATTTAACGGCACCGAACCCTATTCTTATATACATGCATAGAAAAAGGCCATTCACAACAAAAAACAGCTACAATTTTATGTTTTTCACATATTGTTCACTTGTAAATAAAGTGCGTGAAATAGTTGTTACTATGTCAAAAAGAGCGAGTTAAGTGGAGTAGAGAAGGGTAGGAGTGAAAAGTAAAAATGCAAAAAAAATTTAAGGTTTTTTAAAATTATGAAAACAAGATAAAATTAAAAAACTTGGAAAAAAATAGATTTCAAATGTCCTTAAAATTGCCTTCCCAAACGTAAACTTTTATTTTTCTTCTGTAAGCCTAGCTATAGCAGGTGGAAGCATGGAACAACAGAATAAGGCAGACAAACGTAGAAAACCTCTAAGGCTAAATTCAAGACAAAGACTAGGGCTAGAATCCCAATTATAAGCCTAAATATCCAACCTTTAAATAGTTTTTTATTTTTTTGCCACACCTTTAGGGTAGGCCTAGGGTCGGGCAACAAAAATTCCGGTCCAATATAAGACCTTTGTTATAAGACGCTCACTTTTGAGCCAAAAAAATATTTTTGTATATCTACCCTTTTAAAAATACTTCATTTTTAAACATTTTTTTAATCCTCCTCCCCTTCCCCTCCTCCTAGCCTTAGTTTATAAAAAAACTAAAAAATTTGCCCTCTTTAAAATTTTTTTTTAAAACATTTGCCCTGCCTCAATCCTTACATTTTTAAAAATTACCTACTTAAGATTACCGCCCACCACCCCTTTTTAAGATTCCTGAATTCCTTGCCCAACATCCCCTTAATAAATAACACACGCTTTTCCTCCACCCCATCCAACTTTTCCTAATTCCATAGCATCCCCACTACCCTCCACGCTCCTCACTCAACTCCTTGTCCCATAATATGTCCCCCTCCCTCTAACACCCCCTATTTCCATAACAACGAACCCAACACCTTCTAAATCCATAACTTCCCCCAACTCCTCCTAATTCCATAACATCCGCCCAACCCCCTCAAAAAACCGGAGCCAACGTGCCCTCCAAGTCCCCATAAAGGTCGGGAGGCGAAAAACGAATGTCATTACCACGGCTTTATGGGCACGTGTCTGGCCATAAACAAATACAAGCCAGCCAGCACATAGCATCGGTATCGCGAAAGTGGAAGGGATATTATATTAGCTCAAGGGATTAGGGCCACTCGAAGATGATATAAGAATGATTGGTACTTACCCGCAACTCTTGAACTGCTCGCCGCCGCTCGTCCAACTCCCTCTCCAGCTTCCAGACCTCGTTTTCGGCCTCGGTCTTCTGAAAAAAGGAAAGAATTTTAAGAGGGCTTTATTAATAAAATAGAAAGGGACTCAAGATGTTTATGTGTAGTAAATAATGAAACATAATATTCGGAATCGTGTGGTCTTTGTGTACTGAGAGAAGACAAAGATTGAAGGAGAATATGCTGTAGTATCTTAATAAATATAAACATTTTGATCCTGCCCTATCTACATCTATCACTCCTTAGCTCTAGATCTACATCTAACCCTAGCTTTAGCCCTAGCCCAGAGCCCTAGCCTAGAACCCTAGCCCAGAGCCCCAAACCTAGTCTTAGGCTGTCCGTGCCATAGCCTATGAACTAGCCTTCACCTAGCCCAGAGCCATAGCTCCAATGATAGCCTTAGTCATATCCCATAAACTAGCCTTGTCCTAGTCTTAGTTCTCGCCCTAGCCCTAGTCAAGCCAATACATGAGCCTAGTCGTAGCTCTGTCCTAGCACGTTCCCTAGCATTGCTCTACCTTTCTCTACCTTACTTTGCTCCCAGATATGGTATCAACCAGCTAGAAATAGATAATATGTAATATGGTAGTAGCTTACTCTAGGCCTACTCGGCCTAAATCCTTGACTTTTTTAAAAAAGTTTCATGCCTCTACTAACATTGCTACCTTTGCTTTTTCTTCTCCCTTTCAAATATTATCAAAAAATGTATAAAAATGATTTTTTTAAAATTTAAAACCCCCTAAAAGCCCCAAGCACTCTTATCATTCGGCCCCGCTTATTGCCAATGATTATATAAACTGCCACTAAGCCGCATTAATCCAACATCTGTCATTATAGAGTAATTTCGGCCCATAAAAGTGTCGCAAAAGATAAATCTTACTCGATTTAGGGCCGTTTCCTCGTTTCGCCGGCGTTTTTCGATTTCCTTCTTTTGGCGATTCGCGTCCACGACCGGTCGAGATGGTACGGATTGAACTTGGCGTATCATATGGTCACGCGCCTTCATATAGCCACCTTCTTTCATGTTCAGGTTCTGACGGGCTCGTCGAAGTTCTTCTTCACATTGCTCCTGAAATTTGAGAAATAAGTATATTGTTGTAGGTTAGGGTTGAAACAACCCCACCTTGTAGTAGCGTTAGCAGTTTTAACAATAATTTTAAAAATTTAAAATAATTTTAAAAAAATATACAAAATAAAACTTTCTTTGTGATGAATTGTGCACAGAATGAGGTTTTAAAAGATAAATTTAGAAAAAAAAACAAATTTTGGTTCGGACATTTTTCATCGTATAAAATAGTCCTCGCAGCCTGCAGTTCGGTTTTTTTTAGGTGTTTTAGCTTAAAAAGAGTTGTAAATTATATTTTTAGGTTAAAAATAAAAATATACATAAAAATAAAAATTTTTTTTGTTTCAAATTTAAAAAATTCTAATTTTTTTAAAAAAATTTTAATTTTAACCTCTGAGCAAAAATGAAAAAAAATAGTAAATTTTCCCAGCTGACATTGTTATTTATTCCCTTTTGTTTATTTTTAGAACACAATTACAGTTTTTCAGCTTTTTTAACTTACCAATTGCTTTTTCTGTTTTGTCCATTCATTTTTAAGTTTGCGCCGCTTGTGGTCATGATCCTTTTGACGGTTTTCGAGGGTCTAAACGATGACAATATTATTAAACTACATCTTTCCTGGCTTTTACAGTAATTTTTTCATTTAACAAAAAATTTTTAAAATTCAAAAAAAATTTTAAAAAAATTTTTTTTTGAAAATTTTAAAATTAAGAAAAATCAAAATTAAAAGTGAAATTCTCCGATTTTAAAAACCCCTACAGCAATAAAACGTTGATTGAGAAGGTTGACCAAATGCTCAGTCCTTGTTGTCATATCGACCTGACTCTCCATCAATTCGTCGAAAACCCCCACCAATGGTAAAGGATTGTTGTTGGCGTCAGCATACAGCAAATTCTTTGTTTGTTCAGCCAATTTGGCCACGTTTCGCGCATGTTCATGTTCCATGACTAGTCGAGAGCGAACAAACTGGAGGAGGTGGCTAGCGTATTTGGACCAGGCCTTACAGCGCTCGAATGCCATTTCGAGCCCATTGTCTTGGCGCACCAACAACTCTCGCATAACATGGGAGTCGGAGTCTAAAAACTGAGGGTTTTAGTTTTAAGCCTGGCTAAGAGGACTAGGTAACTAAAAAAATTTCCTTTAATTTAAATTTAGTTTTTAAAAAATTTTGAAAATTTGCCTCCCCCCCCCCACTCCTTTTTCTGTCATTAAGACTATAATTACCCTCCCAGCACTGCTAATAAGCTTAATTTTAAATATATATTTTTTAAAAATTAAAATATTAAAAAGTCTCAAGTCACCTTCCATCGTATAACATTGTTAGCGCAGCCTGCAAGATTTAAAAACTCTTTTCTTTAGCCTTTAAACCCTGAAAAATAAAAAAAATTTAAGTTCAAAAAATACGAAAGTTTTGCTGAAAAATTAATTTTCATTATCTTTAAAATTTTTGACATAAAAAATTTTGATTTTAAAAACAGCCACTACAAAAAACCCCACAAAACATCCAAAACCCCAAAAAAATAAAGACAGAAGCACTTTTTTAGGCCAGAACTACTTATAATAACCTTCCTAATGGTTTGTCAGATTGTTTCTCGTGCCCTCGAGTTCTCACGGTATGCAACTTTTACCGGTTTTTGGCTAGGTTAATATCGGCATTATTAAGTTCAAATACACTCTTTTCATTACTAATTATGGCAAGGAGTGTATTTTAAGTTAAGGTACTATAAATGGCTTTTGTATCATAAGCAATATGATCAAAAAGCATCGTATTTTACCTACAACAATATTTTATATTAATTTGGTTTCTTAAAATTTAAAAAAACCAAAAAAAAAATTTGAAAAAATCACCACGCCCATCTTTCTCAGCTTTTAAAACCAAAAGTTTTAAAAAAAATTCAAATTAATTTTCTAATTTAAAGCTCCAAAAATTTAAAACGAAACCAGAACTTTAATACCCCCTAGCATTCGTTTTGAAACCTCACTTTACAAACCCATAAAAAAGCTCAAATCCAAAAGCCAAAGCACACGGGTTTACTATTAACATAACTATTACTATTTCCTCTATAACTCTCCCAACTTAACACCATTCTCCTCTCATAAAAACCCTTTCTGGTGGAGTTTGAATTTGATATATTAGGTTGTTCAAATAAATCTGTGCTCCTAGCTGAAACAAATTTTTGGGGTTAGATGGCACAGAACTATTTGAACACTCTAATAGAAAGAATATGGTACAAATAAAGATTAATATCAAGCCAAATAGAAAACTAGCCCTACCCTACCCTAACATGTTCTGCTTAAAATTACTTCAAGCTCAGTTTAGTTAAATTTTACTGTATCTAACGTTAGCTATAGCCCTATCTTATCTAAAACCTTATTCTACCCTACCATCTTTACCTTATCAATCCATAAATTTATTCAAAAACTACACTAAATTTTAAAAAATAACAATATCTACCTCTTTAAAGACACCTTTCATCGTATACCCTTCCCTGACACTAATAGACATAAGGAACAAGCTGGACCGGGCCCAACTTTCAATCCTGGCCCGATCAAAATTTTGTTCAAGTCCGACACGTTTTTCATATCTAAGCCAAAAAATAAAATTTAAATTTTTATAAAAATTTTTGAAAGTTATTTAAATTAACAGGTCAAGAAAAAATTAAAATTTCGAATAAAGCCCTTCGAAAAACCCAAGGGAATTTGAATGCGATAGGAGAAAAAACGCTCGTTTAAACAATACCCACGTGGAATGAGGCCGTAAATGTCGAGCAGGGACGTGTCCCCATTGTTTCGGTGACGGATCAGCCGCTTCACACGGCCTGGAGTCGACCGTGACGAGCCCCATCGTCGGCCAAAGTTGTTGGACGGTGAGTCGATCTTGGCGTGATTGAATGCGGATTCTGATTTTTTCGTCGTGAATGGAGAGCTTAACTTTTTAAAGGTTGATTCTGGCTTGGTGGAAGTTTGATCTGATTTTTGTTTAGTTGAGGGTAGATTGTTGGGATCAAAGTTGTAGGAAAGGTCGTTGATGTGATGTTGAAAAGACGGTTCACTTCTATGGCCAATCAGTGGAGATTTAGGGTTTTTAAGGTAAGGTGATTTTGGCTGGTTAATGAAGGCGGAACTTGAAGTACCATTAAGACTAGAATTGTCATTCAAACCAGAAATTGATGTCCCATTAAAAGCAGACTTAGAAGTACCATCAAAGCCACAATTCAAAGCTCTATTAAGCCTGGAGTCTTGATTAGGATCAAAGTTTGAATTGTCAGCTACATCAGGATTCAACGCTCCATTATAAGCATGATATGCCCCATTACCATAGGTGAAAGTAGGATTGTCATCAAAGGAAGAGTTCAACGCAGTGTTGATATCTAGCTCATCGTCGTATCTAGGATATACTCCACCGTTGAAGGCAGCATAAGCCTCATTATTGTAGGTTGGGTTTGAAGTTTGAAATCCAGATTGTGTGCCATTATTAAACATAGGTTGCGTGCCATTATTGAAGTTAGGAGTAGCACCATTATTAAATGTTGAATCGGTACCAAGGTTAAAGTTAGGCTCTGTGCCATTATTAAAAGTAGAATCCGTAGCATTTGAATAAACAGAAGCTGTGTTGTAAGTAGACGTTGTAGAAGCATAACCGTCATTTCTTGATGATGACATTACTCTACTGTGGTTGTAGTCCATTTTTTCAAAAAATGTTGAAAGAAATGTTACCTAGAGTAGTGATGGTTCAAAGTAAAGCCGTAGTAGGAAACAAAAGTTTAAATAATAGCGTAGAACAATAGTCAAAATTTGTAATTTTCTGATAGAATATAAGTAGATACAGCGGCCTGTATCTTGCGCAAATGATGTGCTGTGTAGTAAAAGTGATATCGTAGAAACTTGTGCTATAAACACTATCCTTGAGTTGAGTAAAAGTAGGTTCTAGTATGTACAGTGAATTCCAACAGTAACTTTGTTACATATAGAGCGTAGGTGTTCCTTGTAGAGCATATAATGGTTACCAGCGGTCAAGCTTAAAACTCTACGCCTTTCCTCTGCTTAACAGGCCAGAACTATCACAATATTCTTAACAACGGCGTTATCACAGCTTCAATAATAATGACCAATCTCAGCCAAACATCAAAATCCAAAACCTTTGATTTTCAAAAACCAACTCGAACCGTAGTCGCCTCTACCGGCCAACCATCACGACAACAATTTGCAAAAAAAGCTCGTCAAACCGCCAAGAATAGACCGTCGAAAGTTTTTTGCAATATCAAGGTACGTCAAAAAACACCGACACCTTGGTGATAGCGATGGAGATTGCGCGTGCGTCTTGGAAGCTTCCTGTCTCTTTCCTTCCATCGTCGGTTTCATCGCCTATTAGCTCGCGGAAATCTGTCCCCCCCCTAAAGTGTTTTTTCTCCATCTTCGCCCAAAACCGTTTTTGGGAAAAGAGACCGTGATTAAAGTCGTGATTGTTAAGGGGGAAAGTCGGGTGGTGATTGCTGAGAAAGCCGGGTAGTGATTTCTGGGCGAAAGGTTGTTAGTGATTGCTAAGAGAAAGCCGGGTAGCAATAGTTAAAGATAATGCCGGAGTGGTGAATGTTGATATAAAGCTGTGTAGTGATGGCTAGAAGAAAGCTAGGTAGCGACTTCTTGGGTAAAGACTGAAAATGATTTCTAAGCAATATGTTGGTCGTGATTGCTAAGAAAAAGCCAAGTAGTAAGTGTTAAGTGATTTCTAGGAAAAAGGTTCATAGTCAATACTACTACCGGAAGTACATAATTACTAAAAGACAGTCAAATATTGATTGTAAAGAGGATAGGGAGTTATGGCTTACAGAAATCTCTCTAGTTTCACATTTACGTTTTAGGTAATAAAATGCATTTTTAAGAATCCATTTGACTTTTTCGTATTTTAGGCTTCAATTTAGACTGGTTTAGACGGCGAGAACAGCGGAGAAATAAAAAATTTAAAAAAGTGTAAAGAACGTAAAACAATAGACAAAAACTTATAAGAGTCCCATATCTACCCCATGCCCCGGCCTCTAAATACCACCCCCGCACTGAAAAAATTATCATTCTCCCCAACACTAGCAAAATCTCTAAGAGATTAACCCCCGAAAAACAAATATTACCCCCCCCCCTACTCCCTCACAATTCTTCCCCCCCCTCACTCTCTTCCACTACCCCCACCCCCGCCCGAAAAAAACCAGCGTAACGGATCACTTTCGTTGACGGAAATCGTGTGTTATGTTCACATACCTGGAGAAGCGCCGGAAAGTTATGTTCACATACCTGGAGAAGCGCCGGACACCCGGGTTTGGTGATTGGAATGCCGCCGCAGGATCTTATTCTTCTTGGCTTCCGTCCGCATCCCATCCGGACTCTGAAAGTTGCGCTCGCTCAACGCCGGCGACTTGAAAGGGGCCTTCTGCAAAAAGTTGCGACATTATGAAAGAGACATTTGAACTTTTTTAATTTTTATTTTAAGTATCAAATTTTTTTTCATGTTTAGGTAACAAATTTTTTTAGGTAATAAAAGTTTTTTTTTATTTTTAGGTAACAAAAAATACATATTAATATAAGTATCAATGCCAATTTTAAGAAGATGCCATTTTTTACTAAATAAATTCAAAAGCCTATACTGTAGTCCAATAAAAATGTATCAAAATCCTACAGTAATTCACAAAAAAAATGTACCAAGAGCTTACTGTAATCCACTAAAAACTTAAAATTTTCAAAAATTTATATGTTAAGCCTAATACGCTACTATGCCTTTTCAATGAGTCATACCCATTTTCTTAATACCTGAAGGAACAGTAATCTATAAAAAAAGCAAAGGTAGACATTATAATGAACTTGATCGCTTAATTTGCGGATTAACTTCTTAGCTCATCTTCATTAACATGCTTCACCTAGCTGCTGCTTTAGCGATGCGGCTACATTAAAAGGGCATATGGTTAAAGTAAAACCAAATAAAAGCAGTACATGTTATCAAGTAGAGCATAAATAAAGTTGATAGTAGTTTAGTAGTGTTAACTAGAGCATAGATAAGGTAATAGCTTATTACATGTAATCAAATAAAGCGTGATTAAGATAATAGCTTAGTACATGTTACCAAGTAGAGCATAAGTAAGATAAGATCTTATTAGTGTTAGCTAGAGCATGTTTAAGAAGATAGCTTAGTACATTATTATCAATTTTAGATAGAAATAGTTACCTTAATTCTCCGATCCAACGTCACAGCATTCATACCACGGACCATGCGCGGCCTTGGTGATTGTGAAGAACGGCAGCTTCTGAAAATATAAAGGATGAAAGCTCATTACTATTGTAACATATTTCCCCTGAAGTAGAAGTGGCTACATAATCAGGTCAAAACAAAACTTTAAAATTTTGAACTTAAAGGCTAAGCCTGGCTATTTAAAAAATATGACTAAGAATAGGCCTGGCTAAAACTAAAAATAGCAAAACTCAAAAACTTTTCAAATTTTACACCACTCATATAATTTTAGACCTACTCAAAATTACTAAAACTTCTCGGTTGCTCATAACACTCGGCTTCAGGATCCACCAAGACCCGGAAGGCTTTATCACCATCAGCTGACAATTTACGAAAAGCTTTATCACTCGATTGTAAATCACTACTGCCAGTGCAAGACTGGAATCTCTTGGCATGTTCATGCCATAATTTACGTTTTTCATCACTAGCTGGTCCCGCAGGCTTTGTGTAGACAGTAGATAATGATTTAGACTGCCGTAAAGCTTCTTGGCTATTTTCTTCTGGCTTCAAACGGTCTTTTGTGGTCTCTGTAGGCTTAAACTGACTAGTTGAATTGTCTTTCCAATCAAATCGAGCCTTTTCTGGCATACACAGATCACTGGTACTCTTTTCTTCTAACCTTCTATTGTTACTAATACCACTAACTACATCTGTGTCCTCCACATCACCTAATACAATATCATCACATCCAGACTCTTCAGAAACCAGTGACAAACATGAATTGCTTGAACTGGACCCTTTTGAATCGATCAAAGTTCCCGAGCTGAGAGACGTCACTTCAATGGCCGGCTTCATCGTATTCAATAAGATCATATCAAAGCAAGAAAACGGCCGTCGAGGTGCATCTCGTGCGTCATGGTTACGTAGTAATGTGTCTTGAAGATGTTGTGGCGACTTTGTTGAAAACTGAGGAAATCCTGTTGTAATGTTTTGTGTAGATACTTCAGAATCTTTGGAATCTGATAGAAAGTTTATTGAAATTGGTTTGGATGGTAGTGTAGGTACGGAAGGGTTTGTAGAGTAGTTGGTAAGGTTGGTAGAGAAGTCAGTTGAGTTAGTAGAAAAATTAGTGGAGAAGCTCAAGTCACTACCTACAGGAACTGACTTAGAAGATGTAGTAGATGCGTTTTTAATTAGCAAAGGAGTTTCAAATGTTGTAGATCCTGTAGCAGCCTTCTGATAAGCCGAATTTACTGTAGGATCAAAATGACAAGTTTTATACCCTTCCTTTACAGATTCTTGTCTATCTTGATTTTTGTAACAGAAAGCTTCAATAGATTCTTTTCGACTTTGTGGTAGATCAGAAAGAACTGGAGTGTCCTCAAGCTTACTCTGAGTTACAGTAGACAAACCTTTTTTAGCTTCTAGCCTACTTTGTAGACCGGTAGAGTAAGATGTTGTAGTCTCTAATATGGGATAGTCAATGTTAGGCCTGTAGGAGTAAGTTGTAGTTGCTTTAACAGCAGAAGTTGTAATAGGTTTTACTGAGGAATTTGTAGTAGGCTTTTCAGTGAAACTTGTAGCAGTTTTACCAAAGGATTTTGTAATAGGCTTTACAGGAGAACTTGTACTATCCTTAACCAGCAAATCAGTACCAACTCCACCTTTCAAACCAGCACAACGTTTATCAAAACCGCCAGTATTAACTTTGCCCAACGAAGCCGTATCACAAGGTTGGGCCGAAAACACAGTCGAACTGGGATCCGCTTTTGGTGTGCCGTTTATGAATCTATAGTTGTTTTGAAATGTGTAGCATCCTATATTGTCTATAAAACTGTGCGGTCGAGCGTAGCCCGTACTCTCTTTCCGCGAGGGCTCTCTTGGTTTGACAAAACTTTTGGCTTCTGTTTCCGCGTTTTTGGGCTGTAGCTCTCTGCGTAGCCGCACGGTGTATTCGGGGGTGGTTTCCGCAGTGTTGTCTGGGAATGGGTGTTGTGTATGAGGAAGGTTTGGTGTCTGTAAGATGGGGTTTTTATTGTTATGCATCTTTGTATTGTTACTAGGGGTATAAGTTACTTCTTTATGTTGCCTTTTCTCAGTGTCGTTACTGTGTTCTATCTTCTGAAGCATTCTCTGCCCATCGGTGTTGCTATGTTCTGTTCTATAAAGCATTCTTTGCCCTATGTCATTACTATGGTCTTCATTCTGTAACCTGTTCTCCATGTAACGTTTTGTTTCATTCTGTAGCCGTTTCTCAGCTTCACAACTACCTTCTTCCCCATTCTGTAGCCTATTCTCACTAACAATACCATCTTTTCCTCCATTATGCTGTCCTCTTCCCTCCGTCTTACTTCCATTTACCCTCCCCAAACCGTTGTACCCGCGCTCCAACAATGTCTTCACGTCTCCACGTTGTATATGAAGTTTGTCGAGATCTTGTGTAGGAATATAGCCCATGTAACTTTTGGGCCGTGTCGCACCTTCGGTTGAGAAACGACGGCCCGTCTCTGTGGAATAGCGATTCATAAATATATTATCCACCAGAGGCAATGCCATCTTTTCTGAATCTATATTTTGGCTACGGATTGATGGATTTTTGACAACGCGGAAGGTTTGTACGGTAAATTGCAAAAACAATAAAAGTAAGGTAGGGTACGGTAAAAAAGATAGGTGGAGTAAAATGAGGTGGAGCAAAATGAAATAGGGTAGTTAGGGTAAGACAGAATGGGTAGAGTAAAGTAGGATAGATAAAGGTAAAATAGCGTAGACAGGGGTAAAGAGTAGAATAGGGTATATAAAGTAAAAATAGAGCACGTAGAGTAACGTAGAGAGAAAGTAAAAACCAAGAGAAAAAAAGAAAACAAAACGAAATGTAGGGAGGGCGGGGTAAAAAAACAGAAATTTTCATCACAAGAGAGGAGAGGGTGAGAAGGAGGAAAGGCGAGGACTAAAGTGTTTATCACAATTTTTTTAAAATTTTTTTAAACAGAAACAGCCTTTCCCCGCCAAAAATTTTAAAAAATATTCATTTTATACTCCCCCCTCCCCTCTCTATTTAAAACATCCGATTTCAATCCCCCCCCGTCTTCAAAATTTATAAAAAAATCATTTTCCACACCCCCCCCCCCCCTTCCTCTTTTTCATTTCAAAAAAAAATTTGAAAAATAAAATTTTATGCTCCCCCCTCCCCGCCTTCAATTCCCCTATACTTCCCAAAAAAAATGAAGAAAAAAACCCGCAAAATTCCTCCAAACAAAACCCCTCGTGTTGAGATTGATAAGACGACCCGCAAATTTGCTTGTTCGAATCGGCTGAAAACTTTTGTCCAACTTTCCCCAACCACACTTTCGAATGATAAGCCCTTCCTGATACGGGAAAAACCGTCCCGAGGTTATGAGCCAGCCGAACTGCTCTTCAATCCCCCCCCCCTTTTCGAAACGTAGCGATTATTCACAAACGCCACGATGACCTACACGGACAGTCGAAGCGTGCTCCCCACCGCCGCCTCCAGCTTCTCGATGCATTGCAACGTGCGTCCATAATCGTTCGTCGCGTTCTCAAAGTTGATCTCTAAAAATATTAACATTGAGGTGATGGGGATGACGTTTATGCTGTGTATGTTGTTTGGTTTTTGGACATATAGAATAGTTTTAGCATTAGGCTTGAATTATATTACATTAGGGTAGGGTAAGACAGAAGAAAAAGGGGTGGACAGAATAAAAAGACTCTGGAAAACCACCCTTTCTTTAAAAAAATTTTTTTTTAGCTTTTATCACCTCCCCCCCCTGACATCTGAAGTTTAAAAACCTGCCCTCTTATCTCGCTCTTACTCACTCATTCAGTTAATTTTAATTTTTTTAAATTTTTTAAAAAATATTTTTTGCCAAGACCCCCCCCCCCCCCCCCATTCATTCCCCTTCCCAATAGAGTCATACTTTTCATTTTTTCCATTTAAAAATTTTGAAGCCATTTCAATTTTAAAATTCAATCGTTTTCCATCTTTTCCACTGCCTCATTTGTATTCCTATTGCCATTTTCAAACTGCTGATGCTGCTGTTTCGAATTTTTTTCAAATAAAAATCACTTTTTATAGCGAATATAAATTGACTTTTTAGTGATAAAATCAATTAAAAAACAATGGAAACATCTTTTATCAGCCTTCAAATTCATTCGGCTGCAAAAAAAATTTTTGGTTGTAAACTAATTTTAAAAAAATGTGCTTTTTATGGCAGAAAGTCTAAAATTTGTAAAGAAATTACTTGATTTAGGTATAAAAGTTCATAAAATTATTTGTAAAAAACTAAATTTTTATTTTTTTTATATTTTTTATGTATTTTAAATCAATTTATATTTAAAATCCACCCCTAAACTAAAACCACAAAAAATTTACTTAAAAATTAAAGAAATACCATCACCACACCCAAACTTTAAAAAATCACAAAACCGGCTTTTAAAATAAAAAAAGTTCATTTACCCATTTGAAAATTAAAAAAAAATCTACCCCAAAAAAAATAAAAAAGACTTCAATTTACTATTAAATTGTTCAAATAATTCTGTGCCCCTAACCTCGGATTTTTTGTAAGGAAACACAGAACTATTTGAACAAACTAGTATTAATAGGGTTATATAAAATAACTTAAGTTAAGGCAGGGTAAAAGAAGGTAAGGTAAAGTAGGAAAAGTTCAAGATAAGGTAGGGTAAAGTAAGGTAGCGTAAGGTAGCATAATTTAAGTATAGAGGAAAGTAAGGTAGGGTAGAATGGAGTTGCGTAGGGCAGACTATATATGGTAGAGTAAGGTTTTTTTGAAATAAAAATTTTTTACAGATCAAAACCCCCCCCCCTCCAATACTTTAAAAAATCACCTCCCACATATAATATAATGTAAAAAAACTCAAATCGATCCATAAATTTTGAATAATTTCAAAATTAATCAGATAAACTGCCCCAAACTTCAAAATCCACCCCTAAACACAAAAAAAATCAGCCCACCTTTGATGGAATGAACCAGCTGACTGGCAGGAATGAGTACTTGTGCCGTTTTGAAGATTGGGTATCGGACCAATAGATCTCTGACAGACTGAGATACCAGCGATAAGGCAGCATGAACTTGAACACATTTACTCTCTCCATCTGAAAATTACATTTTAAATTGACAGTAGCATTAATTACTGTATTTACAGTACTATTTACTGTAAGATTAGTACTATTTACTGTAAGACCAGTACTAGTCACTTTATGATTAGTACTACTTACTGTAGAACTAGTAGCAGTCACTGTATGATTAGTACTATTTACTGCATTACCAGTACTATTTATTGTACGGTCCGTACTATTTTCTGTAAGACCATTACTATTATTTACCATAAAACAGACATTACTAAACATTATCACTGCTATAAACCGGAAATGTTTGATAAATATAGATCCAAACAAGACATTACTGATAAGCTTTATTAACTTGACGTCATTACTTCTCGGAAATCATAAAATGACACATTAATATCACACCCCACGTCACAAATTATTGTTTTATGTCCGTTTGGGTGGTTTTGAGTCATAAACACGGACGTAAAAATATAAACCATATCAGTAATGTCTATTGCCAATATTATTCTATTATTATAGTTTGTTCGAAACGTTTTGAGTCAAACGTAATTTTTTTAAAAAATAGACATAAATTAAATTTTGTAACAGATTTTCAAATGAGGAGAAGAAGATTCACTCTCACAGAGCCAATCCAAAAAATTCAGAGGTGGGGTAGAGTTGTTTACGGCAAAGTAAGATATGAAAAAGTAGGATGAGGAGTAGATAAAAAATGTTTGTACCTAAAAGTAAAAAAAGTTCAAAAAAATTTTTTCACCTTCCCCTCCCCTAAAAAAATTTCAGCGACGTCAGTCATCTCGTCTTCAAAAAAATTTTAAAGCACCATTTCTCCTCCTTTTATGTCAGAAATTAAAAAATTTTATATCATATCCTTTAAAAAAATTTTTTGACTAAAGCTCCAGCCTCGACGCAAAAAAAAACTCAAAAAAATTGAAATGACATTTCAATTTAAAGAAAAACTTTTTCAAGTACTTACCAGGAACATACGAATTCGGATTCAATGAGTTTTTGAGATTATTGATGTGATCCGCAAACAGTTCAATGTCGTTGACCAAGGAGTCTGGTAACTGAAAATACTTTTGAACATAAATTTATATTGCTGTAGGCTTCAAATTAACAAAAAAGCTTTAAAAAGTCTACTATAATATCAAATTAAAAAATCAAAAAACAGAAGAAAAACATAAAATTTTTTGTTTTTTCAAAGATTTTTTTGACATTTCGTCTCAACTTTTTGACATTTCGTTAAAGTTTTTAAAAGTTAATTAGGAAGCCGTTTAAAGCTGGATTTCGGACTAGCTTGGCTTTCATTTTTAGCTGGTCAAAGTAAAAATCGGTAAAAAATTGCGCGGCTGAACAAGAGCGGTCCAAGACTTGGCTAAAACGTATAAGCATCTTTAAAGCCAAGCTTAAAGCTAGCTAAATCATTGATATTATTGTGATTTGTTGCCACAACTATACTACTATCATCCTCTCTATCTAATTCTACAATTTTTATATTTATTTTTAAAAGATAAAAAATTTTGTTACCTAAACCTAAAAATTAAACACTTTTTTATTTTTATAACTTTCAAAATTAGCCCTACCGCATCATCAATGTCCGGATCGATGCCCAGGTCGATGCTGGAGCAACTAGATGACATTCTCTTATCTGAAAACAAATAAGTTATTATTCGAATTGAAGATAGATAGCGGGCAAGTCATCAGACCGCCTCTGACACATGGCCTCTTCTTCCGCGACATTATTAAAATCATAAATATTTGAAGCCAGAATGACTCTTCCTGCTTCGAGTGCTCCCGGTATGATCTGTCATGCAGTTTTTTAAAATAAAATAAGAACTATACACCTAAACTACCTTACCCTACCCTACTTTAGTCTATTCTGCCCAACCCTACTTTAGACATGAGAAACAGGCCAGGCTAGTTCCGATTTGTAGGCCTAACCCAATCAAAATTTTTCTCAGGCCCGGCGCGACCTAAATTTGGGTCAAGCCCGGCCCACCCCGTTCCTCATGTCTATTCTACTTTACTCTACTCTAAACAACCCTACTTATCACATTTTGTAGTTCTTTCAAATTAAAACAAAAAAATATATAAATTTACTACTCCAGCCCAGTACAATAAAAAACAAGAGTAACTGTCTCAGTAATTATGCAATTAAAGCCAAGGAAATGATCCTCAAAACAAGCCTCGAGTAAAAACAAACAAAGTCTAAATTACACGTGAGTAGGCAAACATGATTAAAGTCGAACAACAAAACTCTAATATCCGAAATTAAACTCGCTAGACGAACGAATTGAAAGTATCGGGAAAGACGGAAAAATCCCGCTTTTAATTTGCTACTACGCCGTTTCAAACGTCTTACAAGTGTAGTCAATTTAACTATATTACTAGGCTTTTGGGTAGTGATGTTATCAAAGCGGGAAAACGCAAACAGCAACATTTGTCTTTAGCCCTAGCCCAGAGCCTTAGCCTAGAGCACTAGCCCTGTGCCCTAGCCCAGAACCCTAGCCCAGAGCCCTAGCCCAGAGCCCTAGCCCAGAGCCCTAGCCCAGAACCCTAGCCCAGAGCCCTAGCCATGGCCTTAGCCTTAATAAGCAACTTAATATAACAATAGTATTCAATTACCAATAATAAAGTTAGATGATGCATAAAACCTAGTTAAAGTCGAACTTGGCATGTTTGGGCCGAATTTGTGTTAAACCCTAAAATACGTCATTTGTTGACAAAATTGGGTCGAACTGCACATATGAGCTAAATTATATTACCGTAGAAAAAAGAAGAAGAAAACGATTGTTATTATTGCAAGGGTGCAAAGACAAAATATTTTTTTTAAATTAAAAAAAAATTTTAGATATAAAAAAATTTTAAAAAATTGAAAAAAATGTTAAATGCAAAAAAAATTTAATTGAAAAAAAAATTAATATATGTGCCCTTACCCTATTTTTAGCAAAAAATATCATTTTTCACCAAGCAAACCCCATCAAAACAACAAATCGATACACTTGCAGCAGAATAACTTTGAAACGTACTTTTAAAAATCAGAAGAAGCGATTAAAAACAAAATTGAAACCCCCTGCGGCGTAAACTAGAAAGTTTAAAGCGACGCCGAACCGAATGACCAGCGACAGTTGTCGCGGGTCATTTTGTTTATTGGCCACAAGTTGAGGGCTGGTCATCCGTCTTATTCAAATCTCTACTTTAATATGGCTTTGAAGTTTGGAAACATATTAAAGTAGTATGATTTTGGCTAGGGCTCTGTGCTAGGGCTCTGGGCTAGGGCTCTGGGCTAGGGCTCTGGGTTAGGGCTCTGGGCTAGGGCACTGGCCTAGGACTCTGGGCTTTGGGCTAGGGCTCTGGGTTAGGGCACTGGGCTAGGGCTCTGGGCTTGGGCTTTGGAGTAAGCTAAGCCATTATAAAACTAATAATTATAATAACAAGGAAAGTACCTAAGAATCAGCTCAAAGTTTTTATATGAATTCTTTGTACCAGTAATAGTATCCATAACATATTTAAACTTTTGCTTTCGAGTTTCAAAATTAAAATATTTGAAATTTCCTCTAATTTAGCACTTGGCATTGTGTTGCAAACTGTTTTTCCAAAGTTCTAGATAAGTTAAGCTTACAAATTTAAAAACGTAGGTTTATTTAAAGATTTTCTGCTAGTGTATTAAAGAAAAATGTCTAAAAGTCAAAAAATGACAAAGTTATTAGCTTGAAACACTATGCCAATTTGCAATCTACAGTGGGTGCGGTTCAAAATTTTCTGCAAATTGAAATTTATGTGAGAAATCGCAAGAAAAAAAAAAAGAAATTTTCAATTTGTTTTTTGGAAATGAGTCTTTGGGGGTATGTTTTGGATAAGATCGGTGGGTGCTTGAAATGGTATGGGTAGGGGCTCTTCTGGATGAGCGCCAATTTTTTTAATCTCGATTTTGTTAAGGTTGGCTGGAAAGCTCAATTTAGTACTTTCCTGAAAGTCTTTTATTTACTTGATCTTTCTATATAAAAAGCTTACAGTCAATCATTGCGGGGCAGATCCGGTACTTCCCTTGTAAGCAATGAAACACAAGTTACAAAACAAGCAAAGAGACACATTAAAAAAATAAAACAACCAAAAATATTCAAAATTGTAAAAATAGAACTGAGGTTTACAACATATCAAGATTTATTAATAAAAACAAAAAAAGGCAGGTATTGGATGATAAAAAAGTATCATCAAACGGTCCTTCGTCCTGTCTATGATCCCAATAACAACGATGGCTTATTGTGAGCTGAGCACGCTCGAACCAAACACACCATCTTCGACAATCTCTTGAAGTAGCTGGTTGTCGACAGCATTTTGGAGACAACTGACCGGCCAGCACTAAAGAATGAACTGAATGTGGTCAAAAAAGTCAGTGAATGGTCGATTTCAGTTTTCAATTCCAAAATTCAAATATATGTGAAAACTTAAAAATTTAGAATGTTCAATTTTTTTAGCCCTAGCCCAGAGCGCTAGCTCGGAGCCCTAGTCCAGAGTCTTAGCCCAGAGCCTCAGCTCAGAGCCGTAGCTGAGAGTCCTAGCCTACAGCGCTAGCACAAAGTCTTATCTCAAAGCCTTAGCCCAATGCCTAGTGCCCCCCGAGAAGAGCTCTAGCTTTAGCTATAGTTTAGTTTTGAATCTACCCCAGAATTCTAGCCCTAGCCAAAAAAATGAAGCCGCCAAAAATGAAAATCTTATTTTATTATTAAAAAATTGGTTAAAATTGAGCGGTCGGAAGTTTGGAAATGAAAATTTTACAATTTTTTCCAATTTTAAGATAAAAAAATGAAATTGGAGTAGAATTTTCAAAAACTCGTGATTAGTGGAGCACGATGATTTTGCGGTGTGACAGCGTGATGCTGTAATATTTTTAGTACTGTAATAGAGCATTCGGTTTTGAAAAAACACAAAAAAATATGAATTTCAACTTTAATTGTCAATCAACTAATTAGAAACTTAAAAAAGCTTGCAAAGGTCGTAGGTCGAAGATCATTGTTTTACATCTTCATATGAACACTAATTCTATTATAACAACATGAAAATAAAAATTAACGTATGAAGGCCGCAGGATCAAGCAGATTAGTTTGAATGTTTTAAACCGTATTCAAATTAGCACATTGAAGACAATATATTCAGAAGTTTTTTATATCTAGGTTGTAGGATACAAGAAGGGCATTATTGGATCTAATTTTTTAATTATTATTAACAAATAAGTGATTAGTAGAAAGCGAAAAAAAATTATAAAAATTTTCAAAAAAAAACATTTTTAAATGAAAATTTTGAAGAAATCTGTAAAAAAATTTCAAAACTTTTAAAAAAAGAGAGCGGTTAGTTTTTTTATAATATTTTATGAAAAATACGATGCATTTTGATGATGATTATATGTTGAGTATGATACAGTGTACTCTCGATATAAGAAATGGCAAGGGGATTGAAAAATCGTTCGTTGTAGAGAGGTTTCGTTATATTCGGAGTTCTGTTATCAAAGAAACAGTGCAATTTTTTCTAGAGTTTTTAAAAAAATTCGCTATAAGGGGGATTTCGTTGTAAGCAAAGTCCTATTAGCGGGGTTTTGTACTTAAAAAGACTAATCGTTGATAGCCTTTGTATCAAGATTATTTTGGTCTTGCTTTTTCAATTTTTGAATTTTAAATTTTTTTAAATTTTTTTTATTTCAAAACGTCCACTAATACCCTCACTGTCTTAAGCCTGACGTTAGCTTTTGCCTTATTGTTAGCCCTAATAATAACTATTTTTTCCGTAATTCAATATTGACTGTAACATGCTCTTCTCAATTTTTTCTTGTTTTTTCAAAACTATTTCTGTACTTTGTCAAATTTGCATAAAATTCAAAAAAAATCTCAAATTTCAAAAAAACGTGATATTTCTTAAATTTTTCGAATTTTTTTTTCTAAATTTTGCATATTATGAAATCGAAAAGTGAAGTTGCCTTCCACCGACTTGTTTGGTCACTTTTGTTCCCTGTTCGCCTGTCGTTCGGCTGCGTGTTGAAGAATGGCGTTTAACGCCGAGCTACTTCGCAAAGTCTTGGACTCGAACGTGCTTAAGGCCAGACCTAGCCAGGTTATCTGCGCCAAGTTCCTAAGCTTCAAGCAAAATGGAAAGAGCGTTGTTCGAAGCACAGTCTCGGTTTGTCCGCATCATTCAAGCGGCAAAACCGAAGAGTAAGTTGATTTAGTATGTTATTTTGTTAGCTGTAAACGTAAAGTGAGAATTTGTTTTGATCAACCCTTCTTTCCGCCACATTCTCATTGCCATTTTATATTACTCCTTAAGCCCCCATTAGTTTTGCGATTCTCTTTAAGGTACCTATCGTTGAAAGGCCACCAAATTTTTTCGCAATACGTTGGCGATTTGTCACAAATTGATAATCATGAAATTTAAAACTATTTTGAAAAAGATAACTCGTTCGGTTTCAATTTGAATTTCCAATGACTTTACCAAGTTGAGACCGACCAGTTCAGAAAATAATTATCGAAATTGCTTGATTTTTGACACGGAATGGCATGGTTTTGCAAGGAATTTTTGAGGCTCTTTAAGTACCGTAACATGTTATTGTCATTTTTAAAATGATATATATTTAATGTCATTTTTAGCATGATATATATTTATTGTTTTTTTAGCACGTTCGAGCTTTACGAAGACGGTGTCACCATCCTGAATTACGTGTTCTCTTTGAAGAACATCGACAATCTCTATGTCTATGGGCAGAAAGGCAATGAGTAAGTTTTTATTATTTACAGTTTTTGTTTTTTTTTCAAAAAAAACAATTTGAAAAATTTTAAATTTTATAGGTTTGTGGTGTTAAAATTCGAGAAAACTGATGGGGTTGTAGACGAATTTGAAAATGAAAGAAAGTTATGGATGGTTGGTGATATACTGTTGTCTCAATCGAACGGCCATGCGCTCAAGTTTTATTCTGAAAAAAGACCACGAATTTTTGCTAAAGACGTGGATCTTTTCAATGAAAAAGTCATCGGCAGTGTCGAAAACGGAGATCTTTGGTTTCCTGATAGTTCGTGCAAGACGTTCGAAAGCGGCGAAGAAAACAAGTTGGTTGAGTCAACCTGCTCGGATCCGAATCAACTGCTGCTGTCGTTTGTATGTTACTTTTAATATTCTTTTTGATTAGAAAGACGTTTTTTTGAAATAGAACAACTAGGCCATCTTGGAGGACAAGCCTTGTTTTTTCTTTGAGTAGTATTGAGTAGTATTGTTATGGTGCTAATTTGATGATTTTAAAATTTTACTTCTAGGCCGCGTTGAAAGCACAAGGCGCAACTCTGAGCGATGACGAGGCCAATGCGAACAACTTTGCCATCTTGTTCTATGAGTAGGTGGTTTGTTATCGGTTTATGTGATTAAGAGACTTGGGGTAAATTGTTTCTATTTTTGCTTATAGTTTATTAAAATCTTTTGAGTTTTGGGGGTAGATTTTTAAAATTTTAATTTTTTTAAAGTTGTTAAACAATTTCAGACAAGCTCCCACGACGACAACAACTTCTACGACTAGTACCACTACTACACCCCTTGTCACTGAAGTCGATTTTACTCTTCCAGAAGAGTCAACGTGAGTTTATAATTTGTGAAAGATTCGAACTTTTCACCTTAGGGTCTGTAAGTAGTATTTGCACTATTTTATATATAAATAACGTAAACTCAGACATATTTTAAAATTTAAATTTTTAAGGTTATTTTTGATGTTAGGCGATTGATTGTGGAGGTGGGTTGAAAAACACTAGCAGATACCCTAGCCTGTATCAACTGTTTATGTCACTGTTTTTAGGGTTTTTGTAAGCACCATTGGTGCTGGAAATGGGACCACTGACTCATCGGGAAGTTCGAATTTGGTATAGTAAGTTTTGGTTTTGTATTGTAAAATGGTATCATTTGTACTATGTTGAAACAAAATTTATTTTGGTTAGGGCTTGAACTTCAGAAATAGGGTAAATTTTAGTAGAATAATTACATATTTTAAACGCTATTTGGGTTAAACTTACATTTTTTACTAGTTTTTTTGTATAATATCAACGTAAATTTATGTGTTTCAGCGTTGGTATTGGATGTGCCGTTGTCGGGTTACTTGTAGTCGTGATTGTCGCAATTGTTGCTTGCATTTATTTCTATCGAAAGAAAAAGAAGGCTGATCCAGTAGACAGCTCGTCGCTTAAAACCGCAGTACAAGCACCATTTAGTGAAGTACATGTTGGACCAGATTTAAATCACCGAACTCTCAGGCTCAATGTGTGATAAGCTGAGCAAAATTTTTTTTAATGAGCGTAACTAACTAAACTGAATAAACTGATTAAAAATATAAGAATAACTTTTTTTTCTTAGTGGAAAATGTTGTCGTTTATGTTTATTTTGAGAACAAATGAATGGTATTAATGTAACTTTAGCTTTTTCTTGATACCTTTCTAGGATATTGCGCCGAATATAATTTGGTTTTTGAAACGAGATCTATCTAATATGAAAGAGCGTAAAATGTTATCCAGAAAGCTGTTTTCAATAGCTGTTAACTCTCGGCTAGCAGAATATGAGCAGCTACAGTACTCTTCGGTCCTGTTCTCTCGTCCTCGGCAAAACGAATGGGTTGTAAAGCCAATCCAATTTTGCCGAGAGGTTAAAAGATGACCTTCAGCGTTTGTATTTCAATTAATTTTATACCTCAATTTCTTTTGCTTACTCCCAGTCCAGCCTTAGACTTTGCTCAGCTTTAACCTTGGCTTAGTTTCAGTCCAGCCTTATACTCTGCTTAGCCGTAGCCTCAAGAGATAGTCTGAAGTGTAGAAGCCGGACAGTTCGAAGCTCATCGATTTCCTTTCGGCGTTTTGCCATTATGAGAAGACGCCATGGCTTGTTGTTTGGCTAGCCAAACAATATTTTGATTGAAAACTATTTGCTAGATCATAATTTTTGTTTTTAATTAAAGTCTTCCTCTCTGTGTTTTTTTGGAAAAAAAGCTACCTATGCCAATTTTTTTGACTCCCGCCCCCCCAGAACCAAAGTGCCACCTCTGGCAGTAACAGTAGATTTTCGACTGAAATGATACAAGACAAGTTGGCCGTAGTTTTTAAATCAAAATTAAAAAAAAATTAAAAATTGGATTTATTAAACACAAACGCCTACAATAAGTTAATTTTAATGCATTTTGATTTTAATTAGTTGGTGAGGTATAACATATTTTGTCAGTTCAACGAGTTCCGCAACTGATGTCGTAGAAAGTTGTCAGCTTTTTCTAAAAAATATTTTTTTTTATTTCGAAACGTTTAATTTTCGAAAAAAATGGATTTTTTTTATTAACAAGGAAGGTGCTCGACTCGCCTAGCTTCAATTGACTTCAAATTTATTACATAGAATGATCATTTAGGTATAAGACCTTCCGAAAAGTAATAAATTAAACTTTCCAGTCGAGCTCGAGAAAATCGAGATACAAAATTTAGGTTTTAAATTCCCCGCTGAATTGGCATTGTGTTTCAAGCTTGTAACATTGTCATTTTTTGACTTTTAACTTTTTTATACTAGTTCAAAATCTTTAGATAAACTTGAATTTTTAAATTAGTAAGCGTAGCTTGTCTGGAATGTCAAAACAAGTACTTAAAACACAATGCCAAAGTGGCCAAATTGGCGGGAAACTTAAAAATAAAAACTTTAAAACTCAAAAGAGCAAACACAAGTTTATAGGTTTTATGAAGTAGACTGATCTGAAAAGCCGAAAAAAGTGTTTGCAACACAATGCCAACGTTGCCAAATTGACGGTAAACTTAAATATTTAAACAGAGGACACAAAACCAAGCTAAACTCTTTTAAATGTGCTACTGGAGCTTCAAAAAATTTAAAACCATTAAACTGACTCTGAGTAGGGCAGTTTGGCCACCTTCCTTGTGAAAAAAAAATTTTTTTAAATATATTTTATGATAAAACCCAACACATACCCTTATTGATCATGTTGGGATCCGACCGTCGGTCGAAGATGCTCTTAAACACTCCGGCCAACTTCACGATGGCATAATCCGGCCTTAACGCGACAAGATGGTTGTGCACTTTGTGTGTTGGCTCGAATAGTACTTGTGGTTCTTCGGCCGGCACTTCTATCGATATTAAGCGTTGTGGAGTTCGGGGCAAGGGGATATTCCGATAGAACCGCCCGTCCACCACAATACAAAGTAACAAGAAGATGGTGCAAGTTTGAAGCAAAGATACCATAGTAGGTTCTAAAAAAAACTCGGCGTTTAATGACGTTTTTTGTATGAAGAAGCTTTTTTTGACGCGTATTTTATATCATGATAATGATTTTTTAAATAAATTGGTTAATTTCGATAAATAAACGAAACGTCACAAAATTTATTGGGAAAATAAGTTGTTGGATGCAAGAAAATAAGGTCGTAATTTCAATGTAGTTTAAACTAATTGTCATAAAACGGCTAAAAATAGAACTTAAGGTTTTTGAGCGAAATGTCACAAAATTTATTGGAAATGTTAACAAAATGTCAAAAACTTTAAAGATTTTAAAAATTGCCTAAAATTCCATAAATAAAACGTATAACACAAAGTCAAAAATCTTTTTTCTTATTCCCACAAAATTTGATAATCCTAAGACCTTCATCTGCAACAATATAACCCAACCCTCTTACAACTTTTCTTAAATACCCCACTTGTACCTAAAATACCAAAACTGCCAGAGTTGGCTGTTTAATATACAAAATTTATTTTTACTCCCAAACTACAATATTGCACCTGCACCGAGAAGCATCTTTGCGTCAAATACCATCTTAATGCCCACACATATGTTACCTTAATGCTTAATACAATTTTGCAGCGTACGTGCTGCAATTTACGTTGTAAGTTGTCACTAATACCATGGTTAATATGCTTGAAACGTAAGAGTTTAAGTTTGACATGAGAAATATTGTACTAGGTGGTATTGTAATAAGTATGACAAGTCATGATACGAAGTACTGTTACAAAATGGTTTAATAGTTTAGCCCTACCCTACCCTACCCTACCCTACCCTACCCTACCCTACCCTACCTTACTCTACCCTACCTTACCCTACCCTACCCTACCCTACCTTACCCTACCCTACCTTACTCTACCCTACCCTACTCTACCCTACCCTACCCTACCCTACCCTACCCTACCCTACCCTACCCTACCCTACCCTACCCTACCCTACCCTACCCTACCTTACTTTACCCTACCCTACCCAACCCTACCCTACCCTACCCTACCCTACCCTACCCTACCCTACCCTACCCTACCCTACCTTACCCTACCCTACCCTACCCTACCCTACCCTACCCTACCTTACCCTACCCTACCCTACCCTACCCCTACCCTACCCTACCCTACCCTACCCTACCTTACCCTACCCTACCTTACTCTACCCTACCCTACTCTACCCTACCCCTACCCTACCCTACCCTACCCTACCCCTACCCTACCTTACCCTACCCTACCCCTACCCCTACCCCTACCCTACCTTACCCCTACCCTACCTTACTCTACCCTACCCTACTCTACCCTACCCTACCCTACCCTACCCTACCCTACCCTACCCTACCCTACCCTACCCTACCCTACCTTACCCCTACCCCTACCCCTACCCCTACCCTACCCTACTCTACCCCTACCCTACCTTACCCTACCCCTACCCTACCCTACCCTACCCCTACCCTACCCCTACCCTACCCTACCTTACCTACCCTACCCTACCTTACCCTACCCTACCCTACCCTACCCTACCCTACCCTACCCTACCCTACCTTACCCTACCCCTACCCTACCCTACCCCTACCCTACCCTACCTTACCCTACCCTACCCTACCCTACCCTACCCTACCCTACCCTACCCTACCCTACCTTACCCTACCCTACCTTACTCTACCCTACCCTACTCTACCCTACCCTACCCTACCCTACCCTACCCTACCCTACCCTACCCTACCCTACCTTACCCCTACCCTACCCTACCCTACCCTACCCTACCCTACCCTACCTTACCCTACCCTACCTTACTCTACCCTACCCTACTCTACCCTACCCTACCCTACCCTACCCTACCCTACCCTACCCTACCCTACCTTACCCTACCCTACCCTACCCTACCCTACCCTACCCTACCCTACCCTACCCTACCCTACCTTACCCTACCCTACCCTACCCTACCCTACCCTACCCTACCCTACCCTACCCTACCTTACCTACCCTACCCTACCTTACCCTACCCTACTCTACCCTGCCCTACCCGACCTTATATCAAACCCTACCGTACTTGTAGAAACAGTATATCCTTAAAAGTACAGTACAAATCCTACAGTTTATACACGACCATGTAGATAAAGTATACTTCTTACAACCTGCCTCTGTCTAATACAAATCTCAAAACACAAATCCAAGCTCTACCATGCAACTCGTATCACAATGTAAATCCGAGACTGGTTCTACGTGTTGTAACAAACGTAATCCTACTTATATACTGTTTCAGCATAACTCTATTCATATCTTGCTGGATTAGCTGTAAAGATTAGAACGTACTAATCGTCACTATAACTTTGTTCTAACTATAGTTCATATCAGCTTGTTTAATATTGGTTTCAAAAAAAAGTTCAATCCTTAGTGGATTTGGCTTTGTACTGTGATGTTACAGTTACTGATAAGTGAAGTCATTTTTACGCATTAATTCTACAACTTGCTATCTTTTAATAGTTCTTCTAATTCTTTTACGAAATCCAGTATTAGTACGTAGAGATCAATTAGAAAGATTTCGTTGTTTCTTTTTATAAACGCAAAAGTCAAGCCCGGCTAACTTAGAAACTGTAACAGGATTAAATAGTAATGTCAAGACAACATGAACAAAGAGGATTTAAAGACTTGATTCGAAACGTAATAGTGAAGAAGCTTTAATAATACTGTAGATTTTTGATATACTCTGCCTGTTTCCTGCCTTTGCCCTGCCTTTGCTTTGTCATTGTCCTGCCTTTACCCTGCCTTTGCCCTGAATTTGCCTTGCCTTTACCCTGCCTTTGCCCTGCCTTTGCCCTGAATTTGCCCTGCCTTTGCCATGCCTTTGCCTTGCTTTTGCCCTTCCTTTGCTTTGCCTTTCCCCTGCCTTTACTCGTCCCAAAAATAAAAAAACAATCTATATTTCTTTGCACCAAAACTATCTACCCTACATTGATAAAACTTCAATTTTACAAGCCTTATACTCTTACGTACATATATATACATCTATAGATATTCATAAAAATATATTCTAACTTCTGTCCAATTAGATGACATAACTTTTCGTACTCATCCCAGTCCAAAGTCTGGCCAATTTCCTGGCTAGAGTTTGACAGTTACTCAGCTCGTCACAACTTTAGTAAACTCTCGCCCTCCTCCAGAGTGTGCAAGGGTATAACATTACTTTTGCGTATTTTTAGCAGTTTTAATTGTAAGACGTACGATTCATTAGACGAATGGTAAAATCTCCCGGATATTGTGTAGAATTAACAAAATTAAGAAACGACGGTCAAAAAGTCTTTGCCGTTAATTTGAGCGAGTTTAGTAGAGAATTGAACAAGGATTTTAGAGTACGACGAGTATGAATAAGCAAGGTACAATCTGAGTAATTAAAAATAGATATCTAATGCAAAGGTCATCAATTATCGCATAATAAACATTAAGTATAAAAAAATGGTACACAATAGGTTAAGGTGAAACCATAGTACTTCGTAAGAACTATATAGTACAAAAAGCAAAAAAAAAGTAAGGTAGGGTAGGATAGGATAGAAAAAAGATGGCTACAACCAAGGCCGGGCAGAAACTTTTGGTCTGGGAGCGGGGGTGGAAAAAATGTTTTTTCGAAATCCACAGGGGGGACCACGTTCAACTTTTTTCAAAAACTTTTTTAGGGGGGGAGTGGAACCCCGTCCACAACTAACTCAGCGCCTGGCCCTGGCTACAACTACTTATCTTACTTTAAGTGTGCACAACTTTAACCCAATATCTATATTTTTCTTCCCATAAGCAAGAGCATAAACCTTGTTATTATACACCAGGAAATATCAAAAATTGGTTTTTGATTATTCAATTAAATTAAAAAATACTGCTGCAAAGACTCTGTATCTTTGCAAACATCAGTTGTCGTAGGCGAAGTAAAACCTACTGTGACATACTGTTATCACAAAAGTGAATCCAACTGTAACATAATTCATGCTAAATTTTAAAATATTTTCAATTTCAAAAACGAAAAATTTTTTCTTTTTTTGCCAGTTGAATTCAAAAATTTGTGTAAAATAATGCGGTAAGTAAAACTTTTTTAAATCGGCACTATGAGTTTGAAAACAATTTTTTTCCTTGTCCTAGTATAACACATATATGTATATATTCACTAAACAATAGAAGGCAATTTTATACCAAAAAAGACCTTGAATAGTAATAGAAAAAAGTTATACATAGTAACCACCCTCTAGCTCACTAAATCATTACCTATGACACGCAACCCAGATATTCATACCCACCAGCCCAATAAAGAACCAAAGGGTAGTATCTATAACAACGTCATAACCCAAATACTCTTCTTTGTTTTACCAATTTGGAAAGGGTATTACTACTGAATTGTGTTTAAAAGGACATTAGCTCTATAACATTAGTTTTATGTATCAAATGAAAAATACCCCGCTCAGCACTGCCTATGTTGAAATCTTACTTCATAACTATATTATGTTAAATAAATGTATAGAATGAATGACACTTATAAAATTAATAATAGTATTATATGGTCTGTAGAACTCTCTTGATATCATAGTTAAACGATCACGAATCCTATTTAATCTCGTTGGCATTCTGTGTCAATTATGATGTTCATATAGTACACACAACAAAGGCAACCAAATATGACTACACAAAAGTTTATATAGCCATACAATAATAGTGCACTACCATAAAACAGAAAATGCAAAATAATTTTTGATTTATAAGTAAAAATGACACTGAAAATCACATATCAACCTTCAGGCCGAGTAAAAACTACCAACCAAGGAATTATAAAGCTTAAAAACTTGGTATTTTACCTCACAAATAAAGTGAACAACTTATTTTTTTGTCTTTTTTATAATTATAAAGCATTTTATCATATAATCATAACATAATAAACAAGCATTTACATATATAATTATGGTGAATGTAAAAACCTTTTAAATTGTGAGTGATGTAGACATATACTATTATCTAGAAGGTGGTAGACAATATAATAGTTTTTAAACGTCAAAAATCAAAGAACAAACTTACGACTGGCCTGCCGTGCTTCACCCTTGCCTTGCCTTGCCTTGCCTTGCCTTGCCTTGCCTTGCCTTGCCTTGCCTTGCCTTGCCTTGCCTTGCCTTGCCTTGCCTTGCCTTGTGTTGCCGTGCCTTCCTACTCTGCTTTCTTCTAAATAAACCTTGCCCTGTCCTACCACGCCCTGCCTTACCCTGTCCTATTGCACTAATTTTCAACACCCTGTCTCCGCATCTCGCCCCCTAAACCTCGACCCTAACAACTATATAAAACCATTTGTCACATATTCGTATAGCCATTAAAGAACCGCAAAAATAGCTAAGAAGAATAATATAGTATTTGTGTTGTACCTACGTACTTGTCAAACACATTACTCAGATTTCATTCCAAGCAACTTCTCAATCCCACGTATTGCTGTCAGATGGACAAAACGTGAACATGTTTCAATATTACGGTTTGTCATACTATAATATATCGTCATGACTAATCTATTTTTATGTCAAGAGGAAAGACAAAGTGTCAATCCTTTATTTACAAAAAAAATTTACTACCCTACCCTACCCTACCCTACCCTACCCTACCCTACCCTACCCTACCCTACCCTACCTTACCCTACCCTACCCTACCCTACCCTACCCTACCCTACCCTATACCTTGCCCTACTCTACCCTACCCCACCCTATATCTTGCCCTATTTTACCTGGTCTATCATTCCCCAACCTTAACCTACGCTACTCTATCCTACTTAACTCTACATACACTATCTTCCCTTGTTCTACCACGGCCTTCCTTACTCCCTCCCAATACCACACATATCTACCTTATGTATATTTCCAAATTACCTAGCCCACCCTAACTGTAGTTAAAAATTTTAAACTTAGTATTTTGTATTGTTATAATAGCCATAGCCACAATATAATGACCATCGTACTTTGATAGACAAATGATAACGTTGTTCGTACTAAAAGTACTCTTTCTTGTGCGTAACATTTACGCTTCAGACCCCCAATTGGATTACGGTGTAACAAAGCGAAAAGCTTATAAAATAATTTTAACGTTTCCAATTACTCCTACATAACTTAATAAGGACATACGCACTTTTGGTTGGTTTTTAGGCTAGATGAATGGTATTCGAGGTAGGATGGTGTAAAAAATAAGGATAGGGTAACGTAGGGTTAAACTTAGCTTCTTAGCTATTAATAAGCGTCCCTCAAAAGAAACCACCTCTTCAAAAAAATTTCCCCCCCCCCTCCTCCTTTTCAGGCTAGAACTCCCTGCCCCCCCCCCTACACAAAATAGATCAAACTTATTCCTCCATCCTTCCTTCTTCCCCCCCCCCCCCCCCCTCGGCCTATCTTCCGCCCCCTTCCTCCATTCTCCCCCTCCCCCTCCCTTCCCTCCTCCCCAATTCAAATAAATTTTAAGTAAGAAACCTAACATCAAAACACTCGCCTACCATAATGTAACAGTTAGCATGCCTTATATTCTTCTTTAAACTCACGTATGTCATTATATCCACTACCCAGAAAACAAGTCTCATAACTACTGTGACACATACCATACATATTCTAATAACATGTATCTAAGTCATTAACTGTTTATTTGACAACCAGTCACATATAATTATTCTTTCTCCAGTCAATATAAACCAAACGACACATTATACACAAACAAACAACAAGTTTTATGTCTTATACCTGAAGAATGAGTCATACGTAGGTAGTATCTACTGTAGTAACAAGATATGACTTAAAATTTCGTTTTTTTTTGAACGTTGTAGATACGAATAGATTTCTTAGTGTGCCTACAACTTGCTGCTGCAAACTTAAAAAATGCCCTGCTCTACATTGCCTTACCGTATCCTACCATAATTTGCCCTACTCTGACTTACACTACATTGGTCTACTCTACTCTACCTAACCTACCTTATCCAGTCTTATCCTACCATACGTTGCCCTACAGTACCCTACCTTACCCTACCACACATTGCCCTACCATACCCTAATCCTAACATAATACTATTAATCTATTCATATATTATAAAGACAAAGTGATATGACACTTTAACCAGAACGTATATATTGTTACAAAAACAAAAGTACTACGTCTTTTTTAAATGACACTTCTTGGCATCCTAGCTGTCAATGTAAGAAGATGAGCAGTGACCAGTGGTATGCAATAGCATAAATAATATATAAAGCCATTTTACTATTTGTCATATTAAAAAAAGTAAAATTACGAAATTATATTACCCTACCATACCCGTCGGCACCGTTTTGTCTATAAAAAGAACCGCCATTCCATACCCTGCCCCAACCCTAACCTCTTTCAGATAACACCAGTTTTAATAATATACTAAGCAATTACTTGTTTGACGAAGTAAATTGTTTAGAGACCAAAGTAATGTTAATTAATTGGCCGACCAATTAATCAGTTTACTGACCTTTAGTCCTCTCCCAATATTATCAAAAGCAACAGATTATGAAAATGTTAACAAGCATGAGATTAGATAGTTTAACTACATATTACTGTTGTTTACATGATTTAAACTAAAGGTAATTAGAAAAATTGATGGTTATTGTTAATCATTTTAGTTTTGCCATTCGTCACAAAGTTACATTTGCAATGTTAGCCCCACTTTCCTTGTCACGGAAAAGTTTGCCATATACAGTTCGAACCCAACAACCTGATGGTTCATTAGTTGAAACAAAAAATTGTGATAATGTGGTTCGTTTCTTATATATTTTCTGGATTACTGTAAACAAAAACTAAATTTCGAAATTTTACTATAGTCAACTTTTACATAGAACTTTATCACCTTCTTTGGGCGAATGCGTGTAGTCGACTCTATTCATCCCCTCCAGCCTCTATAAAGTCGTTGGCTCTAAAACGTTCAATGTGAAAATTTCGAATGTAACATTAAGTCAACTCTTATGGCGCTACAAGTTTATACAAAACTTTATGATAATACCAATTAAACTTTGTTCAATTTTTAATTAAAATATCATAAATATTTGTTCACTAAAGTGGTGTTAATCTCAAGTGTAACAAATCCGATACCAAGAAAGGATGATCCTTATCAATTATGTTTTGTCAACTTTCAAGTTTTTCGAAACTTTATAAACTTTTTTATTGACATTATTTAAAACAAGGTATTTTAACCAAAAAAAAAGTTTTTAAGTAAGAAAAACACAAAAATACTTCTTTAAATAAAGTAATCAGAAAAGTATGGCAGTTAGACGGCCAATTTAAGAAAATTACTTTACCCCGCCCTCCGGCTCTCTCCGCCCGACAGTAGCATCAAACTTAACAAAGTATATTACTATCAGCTAACAATAACCTCAATGAGACTACTTAAGTTCATTATCAACTTCAATTTCCAAAAAAAACTCCAAAAACGCATTTTTGATGTACCCCACCCGCCCCCCTACCTCCAAAAAACGCCATTTTTCATATAAAAACCTCAAAAATTGCCATTTTGATATAAATAACTCCCAAAAATTGCCATTTTCAATATTTATTATTATCAAAATTACAGCTATCTTACACTATCGTCTCGACCTGGATCCACTTCGTTTGTCTTCTTTTTTCCTTTTTTCACTTTTCGACTTCTTTGGTTCGATTGGGGACTCTCGGACGTCTGAATTCTGTCGTTTTAGGTCCCTGAATTCTTTTCGAAGATTTGGAGGGGTAGCTGGACCTGATATTGGAAGTCCCTGAAAGAATATATATATACATTGTACTATTTAGTATTTATATATATATTTTTGAAAACATCATATTTTCGAGAAAAATCACGGTATATCAGTAAAAACAATTTTTAAAACTTTTAATATGCATCTACTAAAAAATAAGTTCCCCTACTATAATGTGACTGATTACCTTCCAAATAGAATAAAAATACTCGCTGTCTCTACTATAACATAACTTTTTCTATTATATCCCTACTACAACACCAACTCTTACCTCCAAATCATGTTTCTGTTCTTCTCGTTTGGCCTTGGCTGCTAATGCTGCTTCTCTGGCTTTCTTTTCTTCTTCTTCCTTTTGTTTTTCCTCTTCTTTCTTCCTTATTTCATCCTCTTTCTTTTTCTTTTCATCATCTTCCTTCTTCTTAATCTCTAGCTTCTTCATCTGCTCGGTTACTGATGCTGCGCGGTCTTTTAGCTTCTGAAAACACAAAATTTTGCAAAGTAATACTAAAAAGAGTAACCTAACGTATTTTACAAAATTTAAAAAAGATTAACATTAAAAAAATTTTTGTTTAAAAAATTTTAAAAATCAATTTTGTGGTTTAAAACATCTCCCAGCCCCATGAACTTACAGGTAGATCCTCACAAACGCTCAGTAATGCATTTGACAGGTAATCCGAAGTTTTGGCAATAGCATTAAGAGCTGCAGGCGGATTCAAGGCCAGATACTGTGGTGTAGCAAAGAGTAAATGTCTACTACAAGTCCATTGAAATTTTTCGTTATTCACCGATTTATATTCATCATCTACTTGCTGTTCTGGGTCTAATTCATCCAATATTTCGTCCGCTATTGACTCGATTTGTGGTGTGAATACTCTAAAATATTAAGCTTAACGTTGCAAAAAATTTAAAAAACAAGTTTTTTAAATCTGCACGGTGCAAATTTAATTTGTCGTACAGTGAAAAAATTTTAAAATTTTAAAAATCCAAAATTTAAAAAAATATATTTAAAAAGCTTCAAAAACATTATACCAGTCCAAAACTTACCGTTCTTTGCTTTTACAAGCCTCCAAATTGTCATTACCCATATTCCAGAGTCTGGTTAGTTCAACATTGCCCAGATCAATGACTTTTAGGTCAAACAAGTTAAATGTTCGTCTGAAATTCTTATCTTCACTTTACCCATTATTACACGTTTTTAAGTCTCAACATTACGTCAAGAAGTTCATTCAAAATAAAGTGGAACCGTTGAACAACAACAAACTTTTTCCATTAAAAATAAACAACTCACGGTTTAAAGTTATTCAACTTCAGTTTTTCAGGTTTAAGTTCATTAAGTAGGTTTGGGCAGCTTTGGAACTTCCATTGAGACCATTGTCTGTCATTCTGAAGACACTTCTTTACACTTTTGGCAAAGATATTTCCATTGGGATGTGTTTCTTTTAATAATGAATATGCTTTGTCTGAATACTCCTTTACCAACTTTTCTTGATCTGACGTTAGACGGCTAAAACAACATAAAATCAGTCTTTTTAGCTTCAATACATTTTGTAAAACATGCTTTTTTCTAATGGGAACAATGTAAAAATTAATATTTCTATTAAAAACTTCGACAAAAACTTGTTTTCAATACCGAAATCATTTAAAATTTATTTTTTATACTGTGAAAAAAAATGATTTTAAAGCCAGCAAAAAGTAAAAACTTACTCTTTTGTCTTTGTGTTATTGACTAAAAACTCGCAGGTAATCAAACATTGTACTAAGAAATACCTTCTAAACTGTGAGTCGTTCAGTTGTAGAAGAAACAGCTAAAAAACTTTGATTAAAATTGCTCTGAAAACTAATTTTTTCACAGAAAAATGTCATTTTTCAGTCAAAAACACATTTTTAGGTAATAAATGCCCTTGTATATCAAAGATTTAACAAAATAATAAATTTTTTAAAACAAAAAGATAATAGGAGTAATAACCAACCTTATTACTAGTCAGATATTTGGCTGAGAACCAAGACTGATCCTCTTTTTCAAGTTCTTCATCATTAGTGATCTTGTCCACCTTTTGAGACGACATGGCTTCAAAGACACTGCTTATGTTCTAAAATATTATCCTTATCCTTTCAAAGACCGCTTATTTTATGTCAAAAAAATAAACAAATACGTCAAAAAAACAAAATCTAACCTGATTGAACCTTTTCCAATTCTCAGCCTGGAAAAGTTGTACTGGATTGACAAAGTAGGCTTGTAGACCCCAGAACTTCTTGTACAACTCGTAATCAATTTCTTCCCTAAAATTTCAATATATATTTAAAAATTTTAAAAATCTATACAAGCCTGCAAAAACTAGAGTGCAAAACAAGAGAAGGTAAATCAACCCTTACTTGGTCTCCCTGATCTCTCCCATTTCCATATCAACATCTTCGACCGGCTTTATCACATTTTCTTTCTTCTCCTCGTATATTGTGACATTTGCCAAGTTAAACTGACTAGTCAAGTTCAAACCTGATTTCTCTTCTAATGGAAAAGTTTTGGCCAAAAATATGAAAATTCGACCACAAAATTCGGTATCCAATGTTCTTGACAGACGCTTCAGAAGGTCGTTACACATTCGAAGGATCTGGTTCTTGCAGGAATCGAAGAAGAATGGCTAAAACAACGTTTTCTTACTTTAAATTGTGTACAAAGAAATTGTAGAAAAATGAAGATTTATGTTTTAAATTTAATTTTTTATGATATTCTTGATAAAACTAGAACATCTTAATGTTTTGAATTAATTTTACTTAAAAACCTTCAAAATACAACAAAAACTAATTCATAAACTTTTCGTTCCTGTTTCACATTTAAACATAAAAGTTTTATCCAATAAAACCAACTCACCTCCTTCCAGGTAACAATGAGATCCTCGACCAAGTTGAACAGCTCCAAACATCGACTAGTTGAACTGGTTTCAAACACATCTTGCATTATGGCACATGTTAAAGCCTTTGGACAAAGTTCTAAAGAATAAAATAAAAAAGAATATGACAACTTACCATTCCGACACAAAACTATAATAAACTCCAATAGCGAGTTCAGCTGACTGATGTCTCCACCTTCTAAAATCACTTTCAAGCATTCTCGACGTAGAAACTCCTCCAGCTTTTGTTTTGTAAGCTCGTGAGATGTCTTTCTTAAAGTGACATGTTGATTTTAGGTATTGAGAATAGAAAGAACGTAAGATATATAATAAACATGTCAGTTTATTGAACAAAAATGGGTACAACAACATTGTTGGTACTTTGATCTTATTTTTATACAAAAAACCAACAACTTAAAAGCAAATACTTTAACTGTAAAAAAGCCAAGAATTTTATCTTCAGCAGTAAAACATCTGTTAATTAAAAAATCTAAAGTAAAATATTATCACAAACAGCAAAAACTCACGTTTCCTTAAAGAATCCTTTGACTCCATCAAAATTCTGTTGTTTTACACTTTGATGAAGATCAGAAAACATCTTGAGATCAGTAAAACAAGCTTATAAAGAATAAACTCGTCTTTTAAACGCGAAATATTAATTTTATTTTCCACAAAGCCCGTCAGAACGACTAAAAGAAAATGTTAGTAGCATTTATTTAAAAATGGCAGAGATTTTTACTGAAACAGCAGAAAAATATTGAGATTAATAATATTTGTCTACCTTTTGTATTTTTAATATTACATCAGTCGTAATGATTTCTTTTCTAGACAAAGAACTACGTTATACGATGAAAGTCTATAAATTCCTCTTGGAACGAAACGCCACAAACGCCAAAAGTAATGGTAGAAATGACAATTCAAACTAAAAATGTGAATTTTTTGCCGAAAATTACAATTTTACACTTTTTGCAACAAAGTTCAACTCTTTTATAGTATAGTCAGTCTTAACTATGCTTGTATATTGTATTGTATTTTTATCTTTTTGTAGCAACTTTTTTTCTAGCACAAGAGGTAAGAAATAATTTAAATTTACTAATCTTAAGAGTTTAGTTTACCTATTGAACACGTTAGATGCTAAAACCGAGCTGAATTGGCAAACATACAGCTCCGGAGGATCACAAAGAGTAAGTTTTTATTGTTTTTGTTTGGTTTTTAGGTATCATTCATGAAACTCTGGGGGATTTTGATTAAATTTGAGCTTTTTATGGTTGTGGTCAAGTGTAATGTCGAAAACTTTCGAAAGAGGAAGTAAACTAATACTAATTTCGTTGATTTTGGACTTATATGACAGATCATATGTTTTTTTAAGTAAACTGTGCAGGTTTTGCTTGATTCTAGGGGTGAGAAACGGGCCGTCTAGGCCCGGCCTTGAGCTAAAATTGAAACGGGCCGGGCCCAAAGGTTAGGCCCGGCCCGCGGGCCGGGCTTGAAAATTGGGCCCGGGCCCGAAAAAAAAATTTTTTAATTTTTAAAAATTTTTTATTTTAATCCCCGTTGATGTTTTTTGATTTTATTGGGTACCATGATACATAAATGATCTAAAAGAACAATGCAAAGCCAAATTTCCGTTTATTTTTTAAGTTTTTAAATTTTTTAAATTTTTTAAAACGGGCCGGGCCGGGCCTAGAAATTTTCTGACCGGGCCGGGCCGGCCTGAGAGAAAATTGAAAACGGGCCGGGCCTAAACGTTGGGCCCGGCCCTTTTCTCACCCCTACTTGATTCGCGTTGTGGCGCGATATTGTTTTAGGTATAGATTACGTAATAAAGGCAAAAGTACCGCATATTTAGTTCTTTTTAGGTGTTTAACGATAAAAATAGCATTTAAACTACATTTTAAATTATGTTTTGTTAATTTAGTATTAAAATAGAACTAATTTTTCAATTTCAGTGGGTTGAAGAGACGTATCGAAGCTTCGACAACCGTTCAGTCAATCAACAAGCCTATTCAACGTGTTCTACCGATCATAATGCACGTTTTGAGAATTGGCTTCTTTTGCCAAACGTGAATAAAGTGAAAGAAGCTCGATTATTTATTGATTTTCGGTTTTCCATGAAGAAGTGCTCATCTTATCCTCGACTATCACCTTATTGCAAGGAAACCTTGAACTTCTACGCGTATGGAGTGCCGAGAGGACAAGCGATGAGTGCTTTAGATTGGCACAATCAAACAGAATGGAAGTTTGTGCATACTATCACGCCGAACAATGATTATGGGGAAATATATTACTCTTCAACGTCTTATGACGCGGACTTCGAGTCAGTTTACTTTGCGGTTAAAGATTCCGGAGCTTGTTCTTCTTTATTAGCTGTTCAGGTAGGTTTTCAAATGCCTATATTAAAAGAAATATATCATTTTTAGATCTATTATATTGTTTGTCCACTATCGATTCATCAAAGAGTTCAACTACCTCAAGTTGTAGTATCAAAACAAGCTAAAACAGTACAGGGAACTTGTTTATATTATCCGCATGGTGCTAAACTCAACGAACCAAGGTATTTATGTAGGGAAGACGGCAATTGGCAACAGTTGATTAATGAATGTGGTTGCCCGCCAGGTCGCAGTCCTTATGGTGAACAATGTCAAGGTAGGTTAATATGAAGAGTGATGACGTTTTTATTAAAAAAGAACTTTATAGCTTTGAAAGTTTTTTTTATCATTGTGTTTTTCTAGAATGTGCTCAAGATTCATATAATCCATTCTACGACTCCAATCCATGTACAGCTTGCCCATCAGGATCTATATCAAAACAAGGCTCAACTTATTGTAAATGCAAACCAGGACATGTGAGATCAAATCCGAATGATCTGGACAGTGAATGTTACTTATTGTCATTGTTACGAGAGATCAGGACCTCTCAAATGGATTCAGGAAGCTTTATCAGTGATAGTGGAAAGATAATCATCGTATTGATATCATCATTGGCTGTGTTGTTTGTACTATGTATGGCAATTGTGTTGTTCTTGGTTAATGCTAAAATGAGGTTAAAGAGAGTGATCAATGAAGTTGCTAACACTGAGAGCAAGGAATGTAAGTTTTCGTGAATTTTGGATTAGAATAGGTAATAAAAGGATTAAAATAGGAAGGTTTGTTTTACAAAATTATTGCCATTTTGATGTATGTTTTGATAAAAAATTTTGCTTCACCGTATTTTTTAAATTAATATTACATTTTTTGATAATATATATTGTTTTAGCAGATGCGAGTACTAGACATTCGATCTCATCGATGACTTCACCGCCAACTCCTAAATCTGGTATGTTTTGCCATTTTATGAATTTATAAATTTTTTGCCATTTTTAGTTTTTGAAAGAACGTTTTTGTTATTTTATGTTTTGTAAAGACATTTTTTGCTATTTTAATGATTTTTAAAGAAAGGTTTTGCCATTATGCGTTTTGGAAGGAATCTTATATTCTCCTATTTTTAGTCACCTTATTCCCAGCCTTCACCAACGGCAATAACAAGCCCGGCCCCTTAATGTACGTGGATCCCCTAACATACGATGACCCAGCAAAGGCCTTGGCAGACTTTGCTAATGAAATACCACGCGATATGGTGGAAGTGACAAGAACAATCGGCTCAGGACACTTTGGAGAAGTTTGTTGTGGTCGATTGAGAATGGAGTCGAATTACTGCAACATTACCAACATGGTACAACAAATCGTAGCCGTCAAAATGCTGCATTCGGATGTTTCAAGAAAGGCACGACTTGATTTTCTGATAGAAGCCTCGATTATGGGCCAATTTGATCACGAAAATGTTGTCCATCTTGTTGGGGTTACGACCAAAACAGAGCCAGTAATGATCATCACTGAGTACATGTTGAATGGGTCCTTGGACAAGTTTTTGAAGGCAAATGATAATGGAAGGTTGTCTATGGCGCAGCTGGTGAAAATGATGCATGATATTGCGTCAGGGATGAGGTACCTAGTCAGCAAGGGTTTTGTGCACAGGGTAAGGGTAATATAATGATTTTTGATGGTTTAAATTGATTTTTTGATTTGAAATAGATTAAACAGGATTTTAGTGAGGAAAGTCTTGTGGTATAAGTAGTTTTAGGTTTTTTAAAATTTTTAAATTTAAATTTTAAAAAATGAATTTTTGGTTTATTCATATTTGGACATTCTGGTACTTATTCTAAAATTTTCAGGATTTGGCCGCAAGAAACGTCCTAGTAGACGACCGTCTAACCTGCAAGATTGCCGACTTTGGCCTGAGCCGCAAAGTCCGGTCGAAAGATGACCGTGAATACACAACCACCGGCGGCAAGATCCCGGTACGATGGACGGCTCCAGAATGCATCGCTCATCACAAATTCACATCGGCTTCAGATGTGTGGAGCTATGGCATCGTAATGTGGGAGGTCTGCTCATTTGGAGAACGACCATACTACGACTGGTCTAATGCAAGAGTGATTGAAGAGATCAAGGCTGGATTCAGACTGCCAAAACCAATGGACACGCCAGATAGGATTTATGAAATGATGAAGAAGTGCTGGAACCATCAAAGGCATGAACGGCCCAGTTTTGGGGATTTGACTACAGAATTGATCAGTATCAAACAGGAACTTCATGAATCATACGGAAGGGACAGGTATTAACTTGAATTCTTTACTTTTTCACTATTTTTGGGGCGTTTGGGCTAGATTTTGTGACTTTTTTTTGGTTTTTGGGTACTTTAGCTTGTTCTTGACACGTTTTACCTCCATATTCAGAAATTTTACCCTATTTAATAAAATTTTTTATAAAAGAGTCTAAATTACTTTTTTTTTATTAAAACGAATTTAAATCTTGTGATTTTGAAACTATTTTTCTGAATTTTGTGAATATTTTTTAACTCCTGTATATATTGTTGTATGTATTCTAGTTTACAATGTAAATAAACTGTCATTTACTACCAGTATTATTGATGTTTTTGTTTTACAGAAGCCTCGGTGACATCAGCTCTCCAGACACACCCAACACTCCAACCTCAAAACATTTCTACGACTTGTAGCCGGCTACAGACGACTATATTGTTAAGTTTTTCAGTTTGTAAAATAATAAAAGTTTGTTAAAGGATTGATTTTAATGTGGCTACTTTCAAGTAGTAGGTTGTAATTAAGAAAGTAGGGCTTAGAAGCGTGGGGTATGACAAAGTTTTCCGTTTAAGGGGCTTTTGTGATAGAAGAACTCACTATACAGGAGTTCCACTAGATATTAATTTCTTTGTAACACAATCGTTCTATTGGTTTTATATTCTGGTCACAATAGAAGGTTTTACATTACCATCATGATATAAAGCACAATGTCAAATAGCCACATAAATCATCATTATTTAAACTGTTACATGTAAAAGGTCGATTACAACTCGAACATACGGGTTCTAATTTATATAACACGAATTACGTATTTGAAAACGTTTTTTTATCAGACAAACGTTGTTAAAGCCGAGACTTGAAGGGGTACTTTGATGCCTGACGAAGCGAAATAACTTTAATAGTTCAAACTTCAAAAATAAATGGCAGCCAACAAGAGATTTGCTTCAAACTTGTTTGCTTAAGGTTTATATTGTACTAGGGGATGGCTGGGTTTAAGTAATGATTAGGTTTAGGTATTGGGTATGTTTGTAGGAGGAATGGCCCACACAGGAAAAAAATAAAGCGTAACGTGGTCCTCCTTTTAAATTTCAGAAAAATTTCCTTTTCTCTCTTCCTCCTAGCCCCTTCCATAAAAAATGCCTCACCCCCAACGATGTGCCAAATCTTTATAGGTTTTGAACCCAAAGATCAACTTCTCTATATTTTAAATAAATCTTCACATTTTGAAGGCCAATTCAAATATAAAATGCCCTTTTAAGTCCCCAAACAAAGAACCTTAATTTTGGTGTTGTAAATTGACGGACTTGAAAGAGAATTGAACCCAAAGAACTTCACTTCCACTTCCCATTCATCTTACGAATGGCCAGAGGCCATAACAAACATGGGAGTCACGTTGTTCAATGTTTATGCTGTTCTCTGGAGTGTTCTTTGCAAAAAGCAACAAAAAATTCAAAAATAGCCCGATTTCGAGGCTGTTTTTTGGTGGAAAAAATGTTCACGGATGTTGTTTTTGGTGATTCAAAACTTTATAAAATGTTTTACAATTATTTTTTGATGTTTTACTAATTGTAAGGTTAGCATGACTTACACTTTGATAAACCTCCTTATGTCATCCATTTTCACCTCAAAATCCGCCTTTATCATCCAAAAACTAATGTTATCCATGATAAAAACCCTTTTATTTTGATGTTTAACCCTTCAAAAAGCAAATACTCGACTACAACTATACTGCAAACTTTCTGCAAATACTCTGTCAGTTAATTTTGAGAACAATTTGGGCGGAGTTTGTAAACTATATCTGACTATAAAATACATTTCCATAAAATATGTTATCGGAAGTTTCTGAAGATGGGGAAAAAAGTAAATTAGAAGGTGATGTTTACTAAATAGATAAGTTTGTTACATCTTCCGATGTTTTTTTTTGTAGTTTATGGTCATTATTTTGCAAGATTTTTTACAAAACCTGGAGGATAGTTTGAAAAGAAGTAATTATAACGTATTTTCTGGAAAATAACCGATTTTCTGGATTTCGACGGATTTTCTGGGTGTTCCTGACGAATTTTGTAAATTTTTACCGGATTTTCTTCTTTCTCACGTAATTCTTGGACTATATGGCACGTGCCAATCAAATCCTTTTTCTATCCGACCAAACCTACTTTTTCAAACGTGGTTTCTTTAAAAAAACAGCCGAATTTGTTGTTTGTTTCATGCTTGGATATTGTAGTAAGTTCTCTTGTTATTTTCCTCTTGATTTTAGGTGATGCAAGGTTAATGTCTCATTTTGGACTCTTGGGATGTTTCTTTAGGTTTTTAAAGTCCTAGAAATAGTTAAAATTTTTGGATTCAGGTTTAACAAGAACGTTTTGTGCATTTGGGCTATTATTGAAATGTTTGGTTGGACTTCTTTTTTGATGTAAAAACCTAAAAAACGAACTTTTCAAGGTTTTCTTGTCGGTTTTACTCAAAACTTTGCTAATGCTGTCATACTATAGCCTAAAAACCTTGTTTTACGTTCATTTGGCCAAGATCCGGAAGTATTACCTGAAGATTATATTATGAAAACACTTCTTAGATCTTTGTAATAGTCTTTCCTAATTTTTCCGTAACTTGAGATGATTATTTTCACTAGTTTACACTCGTTTTCTTTATTTTTAACGTAGCTACATTAATAAGATGGAAAGGCTACTACACTATCACGTTTTCGAGTTTGTTTTGTATGATAAAATTCTGATCGAGTTCTTTGTGCTTTTGCCCGTTTAATTGATGGACGCTGGTTGGAGGTCCTTATGGGAGTGCGAAAGAGATGCCTAAAGTTAAGGCACGTCTGTTTCGCCGTTCTCTCGCCGTTTCGTGTGTCTCTCTGACGTTTCTGGGCGATATTCGCCTTGTTTCGTCTCTCTTTCTCTATATTTTGCCTTCTTTCGATTCCTAAAACTCTTCTTCTTACGTTTAAAACATCATTCTCTATATTATCCTTTATTTCTCTGCCAAACCATTGTCTCAACTGATTCAATTCCTCCTTTTCGAATCGTTCTTTGCGTTCCCGTTGACCCTGAGCATAACCGAAACGTGGTCTCCGCCCCTCCCGCCGTACTTATAGCACGCTGCATTTTCAGGGTTTGTTCAGTTGATATCCTCGGAAAATAAAAAATGTCGTCGATTCTCCGCACCTTAAGGCCAGTCACGAGCTCAGTCCGTCAGGCCTCGAATATTGCCGCGCCAGAGCCCGTTTGGGACAACCTGCCACATTGTACCCAGGTAACCTTTGCTTTTGATGATTTTGTGAGAAAAATGATTTTGGTATCGCTTTTTTAGCCAAAAAGTAAAGAAATTTTAAATTTTTGACTTTGATCAAGTTTGCACAGTGCAATTTGCTTATTTTTGTCACTGCACGGTGCAATTCTTAAAAATTTTAAAAACTGCGCAGCTGCAATTAAAAAAGTTCATTCTAATAAAAATTGAAAAGAATAGTCATAAATTAGTACAGCTTGATATAAAAGTAGGTAATCAGCAAAAGATCGCTTTGTACGAAGATTGAAGGTCATCAACACATAAATTTTCACTTTTTGTTATCTTCTGATTGCAAAATGGTGTCATCAACTGATCTTTGGGCTTGCTAGTTTACTAATAATTCTAGATTAGTAGAAAATTGGCCTAGGTTATACAAAATTGGTCAAAAAGTTTTGGGATTTGCTGCACTGTGCAATTTTTTAGAAAATTTATGATCGCACCGTGCAGTGACAAAAAATAATTTAATTGCACCGTGCAACTTATGTTTTTGAACATTTTAGACTAAACTAATATTACAAAAGTATTGAAGTCATTTTTAGTTCGATAAGAACTGACTTTGACTTAATTGAAGCCCAAAAAACCAAAAACTTTAAAAAAGTTTGTAATAGATCATAAGTCAATACAAATTGGAGACACTTTAGCGGTTAACTTGTTTACAAATTTCCTGATTGTTCGACTTGAATTTCTTTCCTTGAAGACGATCTTTGACTAAATTTCCAGTCGAAAAATCAATTGAAATGTAAAGGGCAATGTTAGAGCACGTTTGAATCACGTTTTTGTTAAAATAACAGACGTCAATTGAGATTGTCTGCTAATTCTCTAGAATAACAAAGGTTAATTGAACGAAAATTGGATAAACTGTTGTTTTGGCTACTGGGAATTGGCTGGAATTACTTTAAATTACATTAACATTAATCGATATTAGCTTTTGCTTATGCTGTAGATAGATTTATGACGTTTTTGGGAGAACAATGAATTATGAGCGCGTTTTAAAGTTTTTTGGTTAAAAAATTTAATCTTAATATTGGAAATGTAAAACAAACCAATTTTAATACCTAAAATTAAAAAAAACTAAAACTTTGATCGTTCCAGATCTTCATCAACAATGAATGGCGAAACTCGAAGAGTGGCAAGACTTTTGCCACTATCAACCCAGCCACAGGCGAAAAGATTGCTGATGTGCAAGAAGGAGACAAGGCAGATATTGATGATGCCGTGAAGGCGGCCAGAGACGCCTTCAAGCTCGGATCACCATGGAGAACGATGGATGCTTCCGACCGTGGCCTTCTCCTTCATCGTTTGGCTGATCTCATGGAAAGAGATGCTTCTTACTTGGCTGTAAGTTTTGTTTTTGACATTGGTTTTGTTGTTTTTAGGTATTGAAGGTTTGTAAGGTCATAAATTGTATGAATATGTGGTTTTAGGCGATCTTAAATGGTTTTTTTTATTACAATGTTCAAAAACGAAGATTTCAAAACATGGTCAATATTTTCATTATAACTATAACCTTTTCAGAGTTTGGAAACCCTGGACAATGGCAAACCATACACAATGTCCCTCCTCGGCGACCTTCAACTCGCCATCAACTGTTATCGCTACTATTCTGGATGGGCCGACAAAATCGAAGGCAAAACCATCCCCGTCCGCGGCAAATACTTCACTTACACCCAACACCACCCAGTCGGAGTCGTCGGCCAAATCATCCCATGGAACTTCCCCCTCCTCATGCAGGCCTGGAAACTTGGCCCAGCTCTGGCTGCCGGTAACACTATTGTAATGAAAGTAGCCGAACAAACCCCATTGACCGCCTTGTATGTAGCCAAATTGGCCGCTGAAGCTGGATTCCCAGCTGGAGTGTTGAACGTTGTCCCAGGATATGGCCACACAGCTGGAGCTGCGTTGTCAGTACATCCAGATGTTGATAAGGTTGCTTTCACTGGTTCGACTGCTGTCGGGCAAAAAATCATGATTGCTGCTGCTCAGAGTAACCTGAAAAAGTAAGTTTTGGTCAGTAAAACTTGTGGTAATGCTCTGTTATTGTAGATTTTTAAGTTTTGGGGCCTTAAAATTGACATTTGTGGTTAATATTTTGCCTTTTTCGAATTTTTAAATTAAAGTTATGACAAAATTTCCATTTATTACCTGTTATCTTTTCTAGTGTAACCTTGGAACTCGGAGGCAAAAGTCCAAACATTGTCTTCGCCGACGCCGACCTAGACGAAGCCGTCCGTCAGTCCGCTCACGGTGTCTTCTTCAACCAAGGCCAAACGTGCTGTGCCGGTACTAGGACGTTTGTCGAACGCAAAATCTACAACGAATTCGTGGAACGATCAAAGGTTTTGGCCGAAAGCCGCAAAGTCGGAGATCCATTCGATTTGAGCACGGAACAAGGACCTCAAGTTGACGACAACCAACTCAACACCATCCTCAGGTATATTGATCACGGAAAGAACGAAGGAGCCAAACTCGTAGCCGGAGGCAAGCGCTTCGGCGACAAGGGTTACTTTGTGAGCCCCACTGTCTTTGCCGACGTCAACAACAACATGAAGATCGCCAGAGAGGAGATCTTCGGCCCCGTCATGTCCATCATCCCCTTCGACTGCGACAAGGACCTCGTAGCACAGGCCAACGACTCCATGTACGGATTGGCCGCTGGTATCGTAACCAAAGATCTCGACCGTGCTCTCCAGTTCGCCAACAACTTGCACGCCGGTACCGTCTGGATTAACTGCTACAACGTGTTCGATGCCGCAGCTCCATTCGGTGGCTTCAAAATGAGCGGAATTGGCCGCGAATTGGGAGAATACGCCTTGGACAACTACACCGAGCCAAAGAGTGTCACGATTGCTGTACCGGAAAAGAACTCATAGGTCAAGACAGGGGTTTTGGGCTTGGAACTTGAATTTTAAAGCTGGTTTTGGCTAGAAATTTGAATTTTTAAGCTGGTTTTGAGTTAAAATTTGCCTTTTAAGGCTAGTTTCGACTAAAATTTTTAATTTTTTAGCCATTCTTGATCTAAAATCCATGTTTCAAACCCTTTTGTACCTTTAAATATGTTTTCATTTTGTAAATTTTCAAATTCTCAAAGCCGTTTTTGAAATTTGGAAGCCAATTTCGTCTCGTCGATATTTTTGAAGCCCCAATTCATTTACCGAATTGAATTGTCGGCCCAAGTGCAATATCCTCTTGTCTCCCCTAACCTTTTTCTCATTTCCCTGGCGGATTTTCTGGAAATTAAAAGTTGCGCATTGGGCTCGCTTTTAATCTTCTCATGTTTATTCAAACTTTTATTTGTATAATAAAATGCTAAACTCCTAATGGCGGTGTTTATTCGAAAGTTTTGATGAATTTTGGGGTGGATATTGGGGTTGTAAGGGAAAAAATTTAAAAATGCGGGCTTGGTAGACTGGAAATCCTAAGTAACTATATTCATACCTAAAATAACTTTTTTTTGCCTAAATGAGCCTTCTGTTACCTAAAAAATCTGTTTTATGCCTAAAAGATCAGTTTGTTACCTAAAACATCTACTTGATAACTAATACCTAAAATATCATTTTGATAAATAAAACATAATTTTATTACCTAAATTATTTTTTTGGAATTTTGTTGCCTAAAATATTATTTTAGGACATAAAATATAATTTTTATTATCTAAAATATTGCTTTTTTGATTTTATTGCTTAAAATACTGTTTTGACAGCCAAAAATCTTGTTTTAATACCTAAAATACCTTGTTTTGATATTTAAAATATCAACTTTCTTTGCTCAAAATACTTTTTCGGATACTAACTTATTGAACAACATTTTTCCAAAGCAAAATCAGCTTACTCGTTCTTCAAATACCAAGAATGCGGGCGGTAATATCACGGTAAAAGATCAGCGCGCACTGTTTTCCTCCTCCCCACGCCTTTTCGGCATGTGTAATATTGGAAAAGATTAATCAAAGACGCGAGGAACGCCGCCGCCGTTCCGTCCTTTGGAGGTCGTGGAAGCGACTCTCGGCCTCCGTTAGGTAATCCATGTATTTTATGGTCCCGCTGTGTTTGACTTTGGTTTCGCGACAAAAAAGTTTTTAACGCGTTTAAGGGGGGATGAACGGGCTGAATGGATTAGTAATAGTTCAAGCCTCTACTTTTCGGCTGGGGTTTTTGGGAAGAGGAATTGATTTCTGGGGTGGGTTTTATTATTGAAAAAATGATTTTTGAAAAATTTTTATTTTGGTTGATTTTCTAGGATGAGGGAAGGGAGTCGGCGGAGGTGGTGGTTTAGTATTTTGTAGAGAAGGCAAGGTATCCTAGGATAAAGTTGGGCAACGCAAGGTAGGGTGAAAAATAGGATATTGGAGTAAAGGACGTGTTTTCTTCAGGTAGAGACATTTGTGGATTTTAAAAGGGTAGGGCTGGGAATTTTAGGGCAATTTAGGACAGAAGACTGCAGTGTAAGGCAAAGTAGGGTAAGATCCGATAGAACTAGAGTAAGGCGATGCTAGGTTAGGGTACGGTAGAGCCTAGGGTAGGGTAGGGTAGGGTAGGGTGATATTTGAAACTTTTAATTTTGTATTTAAAAATTTTTTAATGGAAAATTTTTTTAATTTTGTTTTAATGCCACGTCTCAAAACCCACTGAATTGCATAATTTATGCGTCAAATCTCTAAAATTCATGAATCCGCATCTTCGGGATCCGGCTTCAGTTTCCTGCGTCGGAATTGCGAGTTTAACAACCGCGGCCAATGTGTCACAAACAGTGGTTTAATTTATGCAAAATTTGGCTGACAATTTAAATCCGTCTCACTGCCAAAAAAAAACGGCGGCCGCGAGGGTCAGTGCGAAGATGACCTAAAGGTTGGACTCAAGTGGATTTAGGCGGCCTGGTGGGGTTTCTTAGGCAGGCGGTGGAGTTTTTGGGGGCAGGGGTAATGTTCTTGGGGGTGAATTAAGGGGAGTGTTAGGGGTGGATATAGAAAAAATATAATAAATTTAGTGTGCTACTTATAAAAGGTTACTGTAATTGAGGTTTGGTGAGAATTGAGGCAGGAGATAGGGGGAAATGTAGGTAAGGGTCTGGGGTTTGGCTTTAAGGGTGGCCGTTAAAAAAATTGGCAATTTTTATTTGTAAAGAAAGTTCTTGCCATTTTGTCTTTTGTAAAGAAAGTTCTTGCCATTTTTTGTTTTGTAAAGAAAGTTCTTGCCCTTTTTTGCTTTATAAAGAAAGTTATTGTCATTTTTTGTTTTGTAAAGAAAGTTCTTGCTATTTTTTGTTTCGTAAAGAAAGTTCTTGCTATTTTTTGTTTTGTAAAAAAAGTTCTTGCAAATTTTTTGTTTTATAAAGGAAATTCTTGTAATTTTTCGTTTTGTAAAGGAACTTCTTGCCATTTTTATTTTTTGCTTCCAAGACTTCTAGCATCTCATTCTTATCCTACTTGACCATGCCATTTCGAAAACAATGCCCTAAAGGCCGTGGGGTCAAGTGGACAGAAGCCGTAAATCCGAATCCGAAAAACAAAGTAAACGATCTATTAAGGCTGTAAATGGAAACTGCACACTCCATTAAGTTTTGCACCGTAAAATAAACAAAAAAGGTCAGGAAAGTGTGGGGAGGGGGGGGTAATGAATGGAAATGACCTGCTGAGGTGTTGTCGCGCACAGATTTCACATTTCATTAAGATTTGTTTGCCCACAGCGAAGCTGGCCCGGCCGTGGCCCGCTAAAGGCAAACACTGATCGGGCACTTTGCACCTTTTCGCAAATTAGATGAATAGAGAATGGGGTTGGCAGATGAAGGGGGATGATCGGGTTTCACGCCACATCAACTTGAAGATCTCGAGCAGTGTTTTGGGGAAGGGGAGGGGGGGGGATTGTTGGGTGGTACGGAATTGATGGTAACTTTTGTAGGTCGATTGTAATTTAATGGTGATCTTTCAATCTAAAGTAGAGATAGGCTGAAGCGTGGTGAAAGTCGAGCTAGGGCGAAGCTATTGTAAGGATAGGTTGAGACAATGCATGGCAGGGCATGGAACGGCAATAGCTTAAATATAAATGTAAATTCAGAGCTGGAGATATCATTAGAGCTCCGGGGGCTAGGACCGAGGCTAAGGTTGAGGATAAGGCTAAAGCTGCGGCTATGGCTAAAACAGATTTAGAGTAATTTTTATGATTACTAGACAACCATCCTCACTACGTAGTATATTCCTTATGTCTCTTCTGGATGATTAATTTAAGTCGTAACGTTTATGCAACATACAAAAACGTATTCGTATTATGAACACAGCTTGAGTCTAACTAACTCGTATTCCGCGGTTCAGTAAATGGACTGTAACGTTTTACGGGAATTTTAGGCATGAACGTTAGGCTTTGCGACATTTTTTAAATTTTTTTTGCATTTTAAAAATTTTAATTTTTTTAAAATTTTGGGTTTGTAAAGAAAGTTTTTGCAGGTTTTTAAAAAAAAATTTTTTTGAATTTTTTGGGCTTGTAAACAAAATGTTTGCGGGTTAAGGAAGAAAAAATTTTGAATTTGGTATTTTAGCTAATTTTTGGCCTTGTAAAAAAAGTTTTTGCATTTTTTTGAAAAACAAATAGTTTGAATATTCAAAAAAAAGCTGTTTTGATGCAACTCCACGTCTAACGTCGCTCCGACAACATATTTCAAGATAGAAATCATCGTTTGCTGAGAGGATATTACAGTTCTGTTTTTTCATATTCTTGATTTCGACTGGTATTCGAGACGAGGCATCTCCTGCTGTGCTCTATCTCTCATGTAAATCGTTGCTGTGCTATATCTCTACGGTTGCTGTGCTCTATCTCTCATGTAAATCGTTTTACAGAGTTATATGTTCTCGCGCCTCTTCAAGCTAATTCAAGTCAAGTGGCCAGTCTTATTGCGCCCATGACCATCGTATGTTTTGTAATAGTGTCGTCGTCATAATAGCCGCTACTCGACGAAGTTTTGGTTTCTGGCTGGGTTTTTGGTTTGCTTTGGAGGGGGTATGGGCAGGATTTCTATGTGATAAGGTATGGGCAGCATTTCCATATAATGGGGTACGGGCTTGGTTTCTATCTGATGGGTATGGGCTTAGCTTCTATATGATGTGGTATAGGCTGGTTGCTATATAATCGGCTATGGGCAGGAGTTTTGTGAGATAAAGAATGAGCAGGATTTTTTACAGGCCAGTGAATGAACAAGTTTATCATGGGACTGGGCTTGGGTCGCGTTTTTATTATATTAAATATCATAGTGTATAGGCAGAAAAATTTGTTTTAAAATTTTTTTGATTATTTTTGACTTTTTGGACTAGCTATTTTAATTTCAAGTTTGCGCAAAATCAACCTTGATTAGAGGAAGCTGCTGATCAAGGTACTTGAGAAGTACGCTGGTCAAAAATTTTGGAAACTAAACATTTGAAAAAAAAACTTTTTAAGTGATTTTTTACAGGCTTGGTGATGTTAAAATACTTGTTAAATTTTTTTGAAAATACATGCATTGTTATGTCTAACAGTAACTTTTTTATGAGAAACGTATAGGGAGGAAAGATTTATTAATATGGCAGCAAAAGCTTGCGGATAATAAAGAAAATTTTACTTTTAAAAAATTTTTTAAGGCAAGTTAGGGCCTTTTAGTGTAGGATAAGATAGGATATGGTAGGTTAAGGTAGGGTAAGGAACGATGTGATAGAAAAGGGAAGGCTAGGGTAAGGTAGGGAAAATTAAGGCGATTTCAAGCAAGAATTCTTGGACTTGACCTTCTTACAAAATTTCAAAAATATTTTTTGTTTACTATTTATATTTTATGATCAAAAAAATTTTTACCAGATTATTATAAGCCTAAAATAGCCATGAAATTTGGCGGTACATTTTCATTTTTAACTTTTTTA